GGCGTAGCTAAAGCTGAGAAGCTGCGGACGCTTTGCAGGCTGAGCGAGGGGAAGCCGAGCGTTCAAGTGGCGGTCTCATCTCCGCCCTGTTGGTTGGCGGACACCAAAACAGAACGCCAGTTGGCTCAGTGCAGTGTGAACTTCCTATGGAATATTGTTATGGACAGATTGGATGACAAGTCTAAGGTCTATTGATATTTCTAGGGATCTACTGGGTGGCATTGAGTCATTTAACCTAATTAACGAGCACTTTCCTTATGTAGTCCGATAATAATACATTGATTGACTTTGAATGCGACATTATTCATCCAAGTATTCATATAATAGTGCAATATTGACCAGTAACCAGTGCTGGAGCTATACAGAAGCCGTCGAGATAGCCTATCGGTGTGAAAGGCCCGGATGGTTGGTGGGTTCGAGGAAGTTCAGGCTTTGGCTTTCGGTTTGCGACCTCTAGCTTTCTTCGGTTTCTCTTCTGCATCGTCGTCGGCGCCATCGTCGGCCTTTTTGGCCTTCTTGGCCTTGCCAGCAGCCCCCTTTTTCTTCGGTACGCTGACGTACTTGTCTTTCTTCAGATCGAGCTCCTCCGAGTCGTCTTCTTCTTTGGTATCTTCTTCCACGACCTCGTCGTCCGATTCGTCAATTGCGTCTTCGAGATCAGGCTTCTCTTTCGCCGTGTTTTTCGGCGCGATGACATTGCTGGCCTTCACAAATGGCAAGGGATGTGAGCGTTGATTATACACACGAGTAAAGGCTGCCTTGGTCTGAGTCTCTAGTTTGACCACGGACTGATCCATAGGACCGAGACCTAGTTCGACCAGGGCATCCCAATCCTCTCTCGTAAGGAAGTAGCTGTCCATGAAATCAATAATGCTGCCAACTCCCTCTTTGCCTTCGTCCATCAATTTGCGGACTATCTGATCCCACAGGCAAGGAATGTATTGCTGTCTGATCTCGTCGCGATCCCCTGTCGCTCGAAGACGCATGTGTCCTTGGATTTCCTTGACATATCGCCAAAGTTTTCCTGAAGGCAAAGATGTGAGCTTGAGGCACATAGAAGTGTTGACGAAAGACTGGGGGAAACTTACCTTGCTTGCTGTTCTGTCCTAACCAACTGGTGAAACCAGGTCGTTCCATCATGTTTCCATACATAAAGCTAGCCGGTCGTACAAAACTGAACATCGCGTGTGTCGGCATCAAGCTCCACTGCTGCTGAGTACCATGGATCATTCGGTCAACAAGATCTCCGTCGCTGATGCTCGAAGCTGCGTTGTCAGCAAGTTCCAGCAGCTTCAGCTTCCGCTCTTTGCCCTGATAATTCGCCGCCAGAGCAGGGTTCGTTTTGAGGTAGTTCTCCTGGAGCATCAGATAACTAAACTCATGGTCGTTAAAGTAGAGCTCAGACTTGTCGTTCAATGTCGCTTTCGAGCTGGGCGAGAACATTTGGGCACTAAGAATCTTGCCAACAATGTCCCATGGCTTGAGAATGATATGTTTCTCCCACGCCTTGGACATCTCCTTCCCCTTTTCATAATCCAAGTTCTTCTGGTCTAATTTAACAGTGGACAGCATGTTGATTACTTGACGAATATCAGCATGGGTGCCTTCAATCAAGCTGTCCAAGACCTGTGGAGGAATCTTCAATCCTTCCCGGAAACAAATTGTAGATAGCCTGGCACGAATCTGCTCTGCAGTTGGCCGCCGGAACGGGAGCTCATAAGTAATGTTGTCAAAAGGCTTCATTTTAGGAAGTCTTCGCTCGTTACAAATGAGAATTAGGGGAATCTGCGTCTTCTTAGCAATCGCGGCCAGGGCTCCAACACCACCTCGATCGCCAGCCGACATGCCATCGACCTCATCCATGATGAGCACAAGATTCTTCTTCTCACTGTCTATTTTCTTTCCAGTGCCTGAGAAGTATCCTGACAAGGATGTAGTATCCAAAACACCGAGAAGACCGTTCTCTACCAGTTTCTTGCTTCGCGTGTCACTGGCGTTGGTCTCCACGACGTCGTAACCCTCAAGGTTGGCAATCAGGTGCGCGGCAGTGGTTTTTCCAATGCCAGGAGGGCCATGGATCATAACGGAACGATAAATTCCTGAGCCATCCTTGCCGGGCTTTTTGAAGTTGGCTTTTGCGTTCTTTCGCCAGTCGCGGAGCCAAGCCTGTAGTTTTTCGACAGGACCTTTGTTTCCACAGATCATGTTCAGGGAAGTGGGCGCATATTTCGTAGTCCATAGGCGGTCATCGATTGTAGGGTTTGGAGGAGTCGACACAGATTGGGAACCCGAGGGGGCCGCCTCTTTGACAGCAGGAGCAGCCTGCTTCTTCCTTTTCTTCTCTTCTTCCTCAATCTCAGCAGCCATCTGTCTAATCTTCTCCTGCTCGGCCTTTTGTTTCGCTTCATATTTCTCAGCTGCCTTGCCATCGCCACCATTGGCTGGTAGCCTACGGATCAACTCGAATAGACCATCTTCGTTAATGGTTTTAATTTTGTTATCCTGGATCGTCTTTAGCTTTTTGGGGCCAGCATCGCTTCCCAGGACAACATAGCTAGTTCTGGAGCTTGGAGCACCCGTCACTTTGCCGCCGTACTGTTTCACGAGAGATTGTCCCTCTTCCCGTCCTAATGTCTCAAGGACGCCGGTGAAGACAAACGTCAATCCGGCAAGACAATTCTCCGCACCAACTGGCATCTCTTTACTTCCCCCCATCGGTGGAGTGCGTGAGCGCTGTGCTTGTGCAGCGAAGTTGAACTTTTTCTTAGTCCCGTCTGATGGAGGCGGCGAAGGAGCCTTGACAGTCGGTATACTATCGAAGATATCCTGAATCTCCTTGCTTTCGGGTTTATCCACTGTAGGAGCTTTCTTCTGTTTCTTTGCTGGCGAGGCCGTCTTCACACGCGGAGCCGGCTTCTTGGCCTCAGCATCTTGCTCTTCGTCGTTTTCAAGAATTGCCTCAGACTTGCGCTTCAATGTCGCAGGTTTCTTTGGTTTTGAAAGCTTTGATAGATCTTCCATCACAACGTCATCGTCAGAGTCAGACACCGAGGCTTTTGATTTCTTCCGCGACCGAGTACGTGCGGGAGCAGCTGGCTTCACGATAAGCTCATCGGAATCGCTTTCGCCATCGTTTCCCTCCACATACTCATCATCACCTTTACCAGCTTTGACATACTCGGACGCGAAGATATCATCTCCACCTAGTTTTTCATCTTCCAAGACAGTAGTAGCTGATCTGCCAGTTGACTTCGAAGGACGCTCCTGTGGCCCCTTGGCGTTTGTTGATTTTTCGATGATTTCATTCTTTGACGCCGTGCCATTAGCTATCTCCGGGTCTGTTTCTGTGTTTTCCTTGGCCTTGGACGGTCTTCCTCTTTTCTTCTTGCTAGAGGCAAAGTAATCCGACGTTGAGGTTATTTCTCCCTTCGGGGGCTCCGGCCTTAACAAATATAATTAGTAACTATGGGGCACGAATATCAGTCAAAGGGGAGTGCGCATACTCTTTCTTCGCAGGTTTCGACTTGGGTGTGGGGGGCTTTTTCTCGACATCTTCGTCATCGCTGTCATCCACGACCTTCCTGCTCCCTGTATGACGATCAGATAAAAGATTACTTATATGGAGAGGAAATTCCAAGACGACGTACTTCGCTTGCGGGCAGTAGAAACATCCTAAGTCATATCTTAGTATAAAAAAATGAAGCTCATTTCGATGAATTGCCTGCGAGGCATTGCCATCCATACCTCTTTTTTGGCGGGAGCTTTGGCAGCTGGAGAGCTTTGGGCAGGCTTGCCGCCGAAAAAGCTTCGAATATCTGCAGGCATAATGAATCAGAGCATACAGCGCATGGCTCTGGGATGGCTTGTCTGGACTCTGAAGTACAGGATGAGCGACAATCTGAATGATTTCTCCTTGGAGCGTGATGACATCGGCCGTCAATATGCAGCACGCTAGACAGGCAGACGCGCCTGGCGACGCGACCGAAAGTGCTTACATAATCTCGAGCCACCGAGGCACGTGCGCAGCCCTTATGCCTCTTCGGGAATACGGCAGATCGGACGTCCAGATAGGCCGGCAGCCAGAGCCTGGAGGACCAACGCAGATTCAAGGTGCAGCGCTGCTCTGAATCCGTGTGAACCAGCGCCAACGACAAGATGGGCCTGCAGCTGAAAATGTTTGGAGGATCGCAATTAGGCCTCTTGAGACCGTTTTGTATGCTCTGTGAATCCCGTGTGGCCTCGAAATTTTTTTTTCAGAGACATCGAGTAACTGACCACCACCGAAACAGACGTACGGCCAGCATCAATCACACTTCCGATCTCGCGGTGCTTCTCTACGACATCCCCTGCCTTCGATTGGCTGACGCCTAAGTTCGCGGAGAGGTCAAAGTCGCCAAAGGGCCGGCCAAGTCTTGCCACAGGGGGCTCTTCCCGGGGTACGACTGTTGTCTGGGGTGATTATGGCTTACGCATGAAAGACCACGACCGCCGCGTATCGGCTGCGCAGCTCAAAGTCGCGGAGGAAACGATTCGCAAACGGCTACGAGGCATGAAATATGCTCTTTACAAGCGGGTGAGCGCCAACATCGGCGTTTACACCAAGGGCAATGAACAGCGTATGGGTAAAGGCAAGGGAAAATTCGACTACTGGGCGGCCCGGATCTCTGTGAGCAGAGTCGTCTTCGAGATTAAGGGTAAAATTCACGAAAAGATTGCTCGGGAAGCATTTCGACTGGCTGGCCACAAGCTCCCTGGTACGTCCTTGCTGGGAAGATGAAAGAGGGAAAAAAATGTCATGGTCTGGTTATTAACAAATTTACTACTAGGAATGTGGGAGTTCGTGAATAAAGACGATCCCCCGGTGGTTGGACTGACGAAACTTGGCGACGGGGTGACATTGGAGAGCCTCAAACGACCACGCCGAAGCCCGCCTCTACCGACCGCGGCTTCCAAGACGACAGCCTCCAGCGTGCCCCCTTCGCAATAGTGCTCTCGACCGCCTTCATGCTCAACTTTTCTCCATCATCATCTTCTTCTGAGTAGGCGTCTATGCCCCGACGTCTGACCCGGGACCGTACCCCTGTTGTCTCCTCGCCCTCGCCGCGGCAGCGTCATCGTCGGCAGTTCGATCTATGTACATTATCAGCTTATCGTGTTCTTTTATTCCATCTCGAGTCACGAGTGTAATAGAAAAGGATCTTTTTTATTCATATATTCTGTCCCATTTACCTTTCTGTCCACGGAATTGCCCCGTGAAGCCACCGAAGTTCTGCTGCCGTGCCCACTCTTCGTCGTCGGTCTCAGGCTTCGTATCTGTGCTATCCCCTTCCCAGAACCTGCTCATCTCGCTCTTCGTATGCGGGCTGCCCACTATTTGCCAGAATGTCAGCCTATGTTGTTATTTGTTTTTTTCTTCACTGGCGCCACTCAATCCAACACTGTAAAGGCAAAGGACGACTGGGGTACATACTACCCAACTGCCCGGTTTCTTTTTTCGGCGTAACGGTCACTGTCCGAATAGATTCGTATCTAGAATTACCATATCAGCAGGGCTCTCATCGCTAGACAAGAAAGCTAAGAGAACAAACGTACTGGGTGCTTTCGCCGCCGGGCTCCATATCCACTAAATTGCTATCAGACATGGTCTTGGATGTAAAAACCGAGTATTTGATCGTTTTGATTTTAAGCTAGTAAGTTATCTTGTTGTGGGAAGAGGTGAAGAGACGATTTTAAATGAGACGATTTTAAATGTAAACCTTCATGGCGAATGAGAATGATGACGTAGTTGCACTCGGTGGCTCCCTGATTTCCAGATTCGGTTTTGACACTCTGGAGAATATGGAGCTGTCATGGTTACTATGAACGAATCGCCATTTAGAAGGCAAGGTAAATTTCGTTACATCCAATCCTAGCTGTTACCATGTTTGATGTTTCCATTAATTGATTGTTGCTAATGTTGTACCTATCTAAATTCTATATTATTCAACGTCTACATGAAGGCCGATGCTTCATAAAGTGCATTGAAAGTACCCAGAAGGTGCCTGAACTTTTTTTGGTATATAGATGGAATCAATAATATACACTCATTACTCGTTCATTATTCTAAAACTAGAAGTCCATGCCCATTAAGTAACTATGGAATAGTTAGCAGTTGATCAAATTGCACCGGGGCAAGGAAACAAACCTCTCATAGATCCGCATGAACTTGGCAACGAAGGCTTCGAGATGGAAGATCACTTTCTACAGAGAATATCAGGAATGGCACTTATACGGGTTCATGTGGCACAGTGATCTTACACTCCCTTGCTTGATTCTGTGCTCGTAAAACGCCGACCACTTGATGACGTCCGATTTCAGGGCATCGTCGACTTTCACAATGAGCTTAAAGGTCAATGTCTGCAAAAGGAGATTAGCAACACAACACCAGATCTCCGTTCGAGCAACTGTACCTTGAGGATCGTGGTAGGTGGAATACAGTGAGTAAGCAAATCGTATAACCGAGCGCGGACCTGCAAGAGTCGTGCCGGAGATCGCTCCGCGAGGATTTCGTCCGCCGTGATCGAGATGAGGGCTTCCCAGTCCGGTGGTGGGATCGGTGTTGTGTCTGTAACTCGTTCACTGTAAATAGAGAAAGAGAGAGAGAAAGGAACCATGTTAGTCTGCATGTCGCATCAGGGGCATGCAAACGTACTTCTGGGCGTAAATGGCTTCGAACATGAGCAACGCTCGGCGTAGATTCCGGCCACTCTCCTTGGCTATCCGCTTATTGAGCCCCTCTGCTTCCGGCCACCCTTCTCGCTTCCCCGCATTCGTGAGAACCGAGCAGATCTCATTTTCCGTGGGTGCAGAAACCCTGACCAGCAGGGTTCGTGAGCGAATAGGAGCAATGATGTTCGAAGTGCTGTTTGCTAGCAGAATCAGGCGGAGATTCGGACTGTATTTCTCCATTGTCCTTCTCAGCGCGGCCTGAGCATCACGCGTCAAGTGATCTGCCTCGTTGATCACCACGACCTTGAAGCGCTGCTTGGCGGACAGGTCAACCTGCTGGGTTTGCGCGACCTCTTTGAGCAGTTCCTGGACAACCACCCGATCGTACGTGCCAACGTCGGAGGGCGTAATTTCGAGGTGATAGACCGAAGCGACAATGTTAAATTCCAGTTTGCGGTTGCTAGTCGTCTGAAATACTCGGGCATCAATCTTGATCTTCTCGACTCCCGGCCCGTACAGTTCCTTCAGTGTCGCAATGATTCGCGTTTTCTTGCCGGCACCAGAAGGACCGTAAACAAGCAGATGAGGAAAGTCTCCGCTTTGAGCCTGGATATAAAAACCAAATAGTAAGATTTAGGTGATCAAAATCTGTGCACTGCAGTACAGGCGGCTGTGGACAGGCTCTTACAAGGGATTTCAACCGTGCAGAAAGGTCATGGTGGTAACTCAAACTATCGAGCGACCGAGGTCGTAACTTATCGACTAAGAGAGCCATTTTCGATAACCTGAATGTTGGGAATGAAGCTGGTCCTGTTCCTCGAAGCTGTGGTTTTTTGAAGGGAGCGTCATCGCGGATCGAACCTCACGACGCGTTGGCGGACGCTCGACGCGATTAATTGATGGCCCGTGCACGGATCTAGAGCCCGCATCTACAGAGTAACTATGAGAGACATGGTAGTTTTCATATGCTGATATTTGAACATTTGTTTTATAAGAGAAGAAAGATCGTATGAATACACTATTTTTACAGATTCTGTGCACGTTTGAAATCAGAGATAACAGGATGGGACAGAAGAAGCCCAAGTTTCAGACATCGATGGACATATTCCATAGGCTCCCGGTTTGCAGAGAGGAGAATGACTCGAAGAAGACATTCGCGGTCCTCTGGAGACGCTCAAGGGCTTCTGTCTGACAGAATACTCTTTGGCAAATGGGCACAATATTCAGACCAGAGAGGTTCATTAAGGTTGTTTCTCAACCACAGTTTATTGGGAAACCGCAGCACAGCGAATCAAGAGCTAGCTCCACGCTTACTGAGTCCCATCTTCAGATAGCTTGATGTGTTTGAGGCTCAATTGGTCCCGTCATCAATGCAGCAGCTGCCATGTTATTGCCCTATCGGCTTTAGGACGCCATTATCATCGTAACGTGCTTCTATAACGCCAAGCATTAGTATATATGCCTCATACTGAGAAATAGATAATCTCTTACTGAAAAATGTGTAAGAAAGAGTAATGGTATCGATCCCTTTCATGGCAGGATCCTTGACAAAGTCCGGGTCGATGAAGAAGAACACCGGCATATCCACTGTTTCTCCAGCATTGAGTTTCTGTTCTTCAAAACAAAAACATTGGATTTTGCTGAAATACGGAGCGACCTGCCCCGGGGTTACACTATAAGTCGCCACGCCAATTATGTCCGCAGGGCCCTTGTTTGTCGCAGTGTAGAACGCTAGTGCGGTCTCTCCCGGAAGAACACGCACTTCACGTTGCTGAGGTGTAAACTTCCAGGGGAGGACATCAGAGACCGAGCCATTGAAGGTGATTCGAAGACGACGAGAATCCGTCACAGGCGTCACGCGGCTCGCTGTATCGCCGTCTCCGACGAGATGAGTGGCCACAGGTTGACCGTTCCAGCCGGTCTGTTGGCAAATCTTTGAAAGAAGAGCTCGGTTAGTTCAAGCTCTTCAAATTCCGCAAAAAATGAGGGGTTAGAAATAGTAAATACCATCTTGTAGAGGGGCACGGAACCATACGCCAGCGCAACGGTACCAACTATGATGCTAATGGTATAATACCTATGCCCATGTCAGGATTTTGAAAGTCACCAAGATAGTCCTTGTGTATTTCAAAGGGCTTCTCACAATGCGGATTGGTTCCGCTTTTGGGATTGCACCGTATTGAATGGCGCAGACGAGCCATTTTGCTGGAAAAACACGGCGTTTCGTGAGAAATATCTATGTGCGCACCCGAATCTCCTCGTGGGGAGGTGTGCCGGGGGGAAAGCTATGGGCTTTTGCAGAAGGAAACTGCCCCTTAAAGGGCACAATCGGTTTATCATTGTTGAATTGAATTGAATGTCATTTCGTATGTGGTAAAGCTCCGGCATGACACTGGAGAGTCGAGATGACATTGAGAGAAGCCATCGATCACATGATGTCTTGGCAACATACGAGTCAAAAATCACAACCACATCATGGATGAGCGCAGTAAATACAACTGCAACAGATATCTGATGAGATATATATTTGAATAGCCTTATTTACGCAGTTCCTTCTTATATAATGGTAAGAAAATGTGTTAGAATTAGAAATCGCCTCTAGGTAACATACATGTCCTAATAATACATACTGTTAACTGCAGCTTGATACCGTACTGGATTGAAACTGATCGCTCCTCGATCACACTTATCTCCAAGGTAGTAAAATCAGCTCAGGATTCGGCTGCAGATTTTGCCAAATACACCGCGCACCATAGAAGGTCGTTCTTGCAGGGTAGTCATAAGTATAGCGGCGGCAATTGCAAAGGCGGCACGCTCTCGATACAGGTACTACACAAAATATTGAGTTAGAGAAACTTGTTTTGCATGACTCACCATGAAGGTTGATGGAAGAAACATGGAGGGTAGGACAGGTAGAATTAGAGAAGAGGAGAGTAAACCATACCTTTTTCTCATACACTCTTGGAAGAATTGTTGCAGCCGCCCTGGGTGCCACAAAGAGTGATATTTCTTGCCTCTTTCGGGCACTCTCAGCCAATATGCTCCATCCACACATGAGGCATCCAGCTCCGACGCAGAGGCCAGAGTCCCACATCATCGGAGTGACTATCTTCGAGTCCAAAATCTTAGGGCCGACTCTAGTCCGAGCAAGGCACACAGAGTAGTAGAAGATGCTCACAAATGCGGCTAGGAACGAAGAAGACCGCACCGCGTCCTTGACAGCCCCGGTGAAAGTAGAAAGTGACTTCTTGCCTCTGAGACGAAATACAATCTGAAGAGGAATATATGTTGCACAAGCAAAGGCAAAGGTTGTGGCAAAACGAAAGACTGCATGTCGTTCACAGCTTGGACCGCAGCCCATGTGTACCATTTCGCAGGGAATAGGAATTGTCTTCACCGGGTCGCCCCATTCAACAGGCCAACCATAGTCCTTGCACATTGATTCAAGAAGAGGGGCCTGGCCAGTATCCTTTCCGTAGACAAAGATTCCCTCTCGGGCACGTCGAAGGGCTTCAATAAGGCGCATATCCACTCTAGCAACCTCACCAATCCATTTCGCATACGAGTTTGGCAGCCTGTCGGGCAAGTAGAACCAAGCCCACATTACTACCGCGGAGCTTGCAGCAAAAACACCCGCATCGGAGAGTTCTGGAAGGACGGCTTCTATAAACGTCCATCGCTTCTGAGTCTTACGCCGGTGACACCAGTGTGCCCAGGCAAGACAAGAAATCACATCGACTGCTCTGACCACGGTAAACAGGGTAAGATCCAGCGTTCTGCCCGCAAATTGAGGAGCTTCGATAACCTCGGATTGAACGTCAGCAGCAGACGCATTTTGCCTACTTAATCCGCTATGGGGGTCATGTAGACGAGGTGACTTCTTGTTCAACAACTGAAAAGCGATCAAGGAGGACAGAAGGGAAGAAGTAAACCGGACCAAACGGTCCGAATTTACGGAAACAAGTTTCCTGCTGCTTGGAGGAGCTCTATCACACCAATTTCGCCAGAGCACAGGCAAGATTGCTGAGCCCCCCACCAGGGTAGCACAAGCAGTTGGGAAGCCATTGAGGCGCAAAGCGTATGTAAGTATTCGAATCAACTTCCATGCATGTTAGCCAACGCGCTAGTCTGAAGACAGGGGGAAGTTATTAGATAACGCAGCAGGCGTGGTCCAGGGAAGTCGGGACGCGTCTCCATTCTGCAAGTTGAGGGGCCGAAAACGCTTCTAGAACAGTACCGCAATGATAATAATACCACGTACCTCTCGGAGTTTCTGCTGCCAGCTAATATTCTTATCCCTAAGGCGCCTTGTGAAGGGAATAATCCTGGGGACGGTTGAGGATAGGTAACCCAGTGCGAAAGCTCGTACAATACTACAGAGTCCCCATATTTATCAGTACTGCGAATGAGGTCCATCCATACAAGGAGAGCGGTCCATACGGTTTGACCAAGTGATAATTGGAGTTCCTCTTCTGCGTAAGAAGGCTTGAATGGGCCATGATGCCGGCTGCTCTCATGTCTCGTGGCAAGCATCAACCACGCGGTTCAACATCCTGTCAAGGGCTTGTCAGACAAAACCAAATGTAAGAGTCCCAGGATGTGGTACAGAATAGAAGGAACAATGGCTGCAGAGACCAATCTTCCTTCCTCTCCGTAACACGTCGCACGTCGCACAAAAACGTCGCAGAGGGATGCCACGGAGCATTAGTAGGATGCGTACGTAGTAACGTACCCATCTATTGACTACTTAGTTATCCATGCCACTCGCTGCCTCACAGACCAACTGCACATCTACTCCGGAGCAGCAGATTCCGATCTAACGTCGTCGTCCCCTTTTTCGACCTCGGTCCGAACTCAAATGGATCGAAATAGCACCACGCCGGCTCCAGGTGTGCCCCTCTCCTCCTAGGATAAAAGGTCGAGTAGAGACTAGCTCAGGGGCAAGGACTAGGGATTCGAATGGCGATGTTGGCGATCTGCCGTCAGATTGTTGACTAGCCTAGGTAGCAGGCCGCCCACTAACTATGCCCAGCACCCCCGGCAGGACCGGAGGAATACCTTCAACGGGCCCAAATGCGGGGTGTGAATGAAAGTCTATTAGATTGAGGCCAAATTTCGTGCAGTAGAAGCCAACAACCCGGGGGGAAGAAGACAATTAGTGGGCTCCTCGCAAGGACAGGGAGGAAAAGCCTCCGGCAGATCTGGCACTTGCTCCGTAGTTTCCCTGGCATTTGGTTACTACGTTAGGCAGGGACGCCGGACGGCGGCAATACAGCAGTATTACGCTGCAGGCCAAGGCTGCCGCCGGGCCGGGAGCGTAATTACGGTAACCCTGTTACGTCACGCGACCAGGCCGAAAATTTGCATGTGATCGACTCCCAGGACCGACGGAAGCCCATGCAGTGCGCCATATTACATATTGGCGAATGATAGAAAGTCAGACCGAGTGACCTGAGGTAGCAGGCACCCAGCCAGGTCTTCCGCCAGGTCTATACTATCCACGGTACTGTCTCTGGACCTGCTCCAGATTTCCTATTCTTGCCGTCCAAGAACACAAATCGCCTGCGCGATCCAGAGTTGTTGCCTGTGGGGGAAACACAAAAGGCGACAGACGATCCACGCCCCTCACAACGGACACGGCTTGTACGGCGATTTCTCTCTCCCCGGATTGAACCACGACTCTACATGGGCAAGGCATGGTCGCCTTTATCTCGGTGCGCGCAAGCCAACGGCATTGGAATAGGCTTTTGTCTGAGTGTCAACCAGCTTTTCAAGATCGAGAGAGCGCGCGATGATGGATATGCGTCACGCTGAAGTCCGCGGGGGACGCTCCTCGCCTCAGCCTGGCCCGTTTGGGTGTAAGTCTTGCAAATCTGGATGTGTGGCTGTTGGTCTTTGTCTCACAGTGTTCGCGATTTAGATGCCTTTCTCTCATCGATGGATACTCCCTTTGAACCCGCCCCGGCGCCACCTCCCGGACCGGCGCTTCTCGACGATAACGAGTCGAGCATGCTCGACACCTTTTTCACTACGATGAACTCGAACCAGTTGGATATGGGTGACTTTTGGCTGGGCAGGCAACAGAACAAATCCCTGGGGGTCTTCAACCTCGAATGGTCGGACGAACTGCCACCCACGTTTGAAGGGTCGACAACGTCACTCCCCCAGCCCACCTTTGCGCCGCCGAATCTCGAGAAAAGCAACTTTGGGTTATTGTCCAATACTATGGGTACAAGCTCCGATATTCTCGCAGCCGCGTCGATGCTTTATCATCAAGGCATAAATGGAGCCGATTTTGGGCCTGCCTTTCAGCATCAAACACTTCCTAGCCAGGGAATCATAGACGCCAACGACCAGCATTATAGGCAGAATGGGGTTGGGAAGTCTGCACAACCTGAAAACCGTCCTGTACTCAAGGATTCTACCCCTCAGTCAGCGCGTCCACGCGTACCGGTGGGATTTCACACTACAGATATGCGATTTGATATCCATCAAGCTATTCCACTCGAACAGCAAAGTACGACAAAACCGCGTGCACTTCACTGGGGCTCCGACATCAGCTTTATGGACCAAGGGTATGTCGCCCCTCCTGACCAACCAAATGAGGAGGACCGGACGAAGGAGCTGTTCAGCAATATGGATTGGTTCGAACGTCAGAGCAGTACGGCAAACACACGAGCCCCCAGCCCGGAGAGGATCCTTGGTGCCGAGAATGCCCAAAGGGTGCCACCGACACCCGACCTCCAGTCCAACGGCTTCAAGACGAGGCCCCGGGTCAGCACGGAGGACCCTTCTCCCCCAAAGAAACGACTAAGGGTTTTAGTCAAGGAAGAGGAAGACGACAGCTCAGATGGGGATTCGTCAAGACCAAAATCCAAAAGATCCAAAGGCTCCGGGCCTACCAAGTCTGTGCGCACACCGACAGATGCGACCAGGAGACCTAAATTGCCGCCGGCAAAGGCGGTACGAGAGAACCTGAGCGAAGAGCAAAAACGGACAAACCACATTCTCTCGGAACAGAAGCGAAGGAATCTGATCCGGCAAGGCTTTGATGATCTGTGCCAGCTCGTTCCCAGCTTACGAGGTGGTGGATTCAGCAAGAGCGCCATGCTCACCCAAGCTGCCGACTGGCTGGAAGAGGTGCTTCAAGGAAACGAGATTCTCCGGTCACAACTCGCGGAGCTCAAATCGATGAACGGCTTGGTCATGCCACGATAGCTCCCCCCTCCCCCTTGTCGCGGGGAATCGGATCATGATATCCAGAACACGACTTCAATAACGTTTCATAATGCGATATGTCGTATACCCACCACCCAGCCAGTCGGGTTTCTACCGCCGGCCGGGAAAGCACTAACTTCTTGAATAATGTTTGATTGCTTGAGCTGATGAGCACAGCATGACTTTCGAGCCGTGTTCTTAATGAGATCTATTTTGAATACTAACGATGACGCCGACAACGCCTCGGGGGCCGCTAGACGACTGCCTCCTTTGTATTTATAACCAACTCCCTGCATGTTGTCTACGACCCGTAGAGCTCTGGTAGCTCTACTTGTCTCTACCACCTTCACCAGCTTGTGTATATACCACGACGCATAAATGCCATCAGATAGTATAATCAAAAATGTAACAAATCCCCATCTTAATCTATGATTTATGTAGTGTATTTGTTCCTGGTGGTCCCCTCTTCTGCGGCGGAGGCCAGACGATCAGAGAGAGTGGGCGGGATTAGAAGAATGACTAACATGTGATAAGGCGAGGCCAGCGCCGCGGAAGCGCGTCCATTCCTTCGCGCATACACCAGCCAACCAACACACTATACTTGGGGGAATTCTTCTCAGTTGTGTTATCTATCATTTCTTTATTTGTTTATTTATTTATTTTCATTTCTTCGTCTTCGTCTTTTTAGCAATCAAGTCTCAGTACCACCCATTCTCTCCAAAATGCCGCCCAAACGAAAACGCGCCGAGCAACCCCAAGACCAGAGCCCCGACACCTCGAGCTCGAAGCGATTTGCGTTCCTCAAACCGCAGGTCCGAAACGTCCCTGAGCGGACGATAAAGTCCAAATGGACGACGCTGCCTGAGCCGGCGCAGGAGAAAGTCCGCGATATCTTCCGCACGCTCGAACGACCAGTGATTGTGCGACATGGCAATGAGCGGAAACGCATCGAGGCGCAGGCGGCTGTCCAGGCGGTAGTCAGAAAGTGTGTTCTCCATTCATTCCGAATGAAAAAAAAAGGGGGGGGATGAATGTAGAACGTCCTGCTGACAGTTCCGTTTTAGTCTTGGTAGACGGTTGACTCGAATTCCGTTTCCTCCCGCGACGAAAGAATCGAACTTTGAGTATGAGACCGCGTTGGATGAGCATGTGCGTTTATTGCATTTCTTCCCCCCCCCCCCATCTTCCCTCGGCAGTGGGCTGGTTTCACTGAATGCTGACAGAAGTGAACGGGCAGCGATCATTAGAGGATCACCTTGGTACCGTGACTGATAGTATTGATCTGCTTAAGGCTCAGATTGCAAAAGAGGAGGCCCTGTTGGCTAGGGAGAACAAGCAGCTGGAGGAATTGAGGAAGAATGCCAAGGCAGCGGAGACGGAAAGGAAGAGACAACTGAAAAATGTGAGTCGTATTACGAACTCTTACGGCCTATTTACTCTATATACTGACCGTCATCTTCCAGGAACATCCGATAATCCAGCAGCTTGGCAGTCTGCCTCCAGGTCAGCCGTCTGGTCGGACAGAAGTCAAATTTTCCGAGACCAAAGACCTCCTGGCTGACCTATCAGACGTATGTGTGCGAAGATTTATCGCAATCAGCTTGCACTTGGAATATATACTGATGTGTTTTATGATTTCTAGCTTGACGCCGATGCCGACGTTCTCAATCTGCTCAAACAAATCAATGGCCATCTGCAATCACTGCAAACCAATACCGCCCCTCTCGATGGCCTCAGTGACGCGATCACTCGGTCGCAGGCAGCGCTGAGCCTATTCTCGGCGTCTGAAGGCTGAACGGCTTCGTTGTTTGAGTCTCATGAGACATTTCAGATCAACTTTGAACCTCGCATTACAAAACAGCGATACAACAGTCCAAGGATACAGTTCCGAGAGACCGCCATAGTACATCGCAATGATGACAATGAAACAATTGAACTAGCTTCGACCCCTTCCAGGCCTACGGGAAACGATCCGGCTCTGGCGTCCACAGGTATGAATGCAAACGTCGTTGCTGCCGTAACAGCTGAGCATAGAATACGGCATTTACAAACAGGATGGTCGTGTGAATTGGAATAGCTTGCTAAGTGCGACACTCCAAAAGAAGCCTCCAGAGTAGCACTCTGCAGATACAAGCCTGTCTTCGATAATTCTATGAACCTTCCTGGAAGCGTCTGTAGATATGTGTTAGTCTAATCACTAGAGATAACTATTTATTCAGGGGATCTTAGTAATGCTGCTAATTTCCCAGTACTTGTATCACTATTATTAATCTAGACCAATAGTAATAATAACTAATGCATAGCATGATTCAACGTTGTCTGATGCCGTCACATCCAGTGTCAGCCCAGATAATTCAAGCGCATGACTAAGCAGGCCTTTCCGGGGGGCCCCTCCGACTTACTCCGCTTCACTTATCGCTCGGCTGCACGTAACCTGCTCATGCGACTCAACCTCAAGCCGAAAAGCAGTGTTTGTTGCTCCTTGCAGCGCGACCCCGTTTGGTCCATGTCTGCAGTTGGCCACACAACTGCTTCTGTTGTGCTTCCTTCTGCGACGGCAACGACCTGGGCCCTGCGCAGTCGGCAAACGCTCAGCGATCGATGACTGAGAGCAGTGCGGCAAAACAAGCGAAAACGACACCCTCGGATGATCGGCCCAGCAATGGACATGCGGACAACATGAAGGCTAGCATATCGGAAGGAGAGAGCGCTACGAAGGAGTCGGGCTCAAAGGCGAACAGTCAGCTATCGCCAACGCCCAAATCGGACAGTACTGCCACCGCGGCGCACGCGAGCCCCAAGAAGCGCCGCAAGGTGAATCATGGTAAGCGATCGTTCTTCCGCTCTGCATGCTGCAGGGATGGTACTCCAGCGGAACTGCATATCAGGGGAAGCGCCGGCGACATTTGGAAGAGCACGTTGCTGACTCGATTGCCATGCTTGCAGCATGCGTCTACTGCCGACGTTCGGTAAGCCGCCTCTTTCTCTCTATGGTCTTCCTTTTTCTCTCTTTGCACGACTACAATTTACCAAAAAAACATATATATCCCTGTTAAGCCTTCTCTGATGGCATTTCTCCCTCTCCCTCTCTCTCTTTCGCTCGATTCTCTACGTTGACCGAGACCAATACACTGACGTGGGACAGCATATGACTTGCGATTCGGTACGACATGTTGCCCAATTTCTTGGCCCCACCATCCCCTTCTTCGTGAAACGTCGTGCAAAACATTCGTTCCATGGGGAGGGGGGGAAGAAGGCTTTTCTGCGCAGATGGCTAGTTGCTGATATATTCTAGGAACGCCCTTGTACACGATGTATAAAGCGGAACATCGGTCACTTGTGCCATGACGAGCCGAGGGAATCCTCGAAGCGGTCTCGAAGCGAACAGGAGCTTTCTGCCGCCGACGACGAAGCCTCGTCGAGCAATGATTTTTCAAACGTTCAAGGTATGCCTCAGAATGTTGATCTCCAGGATGCTGCTGCTGCTGCTGGCCAGCCAATCCTCCCCGACGGCACCCTTGGCCTACCCCATTCGTCTGTGAACCCTACATCATCATCATCCTCCTCCTCCTCCACCCAGCACGGGGCGGTTGCCTCTTCCCCTGGCCAGGGGCTTGGTGCGAGCTCTCAGCAGCGTAAGCTACCGGGAGTCTTGCCGTGCATTTTACCGCCACTGAGACTAACACACGGGAACACAGTGCTTGGGTATAATGAATGGTTCGGAGGACAGAGCCAGTTCCAAGACATGCATTCTCTCCATCCGTCATACATGTTCAACGCGCCAGAGGTCACCAACGAATACAATCTCCTAGGCGACTTTCTCAGCAACAGCCTACTGGACGATGGAGCAATGTTTCAAAACGATGAAGCGATTCGAGGAATCTACGATCCTGGCTTGATGGCCTCCATGACTACGTTGAATGGACCCAACTCGGCGATGCTGCAACAACCACAACCCTCGGTATCAGCTCAGAATCACAATATCCAGGGAGACGCCACACACCGCCCGACTGCGGCGGTAGGAAATGACAAGGCTAGAGAAACGTACTATATGACTGCGGCAGACCCCTCCGGCTCCGCCCCTCCAGAGGAGCGGATGAACAAACTCCTCAAAGCCAAGTACGATGCAGGGTTACTAAAGCCGTTCAATTACGTCAAAGGCTATGCCAGACTAAACCAGTACATGGAGAAAAACATGCAGCAGGCATCTCGACAGAAGATTCTGCGGCAGCTCGACAGGTTCCGTCCCAAGTTCAGGGAGCGCATGCAGAGTCTGACTGATGTCGAACTCATTCTTGTGGAGATGTGGTTCGAGCGAAGCCTGATGGAATATGACCGCGTTTTCGCCAGCATGGCCATCCCCGCATGTTGCTGGAGAAGAACGGGCGAGATCTTCCGCGGCAACAAGGAAATGGCCCAGTTGATCGATGTTCCGATCGAATCCTTCAGAGATGTATGTCATGGAAAAACTCCCTTGGGACTGCATGCTTATCGTGCTAACATCTACCGTCTCCTCAAGGGTAAACTCGCCCTTCACGAGATCATAGTCGAGGACCAGCTGGTGAGCTACTGGGAAAAATTTGGCGCAATCGCCTTCGACAGCACCCAGAAAGCAATGCTCACCAGCTGTACCTTGAAAAATCCCAACGCCACTTCGAATACAGATGGCATCCAATGCTGTTTTTCATTTACGATCCGACGAGATAACCACAATATGTAAGAAGCTCTTGGTCTCTTCCTGCTTGAACTAGAGCTAAACCCCTGTTCAGACCTTCTCTTATTGTAGGAAATTTCCTACCAATACGGAGACAAAAATACTGAAATCAGACGATGTTATTTAAGATTTATGTGATGTTTATGGTGTTGGTTTGTCACAGGTCCATATTTCTTTTTTCCCTTTTCTTTGGTCTCTTGAATTACCAACTCTTTCTCCGTCCTACGACTGGGTAACTATCCATCTCGTCGTCGGAGCAGATTGTACCATACCTAGAATTTTCTCCACGAAAGCTTTACGAAATAAAATGATACCTCTTCTATATCTATATTCTTATCCTAGGCACCTTGGCTACCTGTGCTTGGAACAATCTTTTTCGGCAATTGTAAGCCGATGTGATAGCAAAGCTGGACTGTCATATATCAAGGACTCAAATGTAATGAAACTCTTGGCCTGTTCTAGATAGAACCATGTGACTGCCTCAGTCGGCAAAACCTCCCGCTTCCAATCTTTAGTCTCTCAACCTCATTTGAGACCTGCATCTGATAATTGTTCCTGAAGCCAGCTCAAAGACATACATCCAAAGCATATGCGCTTTGGACATGGAGGCTCCTCATCTTTTAGCTCTGGTCCATCGACTCGATGCGCAGAGCAAAGAAGCAACCCCAGACCTTCACCGGTATTACGACGGTGAGTGCTACCTAACGACTTGTCCCGACTACTGTGAGTTGATATTAACCGATGGTTATCAAGATCTACAGGTTGTCGTACAAGCTATTGAGCTCACAGATAACAATCTCAAACTGTGGGGTTGCTCTCCTTCATGCACTAGATCACCCGTTTCTGATAATGTCTTGTAGGCTGAACTACCATATCCTGAAACTAAGTCACTCAAGGTCTGTTGTTCTGTTCTAATAGCATCGTGGGAAACCTCGTCTCATACATCCCCAGTCCCGAACTCTCTTCGAGAGTTCTCCAGGAACTGCTTCTACGTCTCGTGCCGCTGCAGGTCCAAACATTGCTAGAACAAGCTTTCATTGCGCTCGTTTGGATCTTGACTAACTCGTCACCTGCGCTTGAGACCGGCTCGGAGATTCTATTCGATACTACTGTTAAACTGGGCCAGAGATGGCAGGGAAGATTGAGTCAGGAGGCTACTCATGCTGCACTGATTGTACGCCTACAGTAAACTCTACATGGAAACTCTACACTGACTCCTATAACAGCTTATCTGGAGAAAGGTCGATTCCCTGGTATCTCAAAATAGTATCTCGGAGGCCGAAAAATGGTGCCATCATGTTGTGGATCATCCCATCTTTCAAAGCTGCACAGCGGGCAACAAAGGCAAATTTGAGAGGTAGTTAGTTACACATTAGATTTCGATTATGTATACTAATGAGTGGCAGGAAACAGTTGTCTTGCGCCGTACAGCTCTCGGATATCTCTACGGCGAGACGAATACTAAGCCAGATATCTGATGAATGCAAATCCCATCCACTGACAGTCCATTTGATCTACAAACTGGCCTTGCTAGACAATGACATGAGTCGAGGTAAGGTGACTGACATAACCTGCATTAGGGGATTTGCTGATCTTGGAAGCAGAGCATACCTGCCTTGAATCTTTAAAAGAGCACGGCGCCGCCGGGGTTCCATACTTGCTTTCTTGCGCAGTGGCAGCTTATCAGTCGAACAGAATGAAAGCCTCCATTGATATAATTGAAGATATTGTTACAGAGTTCAGTGATGAAAGCATTAGAGAAATAGTTCGGTATGTGACCATTCCCAGTGAGAATCTAAACTGAGTTTCATACTAGATTTTCAATCCAAAGCCTCACCCACCAACTCGAAGATGTCAATAGTACAAATAGCGCAGAGCTTGTGGAACAAACCTGCCGTATATTAGACATTGGTAAGGTGTTGTTAAAAACTGTTTCTATTTAATCAAGTGCTCATGAGATCAAGTACTTGAACGTGCTAAAGGCTTGTCTGATGTGGGTGATAATATATTATTTTCACTCGAAGATCTTCAGGGAATTGCACACGACAGCTACTACCTGGCCATCCGCTTGTTGTTGTCCAAAGCCTTTAAATCTTCAATACAGCTCATCAAGAAATCTACCAAGGTCCGTTCCCGTTCCTGTGCGTGGTATAGGAATAATCCTGATCGAGGCAGTTCGCAAAGCTGTATGAACAGAGTATCCGGTCCTCGGACAGCGCAGTACCGTCACAAATCTACCTGGCTCGTGATTTTGTGCATGCAGTAGCTTTGGTGTCTCAAGTATGCTTGGAGGATGCATATTCCCAGGTGAGTGTGATATACCTCTCCGCAGTATATAGCCGACTGAAAAGGGATAGGAACGATACAACCATGAGATCCGAGTCTGCGTGCAACGGTTCCGAAATGGCATCCACAGCCATCTCCAAACCTGCGACGAAGGGACGCATCAAGACTGGATTCGAAAGTACAGAGCCATGATCTTATTTGACTTCGAGGCCGCCTCCCGTCTCGGACAGTGGGATACTCTCGTCTTCCTGATCGACGAGGCCAAGCCCCTCGTGGACGATAACCTGAGCCAGATATTCGTAGACGTGATCCTGTCTCCTGCCGTGCCAGTCAAGGAAGCATTGAGGGGGATGAGGGTATGTATATATATAGAGAGAGATTTTGTGTGAAATCTACCCGTTTGAAAGAGTCAACTGACTAGTTTAGTCCATTGTCCAATCCATCCATCCTCGGCAGTCACCCTACCTCACTTCCTCACTACAAGCGTGCCTTCCCCGACATCTCCGCTGTCTATTTCAACTAGCCATGATCCCTTCACAGGATGCTTCACAGGGAGATAGACGAGAAGACGAATCCGCAGACAAAACAGGAATACACGATTCACTAGCGGAGTATGCCATTGACCAAGCCCTCTCTCTCGCGGATCGCAATCAACCGCAACCCCTCGTCGACTTTTATTACCCCGACGAAGAGCTCGAGTGGATGGCAGCCATGGCATTCAACCATGCCGTGGACCTGTATATTGCGGCAGCAGACGAGGATTGGAAACGCTGGGTGCAGAAAGCCATCTCGCTGGCCGATTTGAGTAGACGCCCCGGAACCTCTCTGGGACGGTTGCTACGTAATAGAATGACCAAATTGATCTAGATGGGGTGATCGACTAGTGTGACGGAAATGGAAAAGATTTCTTCGAATGCATTAGACCGAAATGTTTTTTTAAAAAAAGGCGTCCGGCTGTGGTTATACAACGAACGCCTATGGTGTTAATGTGGGTATCACTTTCGAATATTAAAACAAAACAGGAAAATAAACGAAGAGAAAGGAAGCGAGAGCGAGAGAGAAAGAGAAAGTCTCTTGAAAAGGAAAAAAAGATTAAAAGAAAGAAGCGCGCTTATATGGAGACAAAGACAAATCAAGAATCAAACTCCTTGTCCGGATGCATGACGAACTGCCCCCCTCGTCATTGGAGTAAAAAACAAACTCAAGACCCAGTAACAGATGCAGAAAAGAAAAGGAAAAAGAAAAAGATCACCTGTAAAGTATCACCATGGTAGAAACTAAATGCGCCACGCAACTGCACTGGGGAGAACTCCTACTCCACGGGTTGCGAGGCCTGCAAGCATTCTATGAAAAAAAAGAGGTTCAAGTCAAAGGAGCGAAATGATATAGTAAGAAGACGGATATACTTCGTCCACATTACCCTTCATCGTCTAGGGAGCGACTTCTGGACACCCTCCGCGGGTGTTTCTGGCTTAGATTGGGCGTCGACGGGATGCGTCGAGGGAGATGCGTCGACTTTGGTGTAGTGATCGACGGGATGGAAAGCCTGTCACTCTCCCTACCACTACTGTCTGTCTCGGTTTCAGCGCTGTCATCGGCCTTCTTGCTTCGAGCGGCCAAGATTCGTAGCGTGAGACCCAATTCTCGTTCAAGTTCCTGCGCAGCCTCAAGGTGATCGTCGCACCCGTTTAGCTTCTTTCGGTACGCGCGGAGGGTACGGCAGACTTGCTCTGTGGACATGTTCAGGCTCCCAAACTCGCTTTTCCCGGAGTTTTTATTGCGAGAACGGAGGTCAAAGGACGACCGATGTCCGTTTGGATGTCCGCCATTCTGCCTTCGGGTAGATGGTGTGTGCCTAGGGCTCACTGGAGACGCTGGCCTGCCGTTCCGATCAAAGGGAGTAAGGGTGGTAGGGGATCGACGATTGACCAAAGAAGGCGTCGTCGGAATTGCAGGAATTGCACCCGTACTTTTGAGTGAAGGTGGTACAAGGGAAATTTTAGACAGCTTTCGCCGTATGGGTGGAGATTGATCACGAACAGGGGTCGGGCTGGCTGTGAAGCCCTCTTGCCGTTGGAAACTGGAAAGTTCAGTCCGTGATAGGATTCGACGAAGAGGAGGCTTCGTAGCCGTCAATTCTTTCCCGGGGGTGTCCTCGTCCGGTTGCCCACTGGTTGCCGTTGGATCTTGAACGCTGTGTGGCTGAACTGAGAGATTCCAGATCATGACAACCCCATCCATACCGGCGCTGATAAGTATGCGCTTTAGAGGTAGTTCAGAGCTCGAACTTTGATTGTCCAGAAGTAGCACTGCACTGACGCCTTCTGTGTGTCCAAATTCCCCCGTAAGAAGCGTGTCGCGGTCAAAGTCATACACACGAACTGATTTGTCTGTGGTGGACACGCCAATCAGCAACGGGGGGCTTTGGCCGGGGATCTCAGGGGCCACAGTGAGCGAGGCCATGACGACGGTATCCGTCGAATCAGGGTCAGAGGCTCGGAAAGAGTGAACTGGACGCCCTGAGACCATATCAAATTTATGTATACAGCGATCTACCGTTGAGATCACCAAGATGTCCGTATCATTCGGAGCTAATGCCATTGACGCCGGTGATGCTTTCAGCCGGATGACTTTGGAGATGAGGTAGGCGACCACGGTCTCACCGTCAACCTCGCGGGTGACACGGTCTCGAATCAACACTGTACGATCAGCCGAACAAGAGAGAAGCTTCTCCCCGTCATTTATGAACATGAGTTGACCGACCGCGCCGACATGATCGTCCATAGTTTGGATCAGCTCGAGGCCACTTTCACTGCGTTCGAATAGCTGTACCATGCGATCTCGACCGGAGCTAGCCACAAGACAAGTATCCAGGCCTGTCTGGATGGCTATATCCGTGATTTCCCCTCCATGAGCTCGCACTTCAGTTATACACTGCCACGGGTATGCAGAGAGAACCCTGAAAAAAAAAATACATCAGTTAACAAAGGAACGCTTGGAACGAGTTTTAATGTATCAAATCAGGGGGGGGCACACTACCTTAGCACACCAAACCTATCACCTGACACAAAAAAGTCCATTTGTTCAGTTGTCCGCACCACTTTCAACTCATTGGAGACATCATCGTCTGACCCCGGAACTTGCTCAAGCTCAACCCTTTCGGACTTTCGACATTTTCCATCTGTGTTCCAAAAGTTGATAGAACCTCCGGAAGACCAGGTGAAGAAGTCGGCGTTGAGTTCATTGGGGGAATTCAATGCGGTGATGCCCAAGACGGGGTCTTTGTGCGCAGGCATGGATGTTTCTGATTGATCATCTTCGCTTTCATCATCTAGTTTATCCACAGGATAGATACGTATTTCACGTGTAGAGTCGATGGTGACCAGATGAGAGGAAAGAAAGCCGATACACGATATTGCCGGGCCCTTGGCTTTCTGCTCCCCTAAGCTCCTTTCCGACAATCCTGGGACTGGAGAGGGCGCCGAGGGGACTGGCTCGCGTATCTGCTCAAAGGTCATTTTGACCATCCTTCGGCCCTTACCGCCGATCCAGACTGAGGCGTCGTCCAGATCCACAGTCAACGAAGTAATACCAAAGTCCATGTACTTTGCTAGACACAGCTTTTGACCACCTCCTAGATCGTCAATATAACACAATGCACCAGCCTCGGTGCCAATGACCGCTTCTGACTGGGAGATGCTTGCTGCGCAGGTGAAAACCTGGTCCCCAAGAGAGCCCAGAAGGCAGTTCCTCCCAGAAAGTGCCTTTGGTGCGGCACCGGGAGAAGCAGCTGTGAGGTCTGCGTTCAAGCGATTCTTGACTGGCGATGCGGGCCGCACTTCTGGGAGCCTCCACACCTTGACATGTCGCACACCAACCCTTGAAGGTAGTTGGTCAGTATTCGTATTCTGGAAATGTGAAAACTCTTACGTTATCAGCGCCTGTCCCATCCAACACATGTCACGAATGAAAGCAGTGCATTTGTTCGTCGAATGAAGCCTTGCAGCTCCAGTTTTGAGGCTGACAGACCATATAAACAGAAAGCCATCATTGAGATCTCCGAGCGTCGCTAAATACTGCGATGTAGGGCTGAATGCTAGACAGCGGACACCAAACGTGTGTTCGTTTAGAATGGTCAACGGCACATCGGATGGGGAGTCCTTTGCCGTGGAGAAAATAAGAACTCTGGGATTGTATCCGGTCTGGGCGGTTAGTTTGGAACTCGATCAATTGTCCACGGTACCTGCAGAACGTACCTCTCCCAGGCCAAGAAACCGGCCATTCGGACTGATTGAGACACTGGTCACTGCCTTTATACGTTCCCTGGAGGAAAATGCGCGCGGGCTGTTGGAGGGACTTTCCGAGGACCAGTCATTAGACGGGGAGCCGTTGTAAGACGGCCCAAAGCCATTGGGTTTTAGAGTCGATGCAGCCCTAGCTCTCGTATCGGGAGTAGCCGGAGCGGATGGATTGTAAAACGACGCGACGGGGTTGATACAGGGCGCCGACGGTCGCGCTCTGAAGAATCGCTGGGTGACTTGACCGTCATCGTCCAGTTCCGCCAGCACTGCTGCGGACCCCGCACAAAAGGCAAACGATCTGCTTTCGTCATGGCTCGAGAAGCCATTCGGGGATGTCGTGGTAGTGCCGATGACCGTCTGAAGGGCAAGGTTGGATTGGTGAAGTGATTGTTTGCCGGGCGATCGTGCGGGCGGCCTCGAGACGGGCGAGTTAGACGGCGTGATCCTGAGGGACGCACCGGGTACGGCGATTCTGCTCTTTGGGCCCGCCGGATTGTTTGCCATCCCCTCCAGGCGAGATGAAAAGACTAAGAGACGGTAGTTCACGGGCGCTCTGCGAGTCCAGAGCTTCTATTCCTTCCACGCGTTGGGCGCATTGGTCTATGAACCGACGAACAGATCCTTTTTTCTCGGACTGATCAGATAGCGATAGCACCTCGAATTCCTAGATCATTCTCTTTATCCTCTAAAAAGCCACCAACAAACCGCCAGCGATGCGAGCGTCACGCGGTTGGGGAGGATTACGTCCGTGTTGGAGACGAGCAGATAAGGCGGAGACAGTGGTTCTTCGGGCAACGGGCGAGAGAAACCCAACAGAGGCGGGAAACTTGCAGCTGGCCACCAGGAAGGATAAAAATCACAGACTAATTGAAGTCAAAGAGCGACGGCGAAGTGTAGTAGCGGTAAAAGGAGAGACAGTGGATCAAAGTGTAGCGAAAGTGGCGAGTTGAAGCAGAATGAAGGAGGTAAACACAGGATGGAGGAGAGCTGGAGACGCTCCTTGGTGGGTGCATCTATTGCATTCCACACAATTAACGGGAGGGGGAAGAACCTACACCAGCGCCACTCTTGACTAGTGAAAGTCACCAAGTCCAGACTGTCCAGTCCTGCTAACTAATTGTTAACGAAGAGGGACAATTCTTTAACTACTGGTTAGTTAGTGCCCATATAACTTCACTACCCCAGAGGCCTATCTATGTATGTAGTATACTTATGATTCAGCTAGATACAAGGATAGTAAGACTTATAGGTGGGATATATATAGAATAATATTAGATAGCAAGGTTAAGTACGGAGTATACTCTGTAACTACCTACTCCGTACCTCCTAAGATATTAAGATTGATCTGCAATCACTAGGAATGAGGCTGACCCCCAAGTGTTGCCTCAGGAGACCGAGGTTCCCAACTCTATATTATACATTCCGGATAGAGAAGAAGTAATTTCCATCCTCTCTAATTCATTTCACCATGAACTGAGCCAGGCAGAATGGACGTCCAGACATATCCACTGATGAAGCTTTTCGATACAACAACAACAACAACAATAATAATACTCCGTAGGCGTATAGAGATGGGGATCCACTTTGCCACTAACTTAAGATGACCAGTCACGTGGCCTCCGCGGTGTCCCCGACTCCCTGGCCGGGAAATTTTGAGGCTTCATCTTCAAGAACTGCAAGACCGATCCTTTTGATCTTCGACCATCCGAAAAAGACATTCCATCAGCGGACTGGTGGCGGACGCTCGAGATGTCGCAAGTGTGCGCTTCGTCTTCTAAATTAGCGCTTTCCTCGATGTTGCGCAATGTATTCTATGCACAGATTGCATCCAGTCAACCCTCCTACATAAGACTTCTTGCTTTACAAAACACGTCTTCCAATTCCGGCAGAGGTCGCAGGAATACACGGGCTTTTTCGTCATCGCAAAGAATACCTTTCTCGAACGGGTCGAAGCCTCTTGCCACGAGCCACACTCAACAGCAGTTATCAGAAACTACTGGAGAGGCAGCCACTTCTTCCTACGTTGACTTGACGGGCTCAGAACAACCACACAGTGAGGAGACTGGTGATGTGTCGACTCAGCCGGTGTCTGTCGCACATCAATCGGCTGGAAAAGTCAAGCCGAGCAAACGAAAAGATCGCCAACGTCAAGATGTAACAAAATCTGCCGGGGCTCCGAACAGAAACTCGAACAACGCAAATTTGCCAAAGAAAGATCGCCAGGAAATAATTTTTAATCAGAAGAAGAAGAAGAAAGAACATTGGCAGATACAGAAGGAAGCTCTCAAGGACAAATTCAAGGAAGGGTGGAACCCGCCCAAAAAACTGTCTCCAGACGCTATGGACGGGATCAGACACCTTCACGCCACGGCTCCGAACCAATTTACGACCGAGGCTCTGGCGGACGAGTTCAAAGTGTCGCCCGAAGCGATCCGGCGGATTCTGAAGAGCAAATGGCGGCCAACGGAAGATGAAACCATCGATCGCCAGAAACGGTGGCAGAAACGGTACGATCGAATCTGGAGCCAGATGGCTGAGCTGGGTCTCAGACCAAGGAGAAAGCGCGCGGATTTCGATTCCAAAATTCTTTACGACCGCAGCGGGAAAGATTAGACTGTTGGTGCTGGCAATGGTTCATAATAAAGTATAATAGCTATATCCCGAATCTATATATTGACTCCAACATCTATCAGCTATTTACTGGGAGAATCCACCTAAACATTAACATCGCATTTATCAATTATCCATAAATCATCCACAGTGATAATCTCCATCCAAACTCCCCTCCCTCAATGTAGAAATCCCCCGCCAATTTCCCGTACTCTCGTTGCTCTGCCGTGTTGTGTTGTGTTTTGTCCTCTAACAAGACCACAGGCGCCACCGCCTCTGCTCCGCGCCGAAGCCCAGCCGGTGGAGTGGACAGCACGGCCTAAGCCTACGCTTCTCTCTCTGGATGGTGAGAGAACCGAACTTTCAACAATCCACCTGTTTGCGATTCACGCACACGATGCAAATCCCCCCCCTTGCTTTGACAGCATGCTCGTGGCCGCTCTGAGTCCTCCCTCCGGCGCTGGACCCGACTTCTGAAGAATCCAAGTGACGCAACCGCCTCTTAACTATATTGTTGCATCGACCCCCATCTCCGTATCGAGGCGCCTGGTGAACCGTTCGCAATGCCCTCTGACATGCAGGTTTTTGTGAAATGGAAGGACCAGACGATATTTGCCGGTGAGGATGTCGAGTGCACGATCACCTTCAAGAACGTGGCGGAAGCCAGCGGCAGCCCCGAGGCCAGCAACGGGCACGAATTTCACCTGTCGCCGCAACATCAACGGCGACAGTCTCGTACTGCCAATGGCGGGGGATCCAACTCGGAGTCGTATTTCTCGTTGAAATCGCCGCATTACCCCTCGTTCTTCAGCCACGCTCGACGTTCGTATCCGTCCAGTCCGCGAAAGACGCCGGCGCCCCTGAACAACAACCGCACCCATCGTCTCTCCTCCTCGACCGGCTCTCCGCTCGGCGGCTCGCACAGCTTTCCTCCTTTACATACTCCGACAACACCCCGTAGTTGGCAGTTGCCTGGTGATAGACACAAGAGATCGGTTTCTATTCTCTCGATTGACAGCGAGGGTGGCAGCGAGAGAAGCCCAGGGTTGGGCCCGCAGTTCGGGCGTTCTAACCCGGTAAGAGGCCATGGCAGGTCTGCAAGCGTGCAGGTTGCGCCTCGACGAAACGATGGCCTTCCTCAGGACAATTTTACAAAAGGTGATATTCATCATCCTTCGCGGGGTGTATTGGCAAGCTGATAATAGGATAGCCGGCCGAACTCCTACTCGAGGACTGTCGTCTACAGAATTTACTACCAACCCATTGACTGCAAATACGCAGGTAGAGGGAGAGACGCCTGGTAGAACGAGTCGCCTTGGGTCAGATGCGAGTAACCCAGCCGCAGTACCAGCGGGACCAGGGAAGTCGCCCGTTCGGCGAGGGAAGCCGATGCCGATCGATTTCAAGTTCCCTGCGACGCCGCCTACCATCAACGAGCCGAACGGCCGTCACAAACCCATCCCTTCGCCGTCTGAAAAGTCGAACGGCGAGTCGACAGCCTCGGCCATTCCGTCAAAGCACGGTGCGCGGGGCACCACAGCTGCTCCTCCACCGGGCCACCTGCCCCAGCTGACCCGAATCATATCTACATCCAGCGTGAACGGAAGCAATCGAAGCAGCGGCGAGTTTTATTCCATCAGCGACAACAATTCTTCGGAAACATTGGCCTCGGAGTATACAAACTACTCTGCCGCTCCCACCCGTCCTGCCAACCCGCGCCATATGCGGAACTTCTCAAGTGTCGACGCGGCAGCCAGGTCGGCCGATGCCCAGGCATTGCTGATGGGCTATGCCCAGATCAGTGCCTCGTTCACAGTCGACGGCTCGCTCATCAACCAATCCGCCTTTGAAGATGTCAAACGAAAAGGAGTTGTCGGAGGGCAAAGCAATGGAGGACTGCTCCCTGGAGGAGCGGCGGTAGGTGGAGGAGGGAGTCCAGCCAACCGTGAGAAAGCCCGGAAAGGTGGCGGCTTTTGGGGCTCGCTGGGATGGAACAGTATCGAAGAATCCATCAGTGGATTGCTTTCAAACAACGAACTCGACGGCCTCCGTGATATGCGAGGGGTAACGTCTTCGAGGTCCATCCCGCTCCTTTCGACCCCGCAGTCACTTTTGTTTGTCGACCTGCGACTTGCCCCAGGCGAGGAGCAGTCGTTTTCCTTTTCTTTCACCTTGCCGCGCGGCCTGCCTGCAAGTCACAGGGGCAAGGCCATCAAAATCTCCTACAATCTTGTTATCGGCACTCAGCGGCCGAGCGGTCCGCATGAGCCCCAGCGTGTCAACCGTATAAATATACCATTCCGAGTATTTAGCGGCGTCAATGGTAAGTTATTCTCTCTACTTTCTAGACTTTTCATTTCCGCCTGCTCTGACTGATGCACTCTAGGTCAAGGGACCATTCTCGGCCATGATTTAATGGCACCCTATGTGTTGCTTCGAGATGAAGCACGAGTACAAAAGATCGGGCCGACCCTGCTCGCTCCCCCAAGGAAGAAAAACATCAGTGGGCAGACCTGGAGCTCTGCCCCCGAGTTTCTGTCTTATGTGGACGGCATACTCGAGCAGCGCGCTCGAGAAAACTCGCTCCAGCCCCCGAGTATGGGCCACGACCGACGGTCAAGCTATGAAGTCCCTCGCACCTTCATTTCTTGCAAGGACGCGATCGATTTTGCGATCCTACGCAGCAATCAAGTCGTGGATTCAGCGCGCAGTAAGAATCGCTTCGAGATCGCCCGCAATGGGCGCCGGATCGCGGTAGTGGTTTTGAACCGACCAGCCCATCGACTCGGAGAAACCATCATCGCGGCTGTGGATTTCACCGGCTCTGCCCTGCCATGCTACGCTCTGCGAGCGACTCTAGAGACCTCGGAGAAAGTGACCCCCACCCTCGCTGTGCGTTCAAACTCGAGCATCTACCGCGCGACGCGCCGTGTCCATGCCTCTTTCTTCGAGAATACTCTGTACTCGACCCGAGTGGTTTTCAGCCCCGCGATCCCCATTTCCGCGACCCCGACGATCTTAACCAGCGGGGTTACCGTCGACTGGGAGCTGCGGTTCGAGTTCGTCACCACCAGCGCCCACACCGAGTCTAACACGCACGTGTCGGGCGCGGCGCTGCTGGAAACTCTCTCACAGGATAACAGAGGCAGCATATTAGGCGCCTTGGAGAGCATGCAATGCGAATCGTTTGAGATTGCCATCCCCATCACGGTCTACGGCGAGACGGTCAAAGAGCTGCTCCCAGAGGAGAATGAGGGCTATTCCATCTGATATCATCCTGTATATACAAGTACCTAGCTAGATGATCCTAATTTCATCTCTGTATGGAACTGAATGTGTAGTTGATAAATAGACACGGAGTACTCAATGTTCTCGTTAGTGAGTCCAAAGTACTCCGTACCTGTTCACGTGAGCCATCACTAGGGCAACGAAAGGTCCCGCCTCCGGGCGGGCAGCATCCATGGATTTGCCCCATGTCCACCCAGCGGATGATATCAGCTTGAACTGTTCACATACTCCGGATTACTTCCTGTGCGTCTTACACAATCTGGGAATAGTGAGTATTTCGGAGATCTTCCTGTTTGATCTGCATTTCAACGTCATGATGGTCGAGGTTACGTTACTAACCATGACGCTTGGAATGTAGAACCCCGTCGCCGTCGATCATTGGAGGGGTCAGTGTCTGACTGTATACATAGCGAGTGTTGGTTTTGAGAACAAAGAAAGAGAAGAGGAAAGACCAAAAACAAAAAAGAAGATAATGGCGTCCTCGTCGTTGTTCACTACAATGTTTGTCCCATCATCCTTGTCTTCTTCTGTCCCTGCCCTGCCTTCCCAAGCAAATGATGCTGCCCCTTCCTCCCTACCTTTGTCTCTGTCCAGCAAGACCATCCGAACAGCCCACCCATCGTCTTCATCTGAACCGCCTTCCTATCTCTCGCCCGCAGTGCGGGCGCTGAAACTAGGGTCGTACGACGGACTGACACCTCCTAGCAATGCGCGAACTAGGGGCCCCTTCAAGCCGCGTTCCGCCGCCAAGGGTACGACGAGTTATCAGCTGAGACAGTTTGCAGAGGCAACCCTGGGAAGCGGCAGTTTGAGGAAGGCCGTGAAACTACCCGAGGGGGAAGATCTCAATGAGTGGCTGGCTGTTAATGGTAAGATCTCATCTTATCATCCATCACTGATGATAAATAAGCCTTGGAAACTAAAAAAAAAACCAAAAAGTTGTCGATTTCTACAACCAGATAAACCTTCTCTACGGATCGATCACAGAATTCTGCTCCCCGCAAACATGTCCCGAGATGAAGGCGACAGACGAGTATGTCTTTGCCCGCCTGCGAGTTCCGAGGTCCATCCGCTGACGTTGCCCTTGCAACAGGTTCGAGTATCTATGGCAGGACTCGGAAAACTACAAGCGGCCTACCAAAATGTCGGCTCCCGCGTACATCGAGCATCTGATGAGCTGGGTACAGAGTAATGTCGATAACGAGGCCATGTTTCCCAGCAGACTGGGTAGGAGATAGATACCTGATCAGAGAAGCGTTTTTGTGAGGAACGTCTGCTAACATAAACCAGGCGTTCCCTTCCCCAAGGCATTCACCAACCTCATCCGACAGATCTTCAAGCGCCTGTATCGCGTGTACGCACACATCTACTGCCACCATTACCCTGTAGTTGTGCATCTGGGGCTCGAGCCTCATCTGAACACCAGCTTTAAGCATTATGTCCTCTTCATCGATGAGCACCATCTGGCGAGTGGGAAAGACTTCTGGGGGCCACTCGGCGATCTGGTCGAGAGCATGCTGCGTAGCGATTAATGTCTGATTCCACGCATCGGCGGAATTTCCACTGGCGTTTTCGGTTGGCTGTACATGATTAGAACTGGTGGAGATTCATGGCGTTTTTTTAGTTTGCATAAGGAACAATTGACAGATGGAAGTAAACAAAATAAAAGAACTCCTGGTTAATAGTATTCAAGCTGAAATAATAGACTCGGTCTGTCCGATCCGGGCCGGGCGTGTGCGGAACGGGTGTCTCACGTGACCTTAGCCCGGCTGGGAGAAACTCGGACGAGGGAACTCGCTTCATCACCAGAAACGAGCAACGGCCATTGAACCCCTCCGCAACCCCGTTGGCACTTTTGCGTCCGCGCCTGACTTCTTGCTTTCCTCCATTCAATCACATACATTCCCACCATGTTCGCCGCTAGAGTCGCCCGCGCTGGCCTGCGCGCCTCTGCCCAGCAATTCGCCGTGCCTCGCACTGCTGTCGTCAACGGCGTGAGGAGCTACGCTGCCGCTGCTGCCCAGGACGTCAAGCCCCCTGTTGCTCTGTTCGGCATTGATGGAACCTATGCCAGTGCTCTGGTACGTTTTTTCCCCCCTTGGTTTTCGGCTCGAACGACTTGGTTGAATTGTTTCAATTGGAACACCAACACAACAGCAAGCATACCATGCTGAGAACTACCCAAACTAACTATCGTTCTTTTTCTTAAAAAAAAGTACACTGCGTCCGCCAAGACCGCTGCCCTCGAGCAGACCTCCAAGGCCCTGACCACCCTCGGCGAGGTACTGAAGAAGGACCCGAAGTTGAACACCATCCTCGAAGCCCCGACCCTGTCCGTGTCCGACAAGCAGCAGATCATTGCGGAGCTGCAGAAGATCGCCGGCGCGGACAAGGGCGACATCATCAAGAACTTCCTCGCTACTCTGGCCGAGAACAACCGTCTCGGTGCCCTCGGTGGTGTCTGCGACCAGTTCGCTACCCTCATGAGCGCTCACCGCGGTGAGGTCGAGCTCAACATCACCAGTGCTCAGGTTAGACCCCCCCTCAGTATATTATCGTTAGTTTTTCCTCAAGACAAGCAAGGGCTAAATGTGTGTGTGTGTGTGTGTTGTAGGAACTCGACAACAAGACCATCGCCCGTCTCGAGAAGGCTGTTGCCAAGTCCGAGTTCAGCCAGGGCAAGAAGCTCAAGGTTGTCACCAAGGTACATCCACCCACACAATACTCACAAATATAGACAATACACGAAATATAGATTTGATTTCAAACTAACAATGAACAGGTCAACCCTGAGCTTGTTGGCGGTCTCGTCGTCGAGATCGGTGACCGCACCATTGACCTTAGCGTGTCATCCAAGATTGCCAAGCTGAACAAGGCGCTCACTGATGCTCTGTAAATGCAGTCATTGCCAGCGCAGTAGTTGAGAGCGGGGGATCGGGGAGAAGATAGAAGGGGTTTGTCTAACTCCGAATGTATTTCTTATTGCATAAATATAACTATCGCTGTAGAGAGTATTAAGTCAGTGCAACAGCAGTGCAGTAGTAGTCTCCATGTTCCTAGTGGTCTTCATATTCTTATCTATCCAAAAAAAAAATATCTAGTATCAATTCTATGCTCATTAACTGTATACCCCATATGTAAGCATATATATGTGGAATTAGTGACCATTAGGCTGATCCGCCAGCGTACCAAGCTCATCCTCAAAGGCTAGAGAGGTATGGCTCCGGACCCGTTGCAACTCAGTAGCGACATAATTGGCAATATGCCCCTCCTCGGAGTCGTCGCCGTCATCGTCGTGGTAGTCGGATTTGCCTTCGTCCTCATCTACGATTGAAGCGGCGTAGTCACTGCGGGCTCCGATGGAGCGGCTTGTTGACGACCGCCGTATCATGGCTTTGCCGGATGACTGGGGGCGACCGGACCGCGAGAAGATGTCGTCAAAGTAGTGCGATGCGGTGGCGAAAGGGGTCCGTGGCGTTTGGGGAAGGCGGCAGTTGAGACTGTTACAAAATGTCAGTATAAATTTCTTTAAGTTAGATTAGATCTAAAAAGGAAGCATACCCCGTGTCGTGGATTACTTTGGCAATTAGACCTGTCCAGCCGCATTGATGGGAAGCCCCCAGCCCGCGGCCGGTGTCACCGTCAAAGAACTCGTGGAACCACATGTAGTCCTTCCAGTGTTCGTCGAAGTCGAGGATATCGGAGCCGTCATTGACGGCGCGGCGGCCCTCGTCATTGCGGGCAAACAAGTGCTGGAGGCGGTGCTGTAACTCTTCCGCAACATGACCCAAGTGCATGTATTCACCGGAGCCTGTCGGACACTCGACCTGCAGCGAGTCGCCATAGAACATGTAGAAGCGTAGGAGCGACTCGACCAGCAGGAAGTTGACGCACAGCCAGATGGGTCCGCGCCAGTTGCTGTTGCCGCCGAAAAGCCCGCTGTCTGAGTCGCCGGGCACGTAACCCACCTTGAACTCCTGTCCGTTGACTTCCATCGAGTACGGGTGCTGCTCGTGGTACTTGGACATCGAACGGATTCCGTGCTTGGACAAGAACTCGGTTTCATCAAGCATCCGCTTGAGAATCTTCACCAGGCGGTCCTTGCTTACGAGGGCTAAGAGGAGCCTGTCATCCTTCCCGCGCCGTTTCATGCTAGCGATGTTCCGCTCGGCAACATCCTGCTTGTTTTCAACGAACCAGTCTAGTCGGCGCTTGAAGGAAGGGAATCGGTTTATCAACTCGGGCTCGAGAGTTAGCACCGCATATAGCGGGATCAGTCCGACCAGGGACCGCACGGGAAGCTGTTGAGTCCACGGGCCGCCGTAGGAAATGGCATCATAGTAGAAGCTGCAAATCGGAATGTTAATTTTTTTTTTTTTTAAAAAAAAGGGGGGGTAGGGGGAGTCTCACGAGTCTTCTTCATTCCACAGAGACGCTTCCATGCCTCCAGACCGGAAGGTCATGGCATCACTGATCAGGATGAAATGCTCGAAAAATTTGGACGCGACTATTCAATTAGTAAATTCGGCTGTCAAGATATTTCGGTTTGGACATACTGTCTTCATATGTGCGTCGATGTTTGGCCAACTCTAGAGCAATGTTGAGCATACACAGGCAGTAGAATGCCATCCAGCCTGTACTGTCTGCCTGTTCCAGAACACCACCAGTAGGTAGAGGCTCCGAACGGTTGAAGATACCGATGTTGTCCAGGCCTAGGAAGCCGCCCTCGAACACATTCTTGCCATCAAAATCCTTGCGGTTGACCCACCAGGTGAAGTTGAGGAGCAGCTTTTGAAAGACGCGCTCGAGGAAGTCCAGGTCCTGGCGGCCGTACATCTTCCGTTCGATTTTGAAGGTACGAAAGACAGCCCATGCATGCACAGGCGGATTCACGTCGCCAAAGTTCCACTCGTAGGCGGGCAGCTGGCCATTAGGGTGCATATACCACTCGCGAGTAAGGAGGTCGAGTTGTTTCTTTGCGAATTCCGGGTCGATCATGGCCAGCGGAATACAGTGGAACGCTGTATCCCACGCGGCAAAGAACGGATATTCCCACGAATCAGGCATGGATAGGATGTCGTCAAGATAAAGATGGCGCCATTGCTCGTTGCGGACGGACTTACGGCCAGGCGGTGGTGGAATCATGCCCGGGTCGCCGTTGGCCCACTGATCCCAGACGAAATGGTAATACTGCTTCGTCCAGAGCATTCCGGCAAAGGCCTGTCGCTGGACGCTCCGCAGGTCGTCGCTCATCGGCAGCGGATTCACCCGGTAGTAGAACTCGTCTGCTTCCGCGCGGCGCTGCTCGATCACGTTGTCAAAGACCTCCTCGTCCATGTATTCATGGGGCTTTCGTGACAGCCTGAAACGGACGATCGCACATTGTCCAGGGGGAACACCATCGCCATCGTCGAAGGCGTACCAGGCAGCAAACTTCGTACCGCGATTGGCCGGGTTAATCGCGTCCTTTTCCTCGTCGACGATGTATCGGTGGAAGGCGTCCTTAACATACGGATCCTCGTTCTTACTGCCCCAGAGAACTTGATTGTTGGTCTCATTTTCGGTAAAGATCAATCGAGGCATGATATCCTCCTCTGCGTCCTCCACCACGGCCGGAGAGGGTGCGAATCGCACAAATCTCTCCCCGATCTTTGCGTGCGACGACTGCACCGTCAACGGGCCTACCTGCTGGATGGAGGGCTTTTCCTTTTGGTTCTCATAACCCCAGGACCACGTATTGCGGAACCAGACGTGCGGGATGATATGCAGCGGAGCAGGCTCGGGCCCTCTATTGTAGGCGATGACTCGGAACATGAGCTCGTCCTCGTCATCGCCCTCTTTGGCGGTCTCGATGAAGATGTCCCAGTAGCGATTGTCTTCGAAGGCACCCGTGTCCAAAATCTGGTACTCCCGGTCCTGCTTGCCACGGCGGGCATTCTCATCGACCAGGTCCTGGTATGGGAACTTCTTCTGGGGGTATTTATAGAGATATTTCATATACGAATGCTGTCCATGTGAGCATCGCATCTAAGAATCAGTGTTCAGCCCGAGCAAGGGTAATCTTACTGTAGGAGTATTGTCGAGATGGAAATGGGCCTCCTTGATGCTCTCTCCATGGTTACCTTGAGGGTTAGACAGACCGAAGAGACGTTCCTTCAAGAAGTCGCTGAACAACCAGCGAGTCAGTATGGAAATACTGCGAGTTCGGATGAATGGGAGTAAGTCCTACTCTTTCTCATTCCAAAACGCAAACGCAATATTCTGCAGACCATGCGTATCGGAGACTCCAGCAATGCCATCCTCGCCCCAGCGATACGTCCGTGAACGAGCGTGGTCGTGCGAGAAATCTCCACGGTGGATAGGTTAGCGACACTTGCTTTTCCAGAAATCCCGACAGGATTGTGGGATTGACCTACAGCTCCAAGCATCGCCGTTATCACTGTATGCGAAGCATTGGGTTAATCATCGGTCTTGTTGTATTTCGAAGAGGGAGAAACTCACGAATAGTCCTCTCGCACTGCAGTTTAAAATGAGGTCATCAGCCACGGTCGCAACCAACATGAAATAATACGAAGAAAAAAAAAAACAGAACGTATTCATGAATGCATGATAGAAAGAAAACTCACCTGTAGCCCACTGTCGCTCGGCCACGTAGGGACCCCATCGCTTCCAGTACCGGGTGCGCTCACGGTCCTCCTTCAATCGCTTCTCCTCCTGCGTCAGATATTCGTGCTTATCAATGATGACCATGGTATCGATCGCATTAGCTGAGTAGACAGAAGATTCAGGAGAACCTGGAATATGGGGCAGAGATAGTAGCTAGGAAGAGAGAGAGGGGGAGAGAGAGAGGAAGGGAAAGAGAGGTCGGGGGAAACGAGGCAAAAAACAAGATAAGCTGCAGAACCAGCTTGCCAGATGGATGATAACTGATTGCGCCCAAAGCACGGTAAAGCCACCTAAAACTTACAGCCCACTGACTACTAATAACTACTAATAAGACCAGGCAGGGTCTGTCGAGCGTCTAGCCAGCTTATCGATAGAGAGACATCACTTTTGCCCCGCGGACGTGCTTTAGTGTTCCAAGGCGAGATGTTGGGCGGGTGGAGCCTGAGCAACCACCTACGTAGACAGAGCGATTACTGGATTTTAGTGGATGTGCCTGAGTCTGGCCCTTTTTTCTCGGGCTGGACTGTCTCAAAAGACATGAGTCTGAGTGGTCGGGTCAGATTTGCTCATGGTTTAGAGAGCAAGGGTGGTTACAACCTGCAAGGAGAACAAGAAACCGGTGATGATGATGATGATGCTGATGGTGGTGATGGTGGTTGTTTGTTGAATTTGTCAAAGTACTTCGAAGACCATGCAATGATATTACGCCATAGTAGAGACCAACATGAAAGCGGGCCACGACGCCAGGGAAGTCCAGGCCTGGTGGTTATCGCCGAGGATATCGTCACGGAAAACACAAAAACACCAAAAACGCCAGGCGTGCGTATCACAGCCTGGAGGGAGCGCGTCCCCTGATTCTTCTTCTTCCTGCTTCTGCTTCTGCTTCTGCTTCTGCTTCTGCTGCTGCTGCTGCTGCCTGGCTCGAGGTCTGGGCAAAGTCACGGCGCCCTGCGCTGCTCGACCTGGCCGGCGGCGACGGACGACGAGCCGGCCTGGTCCTCTCCGTCCCTGCCGTACGACGAGTCCCGTGAGGTCGATGAGTCTGTGGAAGCTTCAGCAGCCGGGAGACGGCGGTCAGAACCCGAGACTATCTGGGTGGTATTATTGTCCTCACCAGTCGATCGGAAGGCGCGGGCGGACTCTTGGTCTTTTCGCTCGCCGGACTCCTGATAGAAACGCAGGCTGCTTGGGTCGATCGTCATCGACTGCCGTGCCTTGAGACGCGCCTCTGTCTCTCGAATCTTGGCCTGGAGCTGTTCCAGCTCCCGGCTTTGTATCATCATGGCTTGTTTCCTGCCGGCGTCAGCTTTCCTTCCTCCACTTCAATTATTCTTTTAGTCCGGTATGGTATATATTTACTTCTGATCGATCGACTGAGTAAGGTGGTCAACGTCGCTATCGAGAGAAAAGGCACTGTCCAGCGCCGACGAGAATGCCTGGGCCATGGTCCTGCAACGTTTTGGTCAACGCCATCTTTCTCCAAGATTCTGCGAAGCTCGTAACGGGGAGGACGCACGACTGGGGTCGACCGGTGGGCTTCCATTCCCGGTCAAGCTCAATGTCTGACATGGTGGTTGTCTGCGTTCAATATATAATAGTAGTGATTATTGATTATGATTCCCGAGCGCTCGACACCGATAAGTCTTGTCTGTTGGATAAGGGGGAGGGGTAACGCGATCGGATTAATATAAATAGGGCGTATATATAGACTTGGTGTATCTCTCGGACGAATCAGGACCAGCTGAAGAGGAATGTGTTTCGTTTGTGTATGAGGGGAGTTTAGGGGAGAAGGGCAGAAGAGAAGAGGAAAAGACGAGAAAAGAAAAGAAAAGGCGAGTCAAGATGATGGACGATCTATACGCAGTAGTTCGATTTGGCTTTGTCGGTCGGCCAAGGGAGGACAAGGAGATGGAGACAAGGACAGAGACGGCGTTGGTCGCGTCCTCCACCGACTGGCGACGACAGTAGCGAATGAATTGTTATTGATGATGATAAGGTGACAGCCAGGCAGCCTGGGAATCCTCAATCCAAGAACCAGGGGTGACAGACAGCCCCAGCAGGCGGACGATCCAGGGGAAACCAGAAAGGGGCTCGCGCCTCAATAAGAATGGCTGAGGAAATTAAAATGCCCGTGGAGTCAGTCCACTCTGCAAGGGGAGATGGAGTCCACGCTGAGGCACGCAGAGCAACAAACAAAGGCATTGCATACGGAGTACTACATATTACGTACATACAGTACATATGACTAGTTATTTATGGAGCAATACTGGATTGATTCCTATCCTGACAGTTGCTGGATGGCGTATAGTAGTGGTTAGCAGTCATTCAGTGTATTCCGTATGGACTCAAAGCACTCTGCGAGCCCCTGAACAGTGGGAGAGGATGAATCAATAAGATCCAGAAGATCATCACACTAGACTCGCCATCTCTTGCTCAGGCCCTAGGGTCTCCAGCCATGAAAGTCCATAGTTTCGATTAGTTCTGAATAGCCCATCGGTTGGAGCATCTCATTCGTGGTATGCGCAGGATCCATGATTATCGCGAGGAATTACTCCGTAGTAGCAATCTCTGCCTTATGGATCACTGGTAATGCTGACAGTAATTGTTGATTATAAGCAGTATAGAGTACTCCGTAGTAATAATACAACCGTGGAGAGGGTCTGATGCACGGAGGAGTGGAGGATTTTTCTAGTTTTAAGTAAACAATGACTAGACCAAAGAGAGAAACCCCTGCCTCAGGCATAAAGTACTGGGGCCTCAGGCATCTTCACGTGATGCTGCGATTTTTTGTCGGATTCCAAGAGGGAGAGAGAGACGAGGAGACGCTCGTCATCTCCAGCTGCTCGACGAACACGACCGCGAGGCGAACGCAAATCCCCCACCTGTCAGGACGAGTGCCATCGACGTGTCCTTTTTCCATCCTGTTTTCTGCTCGCGCCGATGGACTAGATCGTTCTCCGTTGTCGGTGGTATTTTCGCTGTCCTGTTCAGTGCCCTGTCGCGTTGTTCTCCCTCCCTGCCGACCGTGACGGGCCTACGGGCCTCAACGAAACGACGTACAACCGGCCTTGACGCTGTAACACAACCACCACGCTTTCAGTTCACGCCCCACCATCACCGTGGCCCCGATCATTACACCTTCTCCCGTGAGTGACCGGCCGGCCGGGCAACGGGGGATGCCTTCGTTGTCGGCTTACACTCCGTTTGAGTCGCTGCTCTTCTTCCAATCTCTCGCGACCCTCCAGGCCCGCCCGTCAAACTTCACGGCCATCTCCCACCTACTACGCAGCAATCAGTTTATTCGCGACAATGCCGCGTTCAACGCCGACCGCCTCAGCCCGGAGGCCCTCGAGGACCTGTACTCGACATTGATGCGTGACGGTCTGGCTAGCGATGGCAGTCTGGCTTTGCCCCCGGCGACGACCGAGCAGAACGGCAACCCAAAGAAACGCAAGATCCGCATAGAAGGCGTTAACGATGCAGCCTCCCATGCAGAATTAGTGCCGGAGCTCGTCTCGTATCTGTATGCCCGATACAAGGAGCTGGTGACAAAGGAGATTGCATATGAGGAGAAACGGTACCGCGAGATCAGCGACGAGATCGCACGCCTGGAACAGGAAGAGGCCCGAGAAGAACGAGTAGCGACTCCAGCGGGCACTCTTTCAGCACCAGAACCGATGGACCTGGATGTCAAGGAATCGCCTGCTGCTCCGCCGCCGGCCAAGGGAGTCGCTAAACCGGTTGTCGAACCGCCCAAGGTGGAGGAGGAGATGAAGGAGCTTCCGGCTACACCCTCCAAGAAGCCTACGGCACCTCAGAAACCTCCCAAAGTTGTTTCACCCATACCGATTCCTGTCCTAGCTCCTGAACCAAGCGTATCGCAACCAGCAGGAACATCACAACCATCACCACCACCGCCGCCGCCACCTCCTCTTGAACAACCTCCTACGAAACCTCTCCCACAACCTCCCGCGCAACCTGCTGTCCCACTTCCTGCAAAACCTCCTTCGCAACCGGCAGCTGTAGCGCCGCCACCGAATGGTCAGCAAGCACCATCACCTGTCGTGGAAAAGCCATCTCAACTCCAACTGCCGAATGGAAATGCAGCTGCGGGTCCTCCACATCCATCAAGCGTCGGCCCCCAGGCAACTCCCATAGCCAGAAAAACCTCGCCTTCTCCTCCTCCAACCCCTCAATCTCAACGCCAGCCAGCCCCCGCGAGTGCTGCACGAACGCTCCCAGTGCCCCCGCGCCAGTCCGCCCAGACCCCCGCCTCGGCTGCCAAGGGTGTCCGAAGGACCTCTACATCGGCCAAAGGAACCCCGCAGCGCCCTCCAAACCAGCAGCCATATTCAACTTGGCATGAGAAGCAACTTCCCCCACCACCTTATCCTCCTCCATCTCCTGAAACCTTCGCCCCCGGCGCGACCCCGACCCCTCAGTCGGCGCCGCCAGTAGCTGGCACGACACAACCTCAGGCAGCACCCCCTTCTCGGCAAGCTGCCCCGGTTCCGGCCGGAAGACGTTCCAGTATTGGTCTTCCAACCACCGTACCATCGACGCCCGGTCCAGTGCCGTCAGCTGCATTCCAAACACCCATCCCCCCTACTTATGTACCTCAGACGCCGGGTGCCCTCACACAGACACCTCTTCCATTTGCATCACGGAGCCACCGCCCGTCTCTACTGTCGGTTGCCACACCAGGCTCTCTCACTCCATGGAAGTCTCTTCCTCGTCTGAGTATACCCGATACTCCCGGCTCCCCCGTTCGGCCGCGAGCGGAAGAGATCAGTCCCATCAGCGACCGAGCGCCATCACCAATCGAGGCGTTACCACCTCCACGTGCTCCCGAACCACGCCGTCGAGGCCGCCCGCCTGGTAAGAAACGCCGGGATGCGAGTACGACTTCTTCGCAGGGCCGTGGGCGTTCTGTGACCGCGCGCGATGATAAGGCTCCGACTACGACTCCGGCTACAATGGAACCAGGAGCTGGCCGGATCAAGCGCGAAACTTTGGACGACGGAGACCTGGACGGTCGTGTTGCCTCTCGCCGCAAGTCGAGTCTTCAACTCGGTCCAGCCGAGGAAGCAGCACCGCCCCCCTCCACGAAGGGTAGGCAGAAACGCAAACGTGGTGCGAGCGATTCTGCCGAGCGGGAGGGATCTTCTGCACATGTTTCTACTGTACCGGCTGTTCCTCTCTTTGACACCCACTCATACGTGCTCTGTACGCGCAACTTCCCGCGCACGGGGGCCCCGATCATGAACGACGTGACGATGCACAAACACGCTTCGATTTTCGCTAAACCACTTGCAGAGCGCGACGCCCCGGGGTACCGTGACTTGATCTACCGGCCGCAAGACCTGAAATCGATCAAGTCGGCAATCCACCAGGGCAGCCGGGCGATGGCCGCCGCAACCGAAGCCGCCAGCACGCCAGCGGACGGCGAGTCGCCGACGCCGACGACTGCACTAGCAACAGGTAGTACTGGAGGACCAGCAACGCTGACTCCCGGCACAGGAAGCACGCCGTTGAAGAATGCAGTGCTGATGCTGCAGAAGACGGAAGAGGTGATTCCGCCGCGGGGGATCGTCAACTCGGCGCAGTTGGAGAAAGAGCTGATCCGCATGTTCGCCAACGCAGTCATGTTCAATCCAATCCCGCAGCGCGGGTTTGGCCCGGCGTTCCCGATGATCCGCGACCGGACGGGACTCGACGGCTCCGATGCTCGCGGCGAGAACGGGTCTGCCTCGGCTTCGCGCGAGAGCAGCGCCCATTTCCTCCTGCCGGACGTAGACGACGCCGCGTGCGGGATCATCAAGGACACGCGCGAGATGTTCGACGACGTCGAGCAGGCTGTTACGCGGTGGCGGGCGGCGGAACGCACCGCGGACGAGTTGGCTAGCAAGTCGGTGTTTTCCTTGCGGCGGGGGAGTCCAAGTGATGGAGACTAGTATTAATGAATTAAGATTTTTTCTTTCAGCAGTAAAACTTTTCATTATCATAAAAATCTATATACAATAGTGAGTGGGTTCATTTTGTCTATGCAGTCAACGGCTTCGTCCTCCCTAAACCACCCTTGGCATAAAAGTCCATCGGGTACACGCCGTCATTCTCCTCCTCCCAGCCCTTGCGCACGTCAAGCGCCACGAGGGCCTCGTAGGGGGTCAGCAGCGGGCGGGGAAACGCATACCCCCAATCGATACTCAGGCGCGGACAAGCAATCTGGACCCAGCACTCGACATCGGCCATGGCGGCGAGCTTCCCCGGAAAGATCTCGCTGAGGAGCAGGTTGACGAAGGGGATGCCCCGCTCTGTCAAATGGGCCTCGATCATCGACATGGTGTGCGGGTTACCCTGCCGTCCGAGCGCGCCGAGGATGATCCCCCACTTGCGGGCGGAGCGGGCGGTGGTGATGGCGTCGCGGCGGAGCGAGTGCATCTCTTCGTGCGAGTAGGTCTCGCGCGAGAGGGTGCGCGAGTAAGGGTCGTACCGGTAGGCCGGGATGGTCGGGTTATGGATCATGGCGGATTCGAGGTGGAAGCGCCCGTCACCTAGGTAAAGCAGGATGTCGACGGCGTCGGCTCCATCCTTGGCGAGCGTGGGGGACGTACAGCCCAGGATCTCGCCCTTGGATAACGGGGTGATCTGCGGGATGATGACTTTGAAGCCGGCGCGCTCGAGGACGGGCCGCAAGCCGTGCAGGGTGGCGTTGAACTGGATGGTGCCCACGGTGGCGATGGTCTTGCCGGCGGGGAAATTGCGCTCGAGCGTTGCCAGCAGATGCGCCGTGTCGATGGAGATGTCGACGAAGACGTACAGCGTCTTGATGGTGGTCACGTCGACGGGGATCAGGCAGCTGTGCGCGTAGTGGACTAGCAGGTCGCAGCCCAGGGCCCGCGCAGTGTAGTCGTCGATGCAGCATGCTCCGTACGTCACGTCCCCCATGATGAGCGTCTCGATGCCGTCGCAGAACTGGGTTAAAATATCCGAGATGGTCGTCGCGAAGAGCAGCAGTCCCTCGGGGAACTGCAGCGCCACCCGTTTGGCACCGCTGCTCCGGATCCGATGGATCGTCTTGGGGATCTCGAACGAGTAGTTTTTCGGCAGCAACCCAATGGCGGCTTGGATCTCCGGGTCCTCGAGGATATCAGCCGGTACTTGATTCAGCGTCCGCGGTGTGCGTCGAGTCGCTATCTCGTCAGCATCTTTGCCCCTCCCTCTCTGCTCTATGCTGGTAGGAACGTACCCCTCTGCACCGTTGTCGACTCCACGTCCTGGCTCGAACTTGTCGGCTCCGCCGTTCGCCGTCCAACAAACCGCTTCTTCGGCTGTCGCAACTTGCTCGGCTCCTCCATGATGTGATGTGTGGTGCTGTGGCGTGGTGTGAGATCGTGCCTATCCAAATCTTCCCTTTTTTTTTTTGGTGGGGGGAAAAAAGGCCCAGGAGGGGACGATAAAACCCCGTGACTTCTCCGCATTTCATGATCGTCACAGCCGGGCGATAGCCTGATAGCTTCAGGATTGAGGTTCGCTTCTTCTCGATATATTTACCCAGCTATTTCTTCTGTCTATTGTAAATCTGTAACTATATCCTGCCTGCCATGATGGCTTGCCCACGACGACGGTTATTCTCTGCTTTGTCTGCTCTTCGAGCGTCTGGCCGCCGCTTCTCGACTGAGGCGCGGTTAACGGCGGACCACGTCCGCATCGTCGAGGTCGGGGCTCGCGATGGGCTGCAGAACGAAAAGAAGTCGATTTCGTTGGAGACGAAAATCCAACTGATTGAGAAACTGGCCCGGACGGGCGTCACGACGATTGAAGCGGGCTCGTTTGTGCCGGCCAAATGGGTTCCCCAGGTAGAGCGCACCCACGGTCAACCCCTTGAACCATGAGATTGTATTTATTGTATTGATATATCAATGTGGTAGATGGCGAGCACGGCAGAAATATGTGAATATCTTCTCCAGTCCCCTCCGCCTTGTCAACATGCGATCGCGTACAACTACCTCGTTCCCAACATTAAGGGGCTGGAAGGTCTGGTCAAGATCATGGACAGACTGGGGGCGGCAGCAGAGACGGATGGTTCGGAGACGAAGCCTGCGGCCAGAACAGAGATCTCGCTGTTTGCCGCCGCGACCGAGTCCTTCTCCAAAGCCAACACCAACTGTACGGTGCAAGAGTCGCTCGAACGCATCAAGCCCATCGTGGCGCTGGCCAAGGAGAAGAAGATCCGGGTGCGTGGATACGTCTCGGTGGCGCTGGGCTGTCCGTACGAAGGGCCAGATGTCTCGCCCTCCAAAGTAGCGGAGATCACCGCGACCCTGCTGGAGATGGGCGCGGACGAGGTGTCCGTGGCGGACACGACGGGGATGGGCACGGCGCCACGCACGCAGAAGCTACTACAGACCCTCAAGGCGGCGGGGATCGCCAGCTCCGACCTGGCGCTACACTTCCACGACACGTATGGCCAGGCATTGGTCAACACGGTCGTCGCCCTCGAACACGGCATTCGCATTTTCGACAGCAGCGTCGGCGGGCTGGGAGGCTGTCCGTACTCCAAGGGTGCCACCGGCAACATCTCTACCGAGGACCTGGTACACACCCTGCACAGTCTCGGCATGCACACGGGCGTCAACTTGGAGGAGATGTCGCGCATCGGGGCCTGGATTAGCAGTGAGCTCGGCCGCCACAATGACAGCAGGGCTGGCAAGGCCACATTTGCGAGGCTTTCCGAATAGGGCATTCCATGAGAGAAAAAAAAAATCTTTATATTCAACCCCATTGATACAGATCCATTGTACAAACTTTTTTTCTATATATAAATAATTAGAAATCCGTCACCCGTCCGCCGTAGCTCCAATCCCCCTGCGCTCCCCAACGCAGCGGCTCGTTCTTTGGCCCCCCGACCTCCCCCGTCCGTGGATTCTTCTCGCCTTCGAACTCGGGCTTCAGCGTGACGCCCACGGGAGTCGTGATTGTTGTCTGGTCCTCGCCCTGGCCCTGCTGGCTCTTAGCCTGGATCTGCGCCCTCATCGCAGCCAGCCGGTCTTCCGACGATTCCGCCCCTTCCGTGTTCGGCGTGCTGAATGCACCCGTCGACTGCCGCTGCAGTCTTTCGAAGATCTCTTGTTCCTCCTTGGGGAGACGCGGAGGCGCCGGGGCGCTAGCAAAGGGACTCGGCTTGTCGTCTGCGGCGTTGCGGAGAGATGAGGTTGTAGAGAGACTGCGCGAGGAGCGGAAGAGGGGGGAAGACAGAAGCGTTCGACGGAGTGCGAAAGACATGGTGGGTAGGAAGACGAGTGATATCCCACTAGTTTTGATGGTTCAGGGTATTTTTCTGTTATATTATTAAGTGCTTCCTAGACTTGAAGTTGTCGTGGTGAGTTTAGCCAAGGTTGAGACCTCCGATAAGCGGTGATAGCGAGGGATTTAATCCCAGAAATGACTCCTCCATCTCCACGTCTCGTAAATAAATTGAGTCCCACCTCTCCCTTTCTTTTCCCGCTTCTTCTGCATTGCTTCTTTCTTTCTTACACTCTCCGTGTGTCCGTTAGCTTTTTCGTCAATGGCGTCTCGTGTGTTACTGCGGCGATTGCCTGCTGCAGCGTCGGCCCCCAGTCGGCGATGGCTCTCTGCGACAACGGCATTCCGGGCTGTTCAGAAGGTAATGAATTGTGTCTCGCTCAATTTTCTGTAGATTTATAATTTCTATGGCTAATGGTTGTTCGAGCAGAATGTTCCCAATCCCGATCCTACGCCTGACTCGCCTACCGTCGCCGTCATCAAGGACCGCGCGCCGTTTATGGTCCCCACGTATGTGCGTCCAGCGCCGGTGATGGTCAAGGGCCAGGGCTGCTACCTCTGGGATATGGAGAACAGACGGTATCTGGACTTCACGGCGGGAATTGCAGTCAACTCGCTGGGTCACTGTGATCCTGAGATCTCTAAGATCATCGCTGAGCAGGTACACCACCACACTCACAACCTAGACGCTTATATACAGAACGACCTAATCCTGTACCCTAGGCCGAAACGCTCATCCACGCATCCAACCTCTATCATAACCCGTGGACCGGGGCGCTGAGCAAGCAGATCATCGAGCTGACGCACCAGACGGGCGCGATGCGTGACGCGGCGCAGGTCTTCATCTCCAACTCTGGCACTGAAGCCAACGAAGCCGCCATCAAGTTCGCCCGCAAGGTCGGTCGCTCGCTTGACCCCTCGGGGGCGAAGCACGAGTTTGTCTCCTTCCACAACTCCTTCCACGGTCGGACCATGGGCGCCCTCTCCGCGACGCCCAACCCAAAGTACCAGACGCCGTTTTCCCCGATGGTCCCGGGCTTCAAGTACGGCAAGTACAACGAGATCGACCCGCTGGCCACCCTCATCACCGAGGCGACCTGCGGTGTCATCGTTGAGCCCATCCAGGGTGAAGGCGGCGTCCACGCCGCCACGCCGCAGTTCCTTGCCGCCCTGCGCCGCCGCTGCGACGAGGTCGGCGCCGTCCTGATCTTCGACGAGATCCAGTGCGGTCTGTCCCGTACGGGCTCCTTCTGGGCCCACGCCCACCCGACCCTCCAGGCCGGCAACACTCCCGCCGCCCACCCGGACATTCTCACCACCGCCAAAGCTCTCGGCAACGGCATCCCCATCGGCGCTGCCATCATCTCGGGCAAGACCGTCGCCCCGCACATCGTCCCGGGAGACCACGGCACCACCTTCGGCGGCAACCCGCTCGCCTGCCGCGTCGCCCACCATATCCTCGAGCGTCTCGCCGAGCCTGCCCTCCAGGAAAACGTGCTGGCTCGCTCCAACCAATTCGTCGCCGGATTCAAAGCCCTCCAGGACAAATACCCGGGCCTCATCGCCGAGGTCCGTGGCCAGGGGCTCATCCTCGGTGTACAGCTCTCCCCAGAGTTCATACCCAAGGCGGGTGACCTCATCACCGCCGCTCGTGAACGCGGCCTCCTCATCATCACCGCGGGAGAAGGGTGTGTCCGCTTCGTGCCGCCGTTGAACATCTCCGAGGCGGAGGTCAAGGCTGGTCTGAAGGTTTTGGATCAGGCGTTCGAAGCAGTCAGGTCTTAAAACTAAACCCCCCCAAGTCTGTATATATACCACTATAGAATATAAAAGGATTTTTTATGTCTTCAAAGCAATGCTGGTTTCAGTAGAAATTACCTGTGTAAGAGTTAGATATATCTAGTTATATCCTAAGGAGTCCTTGCACCCTCTCCAATCCCCATCAACCCACCCGCCAACCCGGTCATCCGTCGGTCCAGGAGATCCTCCTCGCTCGCCAGGCTCGTGAAGCTCCTCTCGCGACGGATCTTCACCCTGGTACCCTCGCTTTGATCCTTATTCTGAAGGTCAGGCAAGGCAATCGACATCACCGGTCTATCCTTACGTTTGGCTTTCGAGGGTCTCCCATTTGGCGATTGGGGATGTTCCGTTTCCGCTTGAGCTGGCGAGCTCCCTGGTCCATCTAATGGTGTCAGCGGTCGAATATTCGACACGCCCATTTCCAGCGGTTTGTCCTCGTCTGCGGACGAGTCACCCGTTGGGGTCCGCTTATGGCGTCGAGGTTTGAGTTGGTGCGTACTGGCCGTCAGGCTCGGTGTGGGAGATGGCAATCTACTGGCCTCTGCCAGAGTGAAGAGCTCTTCGATCCACTTTGCGCATCGGTTGATGTGCTTCCAGCTATCCGGGAAGAAGCCCGCAAATTGGAGAAACCCATGTGAGATGCCTGGGATCAAGGTCACGTCGACATGGTCCTTCTCATTGAAACTCTTTTGTGACTTCTCCAAACCTAGCTCCTGTCGTTCGTTGAACTGATGCAATTTGGCCTGGCGCAGCCGACCCGCGAAGATCACCGTGTCGTCGACCAGCGGATCGCGCTCACCCGTCAGGAGAAAGGTCTTGGGGAACCGAGCAAGAAGCGCCTCTGGGGCGAGAACGGGGGAGAGGAGAAAGTCTGTGCTGAAGTCAGGGCGGTTGTACGGGCCGATGTACAAGATGATCATGGCTCGCATCATTTCTGGTGTCAAGATTCGGTCGTGGACGTAAGAGATCATCGAAGAGACGGCCAGACGGGTCCGAATCTGTGGGGAGAGGGTCTGCAAGGGAGCAGCAAGTTGGCCCGCTTCCTTGAGCGTCTCGGCCGTGCTCTGAGGGGTGGATTTGTCACCACCGAAATCTTTACGTTTGAAGTAGTCGGGACCAGACGTGTCAAGGATTCGCTCGTCAGAAGCCACGGGTGTGGCAAGCGGCGTGATCCGACGGTACTCTTCGTTCTTTCGGTTCAGGACGTTTTGGTTCCTCTTACGGACACTCGTCTCTTGAATCAGCGACATCTGCTCCTCTGTCATCCAGCTCTCCACTCTCATGTTCAACGACGGGTAGACCAGGACCAGTCCGTCCGGCGCAGGAAGAGTGTCTTCTCCATGCCACCGCCGCGACTCAGTGCTGCCAGACTGCAGGATCATTAAGGTCAAGCCCACAGCAAGATTTCCACCGGCGCTTTCCCCGGTCAGCACGATCTTAGGCGGGGACTTTCCGCTCAAACCCAGACAGCGACCGCGAGTCGCAACGATGGTATGGTAAACATCGTAACACTCGTTCAATGCATATGGATAGGGATATTCGGGGGCCTTTCGATAGTCGATGCTCAATATCGGCACCTTCATCTTGCCTGCCCAGGCAAGAAGTTTATCCTCGGACATGCGAGGACCCATTGCCACGAACCCACCGCCCGGAATATCCAGAACCACGCAGGTTTGCTCTTGCAGGGAGCTCAAGGAGCCATCAAAATACAGCCACGCATCGGTTGGTTCTTTGTATACTGATTGTTTAGGGCGCGGTATCCGGATGGCTCGTGGGGGATAACTGGTCAGCCGTGGTCGGACGAGTTTCGAGAGGGCCCACAGATACGGTGTAGTCGCTTTGTTCCACGAGACACGCAGGTGGTCCACAGTCAGCGTGGCTCGAACTCGTCGCACTTTGTCATCCGCGCGCTCGGCTGCGAAGAGATAGTAGACTGTGAAGACCAGAGAGGCCAGGTCCCGCAGCCATTTTGGCTTGACCCGCATGGCTGTCCAGAATCCCGCATCCATAGCGGTAGCGATCCATGTGGCACGAAAGAAGGAGCGTGAGTAGAGGTTGGCCATCGGTTCCGGGCTCTCCAAACCGACGATCTTGGAGAAATTCCGACAGATATACAGCCATACCAGAACGACCACCGTTGTCTGCCATGGCGTCAGCTTGCCACCGAGGCGGGCTGAGAACTTTCGAATTCCGGGAGGACCATGACTATTTCCTCTACTCGCATCAAGTCAGTTTAAGAAAGAAACAGAACGTCTGTCAAGTTCACGGTACCGGAGTAAATAGTAAGACCAAAATGACACAACAGCAAAGACCTGGAGCTTGCGAAACTTCGTTGATGGTCTGCCGAGAACGTGATCTATATTACATTAGCATGAACTATCATATGGTAGAAATCGATTCTTCGGCCTACCAATCATTATTGGTTCTGCGTAATCGATATCAGTATTTTGTTCATTACACACCCTACAGCAGACCCTCGTAGCAGTGCAGACGCCAGACCAACTCTAGTCACGGTAATCTAGTGAAAATGGCACAGCACTGGGACTTCCCAAGCCTGGGGGTTCTGGATAAGATTGTAGGTACTGGAGCAGGTGAACTCAGGCAATGGCTGTGAGGCTTATTCGATAATTCGATAAAGTGTCCTCGGTGCAAACGGGCTGCCCATCCCCTCGTATACTTCTTTATCCAGCACCCAGCATCCAGGGCATCTCACATGTGAACTGCACGCGGCCCACGGGGCAGAAGTGGCGGTCCCCAGTGGAAAGGCCAATGATACGCAAACAAAGAAAATAAATGACGCCCCTGGCCCACCAGAGACGTCTGGTTGATGATTAATTGAGACACGAAGAAGCCAGCTAGCTGGTGGGCAGCTCAGCTGGACCGGGAGAAGTCGATTGAATTGTTCGGAGGCAGAAGACGAGGGTCCCTGGAGTCTTTGACATGTGAAAGTCACGTGAGGGTACCGTTCATCATCATGTGGTCTCTTAGTCATTTTGTAAACAGGAAATACCAAGAGGTGCCTGCTATATAGATATATAGATACCTACCTAGATAGAAATCTAGATATCTGGATATTTACTAGGAACCTCCACTGGAAATGTCTATAGTTTCCGGCAATAGTCTTTACCCCGGGCCACCTGCCAGTCACACAGCCAGATCTCAAAGGCCATGCTGAGGAAGCCGGCGATGCAGATGCCGCCCGAGTCGCTGACAGTCGTAGCACCGAGTGAGAACTCGCGCTCCTGGCTCGGAACACGGTCGCTGATTTCCGCAAAAGTGTTGACATAGACAAGCCCACCCAACAGTCCTTCCCAGAAGATGATGGCGAAGACCAGATAGACACTCGGAATGAAGTCGAAGAGGGATTGGAGGATGAGTAGGATTAGATTTAAAACTTGGAGAAGTGACGGCAGGTACAGGTTGTGGATCCGGAAGAACGGCGTCGACGAGCGAGACAGGAAGACGCCGACTTGGTAGATGGCGTTATAGGTCGGGTAGAAGGCGCGAAAATGCTCGAATGGCGAATCTTTCAGCGGGAACAACAGGGTGGGGGAGACGCCTTGATTGATGGTGTATTCTGCGATGTAGACCAGGAGCATTGGGACCATGCTGTACGAAAAAGAGTCAATGATCATTGAACCTTCAGTGGGATAAAAGAAAAGGTCACTTACTATGGGAAAAACAGCTTCTTCACCCGTTGTATGCTCACTGTTAAACGCTGGCCCCGTATCGACTCGCCGTTCGCGGCAGTGTGTCCACACCCAGTAGTAGACGATTCAAGAAGACCATCCTGTTCGTCACGGATCCCGTTCCCATATCCCTCATCCTCGACCTCCTCAAGGGGTTCAAAATCATCCCGGAGGCGATCACCACCTGCGATTGACTGGTACTCTGGCTTTCCCGCCGACACAGACCGGAGCGGGCCTCTCGGCAAGACAATAAAGAAGCTTACCATCATCACGGCAGGGAGACACGCCGACGCGAGGAGCGTAGCCTTGACACTAAACCCCAAAGACGAAGTCGCCAGGGCGTACGCACCCGCGCCCACCAGTCCCGCGGCGCCCGTCCCACTGCCCCATGCGGCCAGACTGAACGGCCCGTAGTAATGGACCAGGGCGACGAAGCTCAGCTCGCCAGCTCCGCTAGACAGGCTGGCTAAGACTATACCCGCGATCTTCGTCGAGATGGCTCCTCCGTCTGTATACGCCGGACTCAAAGCCACCACCGACATCCCCAGAACCGACAACATGACGCAGATCATTATTCGCATCGAGTAGGGTACCATATGGATGAAATAGGGGGCAACAAGTTTCGTTCCGAAGGACGGGATCACATCTGCCAGCAGTACTACCCCTTTAGGAACCTCGGGGCCCACGAGGTCCAACGCAGCGGAGAGGATAATAACATAGAGCACATTGTTGATAAGACCTTAGGGGGGGGGGGGAGGAGTCAGAACGTTGCCTAGTCATCCCATCGAGGCTCAAGCTTACCAAACAGCCAAAAAGCAATGCAAACTCTCGGATCTGCGCCGTTAAATGTCCTCCTCAGACGTTCACAGAATACGGCCCAAGAAGACGACGGGGCCCCTGGTAAGGGTAGCATCGGTGTAGGATCCTCTGCGACAGCTCCAGGCATTACTGGCAACCAGAAAAAAAACCCCCGAGTAACACGATTCAGCTTCGGTATGCGTGTCAACCTCTAGACCTACCAGAAAAGAGCCATTTTGTCGGTGTAACGAGGCCTGGCAGTTGTGGACGTTGAGGTCGAGGTCGAGGTCGAGGTTGAGGTTCCGCCGGTCTTGTGACCCGCAGCTGGTGGTTACACGTCGATCTGCCTTGATGACATGATCCGCACGTCGAGTGCACCGTCGTATTCGGACGAATGATGCTATTTATTATTGACTTATCATTGTCTCCTTTCGTCGCTCCCGAATTGCTTGATTTTGATGCCAAGTATCAGATTCCTCAGCGCCGCCACCAGGGACACTGCCTCGTTGCAGCCCCATCAAGACTCAAACTGTCTCACTCGGTGGCGATCCCACACCAAGAAGGACCATGGTGGGAGCTGTGGATCAGGAACATTATAGGCCTAAATGGATGTAAGACATTTCAGGACCTCATTAAGGTTATTTTAGGCTCTAGCCCCGATGCCATTCAAGGATCCAATTGCGTGCTTCCTCATTACTGGCGGTGGGTATGCACGCCCTCGTTTTAAACCGTTGCAGCCTGCAGGGAGGGGACGACTGGCTGACTCTCGCTGTTTTCTGTGCAGGCTTTTTTACATTCTTTCTGCTTCGGCATTCATTCAGCTCTGCTCCTGCTTTCGCTCGCTTTCATATTTCCTTAATATCTCACTTCGGCGAGAGAGATGCGTTGGTAGTGGGATTTTCACGATCTGAAGTCTCCAGCATCACTTTTCGCTGCGTCAAACCCTTGATTTTTATCCAACCTGATGTCTACCTGATGTATACCTGTCGAACCGATCGTTAATGGCTAGACCATGGCCAGTCAGCCTGTTTTCGAGCCGCTTGGCGACTCGCGATCGTCGTGTCAAATACCTCTCCGCAGCTCCGAGGAGACCCACGACGATGAATATGACATGTGGATGATGGAAGATCATCCGCTGCGTGCATTCCCCAAGGAGTGCTGTCCCAGTATTATCTACTTTCTCGAATCCCGGTATCGTGTCGCACGGCGGAACTGGGGCGAAGGCATCTTTCGCATTGTCTGTCTTCTCCTCATGGTGGCGTAAGTTTAAACTCCACGTGCAAATGTGGACTTTATTATTGGCAGAAATTGTTCTTCTTCTTCCTCTTCTTTTACTAACGAGTCTATAGAGTGCTGGTTCAGGCCTTTGTGACTGTGTACAAAACCCTTCCTTGGCTTCTCGTTGGCGAAAACTGGGCCGACGAGTCGTGGGATCGACCGGGAGATGGACACCCGGGTTCTGCTCGGTGGCCCGATGAATGGAAGGATTACGACCGGTCGATCTCCTGTCTTTCATATTACCCCCATGCACACTTCAAAGCCATTCAGAACAGTCTCGAGTACGGATGCACGGGACTCCGGACCGATATTTGGCTTCACCAGAATCAGATCCTTGTGGGCGAGTCGATTGTCGCTCTTGACTCGCGCCATACTTTGCAGAACACATACCTCGGTCCGCTGTGGAACGAGCTTGAGCTTCTGAGCCATGCGCCTGGCCAGGCAACGTCTCTCCAGAGTCTGTTTGACGCGGAAACGAACCGGACGTTTGTTCTCGTCTTGAACTTCAAGTCCCCCATGCAGATGCTGTGGCCGCAGGTCGACGCTCTGCTCGACCCATTCAGACAAAAGGGATATCTGACCCATCTGAATGGGTCCCAGGTGGTACATCGGCCGGTCACTGTCATGTTTTCCGGTCGTGTTGCAAGTGGCGATATGGATATGGTAGCCCCGGATATCTTCTTCGACAGAACCCTCGACGATCTAGTCTTGGAGGACGAGGAAGAGCATCCTCAGCAATCTCCGAAAACACCTCCCGGCACGGCAGCAAATGTCATGGCTGCGACTGCGAATTTCAAGGAGTCCATTGGTCGGCCGCATCGCGGCCGGTTCTCTCCCCGACAGGTAGAACTTATCCGGGCGCAAGTGCAGGCTGCTCATCGGCGAGGCCTGCTCGCTCGGTATGAAGGGCTGCCGCAGTGGCATGGAAAGCTGCGCGATCTTATCTGGCAAACGCTGGTACAAGCCGGGGCCGATCTAATAGAGGTCGAGGGGGGGAGATGGTAAACCATATGAAATAAATATATTAGTTCATAACCGAGTAGTTTTATGAATAAATAAATACTGCCTTATATATCAACCATGTAGAGTCCGACAATATCTTCCTGGTCTAAATTCATAATAGTAATTATCTTTTACTATAGACTGAATTTTTAAATACCGTGGTACATAGACAAACCTCTTACCTATGTACGGAGTAGTATCGCCAGTAGTATCGCCAGTACGACTACTACTACTACTACTACTACTACTACTACTAATAATAGAGCACTGTCTGACTATCAATGTACCTAGTTCCTAGTACTAATGTGAGGAATGAATCAACCATACAAGATGTCATCCGTGCCACAAAGAGGAGATTCGGGCATCGACTCGTGTTGGCATCCATGGATGGGCTCCACAGGCTTCCCCGCAGCATTCAATATTGGTACGTAGTTTATCTTCTGTCCTGATGAAGATTGAAGATATGAATTAGTATATTAAGAAGTTAAATATCTTGGTATTATAGAATATTTAGTATACAATGAGGGTTCTTTTGATTTGGTTTTTTTTTTCAATAGTGGTAAAAAAGTCCAGTGTCCAGTCAAGCTAGTGAAATCCCAGTCCGCCGGTCCCTTCCCCATGTCGCATGCGCTTCAACTCATCTCACCGTTTTTTTCCTTCTAGCGAACGCAAATCCTGCAAAACATTTCCCTGTCGCTGAAATATATCTATATATCTACCTATATATCTATCTGTATATATATATATATATTCGAGCCTCTAGGTAAGAGAATCAACTGATACACGTCGGACAATACAGCCTCCAGCTTTACCGCCATTCGACGGAAACCGCCGTGCTCGGTCTGGGTGATTAACCCTCACCTCCGCGCGTCGACGCTCGTCTCTTTGAAGAGAGAAGAATGGACTTCAAAAAACACCTCTCCCACCAGCGATATCATCGTTCTCCGCTTTTTGGTGTCACCCACGACGCTCGTACGGCGGCCGCCCCGTCCTTGCCCACCACCACCACCACCACCACCAACACTATCAACAACACTATCAACAACAGCAGCAGCAACAGCAGCAGCAACAGCAACAATTATAACACACACGCGTACCACGTTGCCTCGCGACGAGAAACCGAAATGTCACACCAGTCGCCCTTCCACCATTACCACCAGTCTTCCTCCGTGTCCTCCATCGAGAAATCCGGTTCGCAGGCGCCTTATGCGTCGCTCCGGGCAGACACGGCGGCCACGGCAGCCATAGCGTACCACAACCATCGGTCCCACAAAAGACACAGCAGTGCTAGCAGTGTCAAGGAGGGAGGGTTCTTCCAACACAGTACGTTAAATATATATATATATATATATATATATATATTCTTTATATATATTCTCTTATATTCTATTTCTCAGCCACTGTGGCGCGGGATCGCCCAACGACAAGATGAGCGCTCGGGAGCGCTAGTCGCTTTTAGGCTCAGGGCAGCTCAGGGCGCCTTGCCTGGTTGGGCCTAGCATGGCTCAGATCCCAAAAGTCACGGGTTGGCCCCCGGCTCCACTGCTTTTGCAAGCTGCAGTGCGATCATCGCTCTGCTTCTATCACGAGAAGAGGAACCCTTCTGCTCTTGACCATCCTGTTTCTACTCTTTCTCCACCTCTGTTCTTCCGTTTTTTCTTCGTTTTTCTTTGTTGTGCAGTGTTGCCTTGTTTCCCTGCTGATGCTTTAAGCCTCGCTGGCCCCGAACCAGCCCCTCCGCGACATGAATGCCCGGTCGCAGTCGCGCGATCAGCCCCGGCGGACCTCGCAGGGAAGCCCTGTCTTTGCAGGTGAGTGAAGCCTTGAAGGAAATCTTTGTTGTTGGCATGCGTTCTCTGCTTCTGCTCCTTCTGCTTCTTTGTTCTTCCCTCCCCTGCCTATCTGTTATTCGGTGTTTTGCTCGCCTTCGCGTCGTGTCCAAAACAGGAAGCTTCCATCGTTGAACTGACCGCTGTGCCTAAAACAGGCCATCAAGACCAACCGTCTTCCTCCTCGCACACTCTTAATGCCCGTCAGATGCCTCCGCCTTCCTCGCCACAACCGTATCTGTCTCGCGGACAGCCGGGTAACAGCCACACCGCCGCCTCCTCCTCCTCGTCCTCCTCGTTGTTTGCACGCGATCCGCTGAGCACCCATCGGCCAGGCAGCAGCATGTCGATATCCTCCATGCTCGGCTCCGACGCCGATCGCCCCGGCCGTGATGCTGCCACGGCTGGTGTTGGTGCCGGTGCTGCTTCCGCCCCCGCTTCCTCGACTTCGTCGCTCTTCCCGCGCGCGTCGGCGGCCCCTTTTGGCAGCGCGCCCCCGTCAACACCGGGAGCCATGTCTCCCCCGACCGCTCCCGCTAGACCCCCATCCTTGGACTATCCTCTCTTTCGCCGGTCGCATACTCCCGAGAAGTCTATCGCGAAGGTCCATCCCGGCCGACCGTACCGGTCGAGCTCGGGTGGCGTGACGCAAGGGTCGGTCGGGGACCACCAGCACCACTCCAAATTCGGCTCTATCGGACGCCCGCTGCAGACGTCGCACTATCCCGACAAGTCAGCTAGCTCTGCTCAACCATCACCACCTATCGCCGCGGTGGACGTCCCCTACGGAGATTCGCGTCGCCCCAGTCTGAACGGCTCGATTCCTCGGCCGAACAGCCAGCCTCAGCACGTGGAGACGCGTCAGCCCGCCTACAGCCCCCTTTCCCGACCGATACCGGGTGTACCCGAGGGTGGGAACCTTCCTCCTTCTTCTTCCTCTTCTTCTCAACGAGCGTCGTCGTATCTAGGTCTGGAGGGTGGACAACAGCAACAGCAACAGCAACAGCAACATCATCATCATCAACAAAGTCGATTTGGTGGATTGTATCATGACCGTCATGTGGAAGAGCAGACGCATCGAGATCGGGAAAGAGTCGTCGCAAGCCATGATTCGGAGTCGAAAGCTCCCCATCCCTCGTCGCGATATGGCTCCCAATTTCCCGACCGAGAGGTGGGGGGTGACCGGCCACCACCGGCATGGGACTTGATGGGCCGCTCACAGCCACCCTCCCCGGAGACGAAACGCTTCTCCGCCTCGGAGTCATCCCCCGGATTCGGTTTCGGGGCGATCCAAAGCTACACCAAATCGTTGGGCTCCCAGCTGGCGGCAGGGTCGCGACCGTCACCGCTCTCCATCCAGCCTCGACAGGGGCAGCCTCCACCCTCGACGAACGAACAGCCTGCCTATCATCTGAGCAAACTGCAGACCCAGCACCACCGACTGTTCCCGAGCGCCACTTCCTCCTCAAAGCCATCCCAGCAGCCTCCAGCCTTTGGTAATCCCGGAGGTGCGGCTGACGAGCAGCAGCGGCGCAAAGGCAGTGATGAGCTCCTGCACCATCGCACCCTGCTTGGCGTTGGAGTGGACGCCAAGCGCGGTGGACGTGCCTCCCCCTTGCCCCAGGCGGTTCAGGGCGCACAGGCACAGATCATTGGCCCCGCCGCCGAATCTGGCATCAAGAACGAGCTGGGCCGCGTCTTCTCCGGCATTGGCAGTGGTGTTGGCGGAGTGACAATGCCCACGACGGGCAGTGGGCCGTCCACCCCGATGACCGCCAGCCCCTTCAAGCGCGACAGCGTGACTTCGCGCTCCGCCAATGGAGAGCCAGTCGAGGAAGCCAGTAAGCTCGCCCGACCAGCTTCGACGTCAGGGAAACGGCCGAGAAGATCGCGTGATGAGGATAATATCCCCCCGGAGGTTGTGGACACTAGCGCTGATCTCCGCTCCGGCTCGGCAGCCCGAGCGGCCAGACGCAATCGGCATGTTCACCACCATCACCATCAGTGAGTTTTCTTCTCCTTTTTCTTCTTCTTCTTCTCCTTTTTCTTCTCCTTTTTCTCATCTAATTTATCAGTCACCATCATCATCGGCATAGACCCGAAGAAGAAGTTCCTCCTACAGCCAATCGATCCACGTCAGCGAATGCCTTCCGCCGCACATCAACCCCGGCCGATGCGGCAGCGACAGCGGCGGCGGCGAATCTCGTCAGCTCCGCCACCGGACATCACCACCATCATCATCACCACCATCATCACCATGTCCCACGGTCAGGTGTAACGGGGGCTGGCGGCACGGTCGGTCCTTCATCGTCGTCGTTGTTGTCGTCGCCACGGGAGCCTCGGATAGTGGTCAATCTAGAGCCCCTGCTGTCGAGCGTGGCGCATCTGCCGCGGCATCACCTTGGCTCGACCCTGTACGCGCCGCGGATTGGGGTGCCGACCGCCAAAGCCACGCTGGAGAGTGCCCGGTTCGGATACACGACGACGCCGCTACCGCTACCGCGATTCGAGGGCCAGGAGAACTGTACGTTTACGATCCGAGTGCCTCGCTTCCGGATCGACGCGAGCCATCGCGAGGAGATCTGTGCCCGCCGTGCACTCTGGGGCACGGGCGTGTACACGGATGACTCGGATCCGGTGGCGGCGGCGATCCATTCGGGGTTCATCCGGGGTGCGTGGGGAGAAGATGTGGACGTGAGCATGTTGGACCTGGAGATCAAGGACGGCTATCAGCATGCCCCGCGTGGGAAGTCTACAGTCTCCTCCATGGACGGAGGAGGAGGAGGGGGAACTGCAACTGCAACTGCAACTACGCCCGAATCGCCGCCTCGGATTCCGCCCGAGCCACCGGCGAACAGGGACTTACACATCACGCTGCTGGTGCTACCGCGGCTGGAGCGGTACGAGGCCAGCGTGATGTTCGGACTGAAGTCGCGGGCGTGGGAGCACACGCACGACGGCATGAGCTTCCAAGTGCTACGGGTGGAGTGGGTGGAGGAAGGGGTTGGCCGGGGCGAAGAGCGCGGCGGCGAGGCCCGGCGCAAACGGCTGCGCAACTTGATGCAGAGCGGACGTATCTGTACGGGGGCTGCGGCGGGTGTATCCCTGGGGAAGGTCAGCGGGGTGGAAATCCCCAGACGCAAGATGCCAGTGACGGCGGGTTTCTAATTTCTTCTTCTTCTTCTTTGTTTTCTTCTTCTTCTTCTTCTTCTTCTTCTTCTTCTTCTTCTTCTTTTTTCTTCCTTTCTGTGTGGCTGTGTTCTTGTCCTGTCTTCAGTGTATCTAGCGAGCGAAGTCTGTCCATCTTCGACTACTACATCTAATCATAGCGCTATCTATTTACAGAGTCTTGTCTGTAGCTAAGCAGTGAGACATAAGACATGACTATGGAAAGAATTCTGACAAATATCGATACCAGGCTCAGTCCCCGGTATTATCTAACAGACAGCGCATCTCCCCACAATATACTCAATAATTATGAATACTATTGTACTACACAATACTACCTTTGTACTACCAAGGTATTGTAGTATGTACTGTATTGGAGAAAAGGATGACGGACGGACGAAGGGAAGGAATCGACTCGTCAATTAATGGGCACACGGGGATTCGTTGGAATAGAAACAGAGAAACCGTTCTGTTTAGGTCTGTATAGAGTTCTTCCATCTTCATTCTTATACAATCTGTATTCTAGTCCGTAGAGTCATATTCATATCACAAGGTCATAATCATAGCATTGCATTGCATTAAATTTAGCATAAATCTGTGCATTCATATCTGACTAAATAGGACTAGCCTGTTGTATTCCATCTAGTACTATTCAGGATTAGTGTTCCTTCTCACTGGCTTAGTCATCTACCGAGGTTCCTTGACAGGAGAGATACAGACTACAGAGTGTTATATAGAGTATAGAGGCGTGAGAGTATAGTATTTTAATCAATTGTGTTCACTGTTCATATCTTATAATAACTCGAGTATTCAATCAAAGTAGTGTGTATACCATAGTATTCAGTGGGCACTACTCAAATTCTGTTACTCTGTATATACCTCGGCTCGGGGTCTTGGCCCCGCGGCCCTTCGGCCTCCTTGGGTGTCTCGACGCTCCTTGTATCTTCATAAATACTTTGATACCACTCCGAACCTCGAATCGCTCATCTTCCTGATACCCGAGAATTCAGAATTCCGCATAGAATATAGACGATACGAGAGGGATGTTCTCTGCGAGGAACCGTTTGTCCCTCGCCCGCCCCCGTCTCCTGCTACACTCTAGAACAGTAAGCCTTCACCTAATGTGTGTGTTTGAACAACGTGAACAGCTGGCTAAACGCTCTAGTCACCCGTCATGGCTCGTCGGAAGGTCTCGTCGGTTCCTGACGGTATATATACTTAAGAAGAGAATGGATGTCAAAGGCTATGTGACTAACGGTTCGGTTCAGGCTACGTCGAGGACCTGTCGAAAGGCAAGATGCTACGCTTCGAAGACTCCCTCCCCCGCCTCCCGGTGCCCTCGCTCGAAGAGACCGCACGTCGGTACCTGAAGTCAGTGCATCCCCTGGTCTCCGCGAGTGAGTTCGAACGCACGAAAAGAGCCGTCGAGGCCTTTGTCCGACCGGGCGGCGAGGGCGAGCCGCTCCAGGAGCGGCTGTTGGCACGCGCGGCGGACCCCAGCTGCAAGAACTGGCTGACCGAGTGGTGGAACAATGCGGCGTATCTGGCCTACCGCGACCCGGTCGTGCCCTACGTGTCGTACTTCTACTCGTATCGCGACGACCGCACGCGCCGGGACCCGGCCCAGCGCGCCGCGGCCATCACCAGCGCGGCGCTCGAGTTCAAGCGCCAGGTCGACGCCGGCTCGCTTGAACCGGAGTACATGCGTGGCTTGCCCATGGCCATGAGCTCCTACCAGTACATGTTCCATTGCTGCCGCATTCCCGCCGAGGGGGCCGACTACCCGCAGAAATACCCCGTCCAGGGCAACGAGCACCTGGTTGTCGTGCGCAAGAACCAATTCTTCAAGGTGCCCCTGCAGCTCGACGGGCAGCAACTCAGCCCCGCGGAGTTTCAAGCGCAGTTCGAACGCATCTACCAGCTTGCCCAACAACACGCCGCCCCGGCGCCCGTGGGGGTGCTCACGGCCGCCAACCGCGACCACTGGACTGCCGCCAGGGAGAAGCTGCTGGCCGCGGACCGGGATCACAACGGCGGCATCCTGCGCGACATCGAGTCCGCGGCGTTTGTCGTGTGTCTGGACGACGCCGCGCCCGTCACGCTCGAAGAGCGCGCCCACCAGTACTGGCACGGCGACGGCTGCAACCGCTGGTTCGACAAGCCGCTGCAGTTCATCGTGAACAACAACGGCTCCGCGGGCTTCATGGGCGAGCACAGCATGATGGACGGCACGCCGACGCACCGGCTGAACGACTACGTCAATGCTTTCATTGCACAGGGGAAGATCGAAAGCAGCAGCAGTAGTAGTAATAGCAGTGGCGAGGCGGGATCCGTCCGCTCCCACCTGCCGGAACCGCAGGCGCTGAGCTTCCATCTCGACGAGCCCGTGCTCGAGGCCATCGACGCGGCGGCGCAGTTCCACCGCAAGGAGATCGCAGCGCACGAGCTGCGCGTGCAAGCCTTCCAGGGCTACGGCAAGGGCCTGATCAAGAAGTTCAAATGCAGCCCGGACGCATACGTGCAGATGGTGATCCAGCTGGCGTATTTCAAGATGTACGGCGTCTCCCGGCCGACGTACGAGTCGGCCGCGACGCGCAAGTTCCAAGAGGGCCGCACGGAGACCACCCGCTCCGTTTCAGACGAGAGCGTCGCCTTCTGCCGCGCCCACCATGATCCCAGCGTGGCCCGCGAGGAGGTCGTGCGCTTGTTCCGCGCCGCCCTCGCCGCCCACTCCAAATACATCACGGACGCGAGCGACGGCCGCGGCGTCGACAGACACCTGTTTGGACTTAAGAAACTCCTCCGCCCAGGCGAGCAGATCCCCCTGCTTTACCAGGACCCGGCCTTTGCGTATTCCGGTTCCTGGTACTTGTCTACCTCCCAGCTTAGCTCCGAGTATTTCAACGGCTACGGTTGGAGCCAGGTCATCGATGATGGATTTGGTATCGCCTACATGATTAATGAGAATAGGTACCCCCCTCCCTCCCTCCCTCCCTCTCTCTCTGTCTATGGCTTGTACTAATCGTATAGTCTCAACTTTAATATTGTTTCAAAGCGTAAAGGCTCGGAGCGGATGAGCTACTACATCAACGAAGCTGCCTGTGAGCTGCGCGATGTCCTTATGCCTGACCTGGTCGCTCAGGCGGAGAAGCCGAAACTCTAGACTTGTTGTCTCTCTTGTTTACTACGGTGAACACAGTTACTAGAATGTATGGTAGCGAGAATTACCTGGTTACTGCTTCGTATATGTAGGCAGATATGCAAGGGATGCCTGAAAGGGTATACATGAACGAGGTAGTAAAGTATGTAGATATACTCACGGTCCTCTTGGATCATATAGTACCTATCCATCAATACATATAGACAACTTAGTTCGTGAATTGTGTTTACAAAGTATGATTGAATTATTACCATGCTGTGGCAGACCCAACAGAGATGTTAATATTAAAGACTTACAAGAAGTATCTTGTCGTGTTAGTTGGACTATACCCCTCGCCGAATGAACAGCACTTACCTGGTGCCTTTTCAAGAATTGTTCAAGGACGGACTTTCTCCAACAGTAGACATAATACTGAACCCGCGGACGCCTTGCCTTGTGTCTTGCACTAAATGTTTTCGGCTTACATGTTTCCCTCTGTCTTGTCGTGAGACTCGGGTGCACTTTCATCACTGGCTGTCTGCGAGGTCAAGTCTCTGATTTGTCGTTCTAACCAGTTAGCTTTTCTTCTCTTTTCTTCTTTTTTCTATTCTTTCCATGTCAAAATGCATACCTAACTCCCGAATCCGTTGCCGCAGCATTTGGTTCTCCCGCGTCAGCATGGCTGCCTCCGCTTGATAGAAAGCACTCTCATCCCTGCTGCTGCGACGGGTGTGATCATGGGTGTTGGCACCACTGGTAGCCCCAGTATCGAGAATGTCCCCTCCCGCTGCGGGAGGCAATGAGACCACCGGCCGCAGACTCGGCGAAGTTGCTAAACTTGAAGCGCGAGAGCCCCGGGGATGGAGCTGAGTGGAGACCCGGGAAGATCCAGCAGATGGAAGCGGTGGAATTGAGGGAAATGGCACAGTGCGCTCGGCTGGGGTGGTGTCGTCTAGCACAGCGCTACTTGATGACGGCTGAGAAGAGGGCTGTTGCTGCTGCTGCTGCTGCTGCTGGAGCTGTTGTAGTTGGGCCTGCTGAGTCCGGATCATCTGCAAAAGACGGTTCTATACGAATGTGAGTTTCCCATAGATTGAAGAAAAAAAGTGTTATGTCATCCAAAGGAAAGACTCACCACTTGAGCTTCTTGCTCCTGCTCTAGCTCTTGGTGGATTTCGCCGAGCGAGGGCGTGCGTTGATGGTGCGGGTCCCCTGTCGCGATGATCGGGCTGCCACTGATACTCGCCGGGCTGGCGGTACGCAAGGCCTGGCTAATAGAAGAGCGATGTTCCGATAAGGACAGATCCCCCACCGCAGGAATCTGGCTGTCACTGTTCAGGTTCAAATGCATCCCAGCGGTCGACCGACGACGCGGGGACGACTGTAGCCCGGCAGAGGGCGGCGACGGACGAGAGGGGGGCAGTGAGTTCAGATCGGGAGACATCTCGATGAAACAGCAAGTCTGTAGGATATTTCCTTGTGAAAGAGCCCGATGCTGAGATGAAGTGTTTCAGCAGAGGTGATAGTCTAGGCCCTACAGTAGGTACTACGTAGTAACCGTACGCTGGGCGGGGTTCTGGGCGGTGAAGGGGAGAAAACCGGGCAGAATCCTCAGGCGGTGAGCTACTCACCGAAAACGGTCTGGCGCCGTCGATCAGGAGGGAAAAAAGCTTGGCGCGGTCTGGCCGGCGGTCCACACGTGACCGTCCATTCCGATCCTCGCCTCCAGCCGCAATCGGGGATATTCGAGGAGGCGATCAGGGCCCGGACTCATATCCTACATAGCGGAGGCTTTGAGCCTCGAGGTAGGTTCGCATCAGGCCTCAGACAACGTGATGGAAACCCATTCCTCCCTCCCGGGGTCTCCCCTTGTGTTACCTGTATGAGTACCTGACTTCGTTTCACAGGGTACAGTCTTCCTTTAGCCGTGCCGCCTAGACAAGGGGATCGCTGCCAGAATTCACCATCCAACGGTTGCATGCTCAGCCACCAGAGACGATCTACGGAGTACACCGCACGCTATCTGCAGTCAGATACAGAGGAATGTGGAGGTATATTCCGTCTGTTTACGGGGACAGATAAGCTTTGCGGTGGATCAGAAAGGTACAGACAGAGTACTCCGTACAGAGAGTACGGAGAGTACGGAGTAGGTACTCTGTAGCAGTATACCCATACCTCCTGTGTGTAGCTACGGAGTACGGAGAAGGTGCGGCTTTTAGAACCAGATGAAGCCTCTGATTCTCGCTCAAATCCTCCCCCAAATCCCGCACCGTTCGCGCCCGACGACCAAACCATGTCACAAACCCCTCTGTTGGGCCGGGTGAGAGATTTGAAATTTTATCTCCTCAGGTCCGCATCTCACGAGTTTGTCGGTCATGCTAATGTGTCGACCATGTGTACTGCAAGGGAGCGTAGTGTGACATGGATCTGCGATGTCTAGTAGTTACTGAAGAGTTAGTTAGTACCTGCTCTGTACAGCAGGGCAGACGAAGGAATACGATCATTGCACGCAGGCAAGCAAGCCTCCTTCTCGAAAGACGTACGCAATGCATCATAGACGATTCCATGATTCTTCTTCCTTCCTTCGACCCCATTACATGATCGTCCTGCGGTGACTTGGAAGGAACCACGGATCTGACGTCACGGGCGGTCAAGCCGAACCAACCAGTTTTTTGTCTTCTTTTCTCTTCTGCTGCTGTTGTTGATCCTCGGGAAAGCCACGCAAGCCGGGCAGATCGCACGGTCGGCAATAATCCCGACTCCTTGCATTGCGGGAGCACGATATTATCATTGATTATTGATTATTATTATTATTATTTTGTCAATAAGTTGAAATACCACGCTTTACCACATAGTTAGCTGTTAAAATTGTAGGCTGGAAGTACGGAGTAGACTGCACCCAGTCAACTGGCCGAGCGGCTAGTCCTATTTCGGCCATTCTTGACACTCTCCTCTCACATCGCCCACAGGACGACGGCCACACCGAACGGTTCACTCCGTGGGTTATTGAGACTGGTGGAGCGTTGCTGACCATGATTGCGACTCTGGTGAGCCTCTAGACTGTTGCGGAGGTGTCTCCCGTGGGGTAAATCGCTGCCCTGTCGCCGTTTGCCTCCAAACAACGCCAATTGTTCAATCCTAGGTTCCATCCTGCCCGACATCAACGAGGATCGTTACTCGCCGCAATGGGTGATCGACGTGATCCCTCCCCCCCCCCCCCCCCACCCCCCTGCTCTGCATGGCGAGTGGCGTTTCTCTGCGGGCAGTTAGGTAGTGTTGCCCCCTCGTCTTGATTCGGCATCCCGCTGCAGCCCTGCTTGCACGTTGGTTAGCTGTGGGTATCGAAATCTCATGATCTTTTCGATCAGATGGAAAATAGCTGTAATTATTATGATGGCAATAGAAGTACTAGGTAATTCCCAGAGTAATGAGACCATAGGCATGGCTTCTGATTGGGCCTGATGCTCTGTTCCCCTGTTCCTGTCGGCCTGGGCTGGGTTCTTTCCCAATCCTACCTTTACACAAGTGCCCTTTCCTTGTTTGGCCATTTTCGTCTCTGGTACCTTCCACTTTTTGCTCCTTCCGTTGCTTTCACTTCCTTCCCCCCATCGTTTCCCTTTCTCCTCACTCTCTTCCCCACGACTCCCAGGCCTGTTTGCTTCCTTTCCCTCTACCCTCCCAGCCTTCCTCTTGTCGTCTGTCTGACAGCTCTTCCCCCTCTGTGGGTTCATTGTTTGTCCTAGGTTAAGCTAAGCGTCTCCCAGCTGGGTTAGTTGAATCACCGTCATGGCTTCACTTCCCTCCGGCAAGATGGAAGAGAAGTCTCACGACTCCGAGGCTTCTTCCTCCACCAATGCCGATGAGCATGCTGAGCAGCCGGCCGTCGAGGAGAAGGAAGCTTCCGCTGTCCACCCTCGTCAGGCTCACTGGCCCTCGAACCCCGCCACGGCGGAGATGGACCAGTTGGAGGTCGTTGACTCGTCGTCTGATGACGAGAAGATCGAGATCACGGAGGATGAGTGTTACGACCAGCTAGGGTACACGTTTCCCACCTGGAGGAAATGGGTCATCATCTCGGTCATCTTCCTGGTGCAAACCTCCATGAACTTCAACACCAGTCTCTACTCAAACGCTCTCAACGGCATCTCGGAGGAGTTTAACGTCAGTGTCCAGGCTGCCCGCTGTGGTGCAATGATCTTCCTCATTCTCTACGCCTTTGGTTGTGAGCTTTGGGCCCCTTGGAGCGAGGAGATCGGTCGCAAGCCGATTCTTCAGGCTAGTCTCTTTCTCGTCAACATCTGGCAACTTCCCGTTGCCCTTGCTCCCAACTTTGCTACCATCATGGTCGGCCGTGCGCTGGGTGGTCTGTCGTCCGCCGGTGGTTCGGTCACCCTGGGCATGATTGCCGACCTGTGGGAAGCCGATGATCAACAGTACGCTGTCGCCTGTGTTGTCTTCTCCTCTGTCGGTGGCTCCGTCATTGGCCCTGTTGTCGGTGGCTTCGTCGAAGCCTACCTGCCCTGGCGCTGGTGCATCTGGATCCAGCTTATCTTCGGAGTCTTCGTCCAGATTGCCCATATGATCTTCGTCCCCGAGACCCGTACCACCATCATGATGGACAAGATCGCCAAGAAGAAGCGTGCCAGCGGCGAGAACCCCAACCTGTATGGGCCGAACGAGCTGGTCCCCTTTCGCGAACGCTTCTCCATGCGCGAAGTCCTCATCACCTGGGTCCGTCCTTTCAAGATGTTCCTCACCGAGCCGATCGTCTTGACCCTTTCCCTCCTCAGTGGCTTCAGTGACGCTCTCATCTTCATGTTCATCCAATCCTTCTCTCTTGTCTACGACCAGTGGGGGTTCACCACCGTCGAAATGGGCCTCAGCTTCCTGCCCATCCTCGTCGGATACTTCATTGCCTGGTTCTCCTACTTTCCTGTCATCAAGCGCAACATTGCCGAACGCCATAGCAAACCGGATGACGAGCGTGCCCAGTACGAGTCGCGTCTGTGGTGGCTGCTGTACACCGCCCCCTGCCTACCTATCGGTCTGATCGGTTTCGCCTGGACCAGCCTGGGTCCCCCCGTTCATTGGATTGGCACCATGGTCTTCTCCGCCATTGTTGGCATCGCGAACTATAGCATCTACATGGCCACCATTGACTATATGATCTGCGCCTATGGGCCCTACTCTGCCTCGGCGACTGGTGGAAATGGGTGGTCCAGAGACTTCCTTGCTGGTGTCCTCACCATCCCCGCTACCCCGTTTTTCGCCAGTAAGGCTTCCTCTCCCTTTTCTTCTTCTTTTTTCATGGCGTTTACTGACTAGGATCGCTTTAAGACATTGGTGGCAAGTATCACTTGGAATATGCGTCGACCATTCTCTGTAAGTCGATTCTTTTTTTTTTCACATGATACCACTCTTCTATCTGTTCAAAAACTAATTGGTAGTCTGTGTCTCATTTATCCTGGTTGCTGCCGTCTATGTGATCTACTGGTATGGCCCTACCCTTCGTAAGCGGTCCCCGTTCGCCCAGCAACTTGAAGACGCTCGGCACGAAATGGAGGCCCAGGGTCGTCACTTGTCACGCATCCCTTCGGGCTCGCGCGCCAACTCCTTTGCTCGTTCTCAGCAAAACCTGCGCATCCGCCAGACCTTCGGGAGCCGCCATGGGAGCGTTACCAACTCTCGTGCCAATTCCCGCGCCAACTCGCGCCGGAACAGTCTTGCTCATTAACATATAGTCTGTCCTATGCCATGTTTCTTTTTCTTTTCAATTATTACCTTACTTTTCCTCGGTTCGGCCTGGCGCTAAGGACATGCTGTTGTTTTTTTTTTTTTTTTATCTTTTTGCTTTTGCTGTAGCAGTGGACACACTGGACAATGGGTGATTAGGAGAGTCTCAGACAGACTGCCTCGAGGAGCCGAGCTTGCTATTTTCTTTTCCCGCCCTTTTTTTCTTTTTCTTTTCTTTTTTTCTCTTCTTTTTCTTCTAGTTTCTCTATTCATCCATTGATAAGAGTTCCTGTAATCCCACTGAATAAGATATTATTGGGCAGATTCCTTTGATACTATCCTACTCTATGTTGCACCCTGCACAGACAGAGACCAACGAGGAATTGAACAAGGGTATGTTGTTTACCTGGGCATTACTTGTTTGTGTAATTGTTCTTCTGTTTTCATCTCTATCTTCTTTTTATGGGCATGAATCGATATGGGCTAGTTTTCTACCTAGGTAAACTAATGTATGTCATTTGACCACTGATTCAAGAGTATCGTACCCGTGGTTATCATAGTACTAGGTACTCCACGATGTAGTTATCGATGTATCCATGGACTTAGGAAGTTGGTTGCGTGGTCCAGAGGCAGGCAGGGAGCGGAGATGCCCATGGGGATCCCAGTGAAAAAGCGGTCATTGCTGGAAGAGAGTTCCGCGCGGATAGCGACCCGAGGCTCTTCACCACACCAGACATTAAAGAGGGCCAGAACCTACTACGATACCACTGAACGAAGGGATATACTCCGTATACTCTGAAAATGCAGAAGCAGGGAATTCTCCGCCTCTGCACCCGCGTGTCAGCGTTCCCTCGCGTTTTCCCCACGCTACGCGTGTCTTCTGCTGCTTCTCCGTGCACAGCGGTAAGAGCAAGAATGGCTTCTACGGCAGAGAAAGGAGCTCCATCTCCAGCTCGCGAGATAAAGACGACCGATCTCAATCCCGTGCTGAGTGCAGGCGAAGACGAGGAACAGATTGTGCCGGCGCTGCAGTCCTTACTACGGGCGGGATGGACGCTCGACACTGCAGGGACGGGAGTGAGCAAGACGTTTTTCTTCAAGACGTATTTCAAGGGAATAGTGAGCATCATCATCATCATCATCATCATCATCATCATCATCCTAAATATTATGTCTAAGCTTGTATCTAATGATTAGTCGTTTACGAATCTTGTCGCCGCGGAGAGTGCGACGAAAAAACACCATCCAACCATGACGGTGGTAAGACATGCACTATTTCTTGATACTATGTTGTATATGTAGTATGTATACGATGCTAATAGTGATAGAAATTCGGCTCGGTCCATGTTCACTGGACGACGCATCGGCCGGCTGGTCTGTCGATGAAGGATCTCGAACTGGCGGCGCATTGTGATCGGGGGGCTGAGCTGGTGGGTGCCGTTGCGCAGGGGGAGGGTCAAAAGTGTTCATAATAATAGCCGTACGTATGTGGTAGTACGTACTTGGATCTGGTGTAGTAATTCTGGCCGAGTAGACTAGTAGTACTGTACGGAGTAGTACGGAGTGCTTGGTCAATAGAAGTCTATCGTAGTTATTAATAGAGTGCTATATGGTGTTGAGATATCATTACTACTGTAGATACGGCGTAGTCTCTACAAGAAGTACTCCGTAGGGGCCATGGATAGGTACTATTGTAGTAATATTTAGAGATCCTAGCTTTATTGGCTAGAGATTCAATAGTCTCTGCATTAACCGTCTTAAATAGTCTGACATGGATGCCTGCACCTGCAGCTGATTATACAGGGTATGGATAGTATAGACTCACTACAATAGCTGCTACTTAGTATAATAGTATACTATAGTATAGATATACTACCTATAGTATTAATTATAGATACTAGGTAGTATACCAGGTATACTTAGTATAGTTCAGTTGCTTGTACTCTAGGTAAGAAATACATGTTCTTTTATAGGTACTCCTACCAAAGATACTTTACTTTCCACTCGTCTCCACCAATCGGAACCTCGCTTCCTGCTCACCTCCACGCATACGCAGCCTTTGCATGTCAGGTACAGCTCACTACTACCTAAGACACTCCATAGTTACCTCCAGGTACCTAAATAACCGATGCATTGAGGACGAGCACGAGGTCTAACGCCCAAGGCCACAGGTGTCACCCCGTGTCACATCCACCATGGCACAGGCACACGATCCTGAGTCGCGGATCGGCTGGGAAAAGGACGAATCTCGATGAACGGTGGAGCCCCCTTTCTTATTTTTGTGGTGTGTCCTGCTGTTTCGCGAGCCGTTTAATAAATACGGAGTCCACTACGTATCTTCGTCCCCTCTCTGCTAATAATAATGATAATATACTCCCTACAGGAAGTGTCTGGGTCTGGACAAGCCGGTTCCAAATTAGAGCCCCCACTGGCCGGCCCCCTCCCTTGCTCGTAAGCGCATCTCGTACGATGCCTTACGACCTGGCCTCCTCCATGTCGTCTGCAATTTCTGCCGTCGGTGGCATCCCTCATCGTTAGCAAGCGAGATCGTTGGTCTCTTTGTCAACTCCATTGTCTTGTTCTACATTGTTGTACGCCGGCGATGACGTTCGATCCCCTCCCTCGGTGACCGCGCGCCTTTGACACCTCCTTTTAATTAAAAAAAAAAAAAAAAGGAACGGTTCCAGATCTTACACACGAAAAAAAAAAAAAAAAAACACATACATCCGAGTGCATGTCAATGGCTGGAGGACATCTATAAATTTGCAATTGAGTGGGTAGCGAGTTGTGGCTTCCAAACATGGAGACGGAATCGAATCCCTCCTCCTCCTCCTCGGTCAGTCAGCGTCGGGGCCCGCGTCTCGCTCCGCTGCAGACCAACTTCAGTCGACCGGGTCCTCGCTCCTCGCAGCGGCCACGGCCCTCTGAATATCCAAGTGCTGGCGAGCCCGTGGATCGAGTGCCGTTGCACGCCCGCCCCGTCAAAACTCAGTCCTCCAAGACCGGCTTGCGCGGCCTCTTTGGGCGAGACAAGTCGTCGCGAAAGAGCGCCGCCACGGAGGAGACTCTGGCCGAGATCGATGCCGGTCAACCTAGAGACACACCGGATGTCTCTCATATCTTGTCGCCGGTCGACTGTGCAACGCCCAAGACCGCCGTTTCCGTCTCGACGGCCATCCTCTCGCCGCCACTGCCACTGCCACTACCACCACCACCACCCCCGCCGCCGCCAGAGGAACAACAGCAGCATCGGGAGCAGCAGCAAAAGCTGAGGCCTCCCCGGACGCGAAGTAAATCTCGGGGGGACAAGACGCCGGCGGGTGAGATGGGATGGAAACCACCACCGTTGTTTCAGGCGTACCCGCAAGCCTTCAAGCATGATTTCCTGTGGGCGCCAACATTGAACCTCGAGTCTGTTCTGCGATCACTACAGAACGATGAATCCGGGGATAAGAAAAAGAAGGAGGGTAAGGAGAATGGCAAACATGATCGGACCCCGTCCGGCAGCAAGATCGGATGGGCGCAGAAGATCTACGTCCTCGCCACGTCCGGGTACATCTTGCAGTACGCCGGCGATGGGAAGCACGACCGGTTACCCGAGAAGATGATGCAATTGGGACCCGAATCCGTTGCCTTTGCCAGCGATGCGATCCCCGGCAAACACTATGTGCTTCAGATTTCACAGAGCTCCACCGACGATGTGACCACCGTCCTGGACGGGTCGTCAAAGCCCCTACTCTCGAGATTCGGCTTTCACCGTACCCCGTCGCGACGGCTGGTCCGCAGCTTCCTCCTCGTCTTCGCCACCGCCGACAAGATGAACTCGTGGCTCGAAGCGATCCGCGCCGAGATCGAGGCCCGCGGCGGGAGAAAGTATGTCTCGGACAAGTCCCCCGGTGGCATGGCGGAGTCCTCCTCCTCCCAGCTGCCCCCATCCCTGCAGAGCAAGCCGAGTCTGCGGCAAATTGTGGTCAAGGATCCCAATCAGTTCCCGGCGCCAAATAATACTACTATGCAGGCAGACGGGATGATAGATCCCCTGTCACGTACCTCGACCGCTCGATCGCGCCGGTCTTCCTACCAGTCGGTCGATCGTCGCTCCTGGAGTCTGCCCCCGGATCAACCTCGATTGATTTCCGAACTCGCCCATCTGGCCAACAACAACAACAACAACAACAACATCGACAGCAACGTGCGAAAACCGTCATGGCCATCACCGTCAGGACCCGGGCCTCTCGTTCCGACCAATACCATGGACCATGTTCCTGAATCACCACCCGAAGATTCCCCTCTCTCCCCTCCCCCAAGTCAATCACAAAGGATGTCGGTGATGTATCAAAGACCGCCGAGCGTGATGAATGGATCTGCCCGACCATCCCGACCGCAGTCGGTCTACCCGGAAGCCCTGGCGGCGCGTAGCACGTCGCCGCCCGCGCCCAACTTCAGTGTGCCTTCGTTCAGCCGGAAATTCTCGCTGTGGGCCGATCAAACCCTCCCGCCCATACCGCACCCTACCGGTTCCTCCTCCCCGCCCGGTCATATCCACGACGAAGCAAACAGGCGACGCAGCCAGGTCGTCCTCGAAGAACCAGAGGAGGATGTTGAGAGGTCAATCATCGGGTCCCCGCCTCTGTCTCCCTGTCGAAGCGTATCCAGCTTGGGCCGGGAACTCCCCGCGACATGGACCGAGAATTCGGCGCGCCGGCCATTACGGGTCTCGAATTCTGAAGACTCCCTGGGCGGCGAGTCCCAGAAGAGAGCGCACAACGTTTCGGCTCGGGTGGCACTCGATATGGAATCTCTCGATTCCATCGCTGGCGCACGCTTTACCCCGGCTCCCCCTCTTTCTTCTTCCCAACCCCGTCCCTACAGCATGGTGTTCCGGACACCACGCCCTCATCCGACTATCAACAACAGCAGCAGCAACAACACCACCACCACCAACAGCAATATACCCATACCAAACGGTTCGGAGCAAGGGTCACCCTCGTCCCCCCCGCTCATGCGCGCCGTCAGTCCGCCACAAGGAGGCATGGCCCGCCGCAAGAGCATGCCGGGCTTCACCTCCATCGGACCCCCCGCCGCCCCTCCGCCCAACTGTCCCCTCCCACAACTACCCCCGGACGTCGTCTCTCGGCCGGGCGCTGCCTCGCCATCTCGATTCTACAAACCGGCGTCACCTCAATTCAGCCCAGCACTTGCAGGTACAGGAGGGACAATTCCTCCGGATCTAATGCAGAGGATGCAGAGTCCGTCCCCGCCGCGTCACACCAGCCTTGTGAATCATGTATAACATTACATTTATATACATTCCACGGACGCCAAGGTTAAGACGCCATCGATCATTTCATGATTTCCTCTTTCCTTTCTTTTCTCCTGTACAGATCAAAAAGTGGTTTATTCCCCTTCCGAGCTTTGAAAGCCTTACCCCGTCTCAGCGAGACCTTCTATATTTATATATATTTCTTCCTCTTCTTTTCTTTGAACAATTTCTTCTTCTATTCTTCTTCTATGATAGAATCAGATGTACTCATTGTCATTGAATGTGTCAACATTGCATGAGTTTCATTCTTTTTTTTTCCATTTTCAATGTGTGGATATGCTTGATGGACAAAAAATACTTCCCTTGTACAGATCTGTATTTATGGATGGATTAGATCAATCAATGGTTGACTTGGTTAGAGCTAGACCTAGGACTACCAGTGATGCTATGTAGAAGTCTAGACTGGTGGGAAGAACGTTGTGGGATACATAATAAGACTACCTTTTGAACAGTCCAAGCAGAGAAAGAAAACAAGAAGAAGAAGCGGAGAAGAAGAAAAAATAATAAAACTACTCGTCAGTCACGTCCTCCACTCGCGGCGCCAGATCGCGTCTCACAGCGCCCGAAGGGTCAGGGGTGGCCGTTGCGGTGGTGGTAGCCTCGGTCTTGATCTCGGCCTTGGTCTCGGTGGGGGTTGATTTGCTGGACTTCTTCTTCTTCTTCTTCTGGGAGAGAATTAGAAACAAATAATCAATGGTTTTCAGGGGGGGGGGGAACACACCTCCTGCCATCCCCAGACTGGCTTGAAACTGTCAAAGAAGCCGACATCTTCAAACAGGTTGGGAAACAGCCAGAGACCCGGCGGTACGGCGAACACAGTGACGCAGAAGAGAATAAGACGGAAAATGGACATGGCGAAGAAGAGACCCAACAGGCCCATCATGCCCATACTCAAGTACCAGACGCCCTGGCGCAGCATTATCGGCCACAGCGGGAAAAGGACGACGGCAAAGATACCTGCCACCACGGCAGCCGCCATCGCCTTCTGCTTCCATTGCGGGCCTTCGTACAGGAAGACATAGTGCATCATCGGGTCCGTCTCCTGGTGCTGCTCGATCTTCACCGTCCACAGGCCCTTGACCCGGTTCTTGGGCTTGGCGTGATTATGGCCTGCGTGAGGGTCCACCTTGGACACTCGCAGTGCCAGCAGCGAAAGTGGTAGTAGCTTAAACACATTTTCTGCCGATGCGCGGTCTGTCACGGGGGGGAGGAGGGAGTTCTTCTTCTTCGCTGCTTTGGCGTAGGCGGGCGATTCGAGAGCTCTGATGGCTCGCTTCACTGTTGAAAAGTCAGTTTTCCACCTTCATGTCCGTGGAAGATATGAAGGGCATACCCTTAAAAAGATCCTTTCGTTGTCCATCCAGAATACACGTCCGCGACTTCAGGTTCTGCGAGCGCAGGAACTTCGCCACGGCCACCGCCTTGGGGTCCGCGGGGGTGGAAGGATTCACGGGCACATGGTGTGTGGTCTGCTGTGGTTGTGCTGGCCGCTGAGGCTGTGGTTGAGACTGCGGCTGGTCCTGCGTTCCTGGTTGCTGTGGCTGTTGCACCGGGGATGGCTGTTGCTGCTGCTGTTGTTGTTGCTGCTGCTGTTGTTGGGGCTGGGGCTGGCCTGCCTGCGCCTGTGCCTGGCGCTGGGCCTCCATCTGTTTCTGGTGGGCAGCCATCGCTCGCATCCGCAACTGTGCAACATACTGCTCCGGCGACATTCCATGTTTGGCAGCCTCAGTAGCCAGCTGCTCGCGTTGCTGCTTGGCGAACTGCTCGGGTGTCATGCCTCGCCTGGCCGCTTCGGCGGCGAACTGCTGCTGCATCGCAGCCATCTGCTGCGGACTCGGCTGCCCGGGAGTTGCCATGCTGGAGTCGAGTGTAATCGAAGAAATAGAACAAAAGGGCAAGGGACACGCTCGACACGGGCAGGGGCGAGGCAGTCGAAGGTTGTCGAGGGTTTCAATAACATTGACGGAGAGGCCAGATATCGCTGGCCGCCGAAACAGGTTTAGCCGCTTGGTTCCTTCCGCCTTCCTCTTTGTTTCGACGGCGGCCGTTGACTAAGCAATCTGTCTCCCTCCGCGTCGCCCTCGGTGCTTCCCAGTTCCCAGCGTGTGCAGTGTGCACTGTACAGGCTACAGAATACGGTTTCTGTTAATGTTTTGTCCATGGGCAGCTATGAGCTAGACAGCTCCCTTGTAGACCCTACATGGGAGGCGGTACTGCTGGTATGTGCGTTGTGAGAGCTCGGCTTCTTGTGATGGTCTAACAGTAGTCTTGTCTCGAAGAGCGAAAGGGATGTTGCCGGTCAGATTCCCATCAATTTCGTCACGCAACCGGCAGTGTCGTTGACGGCGGCGTGTTTCGGCAGCAATGTGTTTGCTAAGGACTCGTTAACGACGTGTCTGTCGAACTTGTTGACTGTCGGGTACCGGCGGTTTATTGTGGACCTGTATTGGTCGGCTGATGACGAGCAATGGCTTTTGTGTCCAGTCTCTATTCCTACAGAGGCTGAAATATCGTCGTACTTGTTGACCACGTCGACTCTCTCGTCCGGAACCGCGATGTCCGTGGCAGCCGAGGTGGTGACGTCCACTGGGACGGGGACAACGACGGCGACGGCGACGACCACTGCGGACAGCGCACAGGCAACAATCACCGTGGTCATCGACCCAGATACCTCCTCTGAGATGTATGAGCTTGGCTCGTACATGTGCGCGAAGGATCTTGATCTGTCGACCCTCCTCAAGATCTTTGCTAGTTATTACCGGAAGACAGCATCCGATCTGACTGCCTATGTGACGTATTTGGTTTTCAATATTCATGCGGCATCAAGCGCATTTCACCCCGACCAGCCTGCTTCGGCAGTGTCTGGATCAAAGCTGCCGTCGAGCAAACGCCACTTAAGCCATATGTTGAACGACGACCTGGGCACTTATGTTTACAGCCCCGAAATGCTTGGCTACGACCGCAGCGACCTTAACGGTTCTTGGTACCGGGTTTCGGACGAGAACAAGCCCATAATTCAGTATTTTACCATTGATACGGACTCCGATGGCATCCAAAGCACCCCAGACGGCTGGCCCTGTGAAAAATACGTCCAATTTGCAAAGGAACGCCGATTGTTGGCCGGGTTCGGTTCTGTCGACCCGCAGATGCAAGAGTATGACCTGGAAGACGATGCCGATCTGATTTTTCCTGCGGATTATCTGAGCTCCAATGTGGCAGTTAGTACGTCGTCCAACGGGACGTTGCAAACTGGATGTTTCTACAGCAAAGGCGTTACTATAGTCTCCCAGGCAAATTCCTCCTGGGCTGAAACCAGTCACCTTACAGCCTTCAGCAATGCAATCTCCACCGATTTGCTGCGGGGTATATCGCAGTATGTGCAGGAACTGGTATCATGCGGGCTATCACTCTTGCTGAACGACACTCTGCTGAACAAAACTGCAGATAGCGGGGTTGATGCCTACCGAAATATTTCATTCTCCTCGACATGGGCCTGGGCCATTGGTGAGCCGCGCGATGCGGCTTCCCCAGACAATAGTATCGAGACCAAACTCGACCGATGTGCGCTTATGGATCTCACGCTGGCTGGACACTGGCGCTCAGCCGATTGCAAAGAAGCGCGTTATGCGGCCTGTCGGGTAGGCAATGACCCATTTACTTGGAATATATCGACAGCCAAGTACCCTTATGCGAACGTGTCTGACGCATGCCCGTTGGGCAGCGGGTTCTCTGTTCCACGCACTGGCCTCGAAAACACGTACCTATACCAATATATACTGAGCCTGTCAAGCGACGTTATAGACCCTGGTTCGGCAGATATGACGAAGCAAGGGGTCTGGGTCGATTTCAATTCCCTAGATGTCCAGTCCTGCTGGGTTTCTGGTGGTCCGAATGCCGAGTGTCCCTACGCGTCAAATCCCCAGGAACTGGAACGACGTACTGTGCTAGTAGCCACAATTGCAGGCATTGTGATCTGTACAATCGCAGCCCTCACCCTGTTCGTCAAGTGCAATACCAACAGGAGAAACTCGAGACGGACCAAAAGGGTGATAGAGGGATGGGAATACGAAGGTGTCCCATCCTGAATGTTCTCTCTATCCACACAATATGGACTACTTGCATGTGGCTCGGAAACTTGATCTGTCTTTTCTGTGTTCTATGTACAAATGGCTTAAGCTTGATTGAAATCACACCCCATTCATTTTCATGCCATGGCTCCATTGACCCTCACCACTTGTCCCGATACCCAACTGCTATCTGAACCGCAAAGGAATGCCACCGCACTGGCGATCTCTTCTGGCTGTCCGAATCGATTGAAAGGATTGGTTTTACGGAGAGAATCAAGCAATTGCTCCGACTTTCCTTCGAAGAACATCTCCGTTTCCGTGGGTCCTGGCGCAATGGCATTAACGAGGATTCCCTTTCGACCCAAATCCTTGGCCATGACGCGGGTCATCTGGTCAATTGCGCCTTTGGTTGAGGCATAAAGTAAATAGCCTGCTGAGATCCAGGATGCGCTATTGACAGAGGTAGAGATGAGGACGACACGCCCACCCGCGGGCATATGTCTAGCAGCTCGCTGAAGATGGTTCGTTAGCTTTTGTTTTCATTCTTGTTATTCTATACCGAGAACACATCTACTGGCCTACCTGGGTCAGAAAATAGGGCCCCTTCACATTGACTGCAAAGGCCTTGTCAAAGTCTTCCTCACTTGTGGCTTCGAGATCCCTGACGAGTAGAATCCCAGCATTGGGGATGACGATGTCAATCTTGCCGAACTTGGCGACGGTAGCATCGACAAGACGGTCTATATCCGTGATTTTGGAAGCGTCGGCCTGCACGGCGATAGCGCGGTCCGCGCCAATCTGTTCGACCACCGCATCGGCAGTCTTGGAGTTCGAGAGGTAATTGATCACAACCTTGGCACCTTCGGCCGCGACTCGGATTGCAATGGCTTTGCCGATGCCTCTGGAGGCGCCGGTGACGATGATGACCTTTCCGGAGAGAGACATTGTTTTCCGTATTCAGAGTGTATTCAGGAACTGATGTTTTGCGAACCTTGTGTATGGGTTATACTGGGCTATTGCTTCTAAACTGCTGGATTTATAACTATGCGTCCCCAGTCCATTGCTATAGTTAGTACGGATCCTCTTGTCGGTTTCCGGATCCTTCACGGAGATACATTCGGCTTAAGCGTACACATTAGGTCATCACTAACGCCTCTATTCCGGAGATACGGAGTACCGAGTAGAAACCGATGCGGAGTATGTTTGCATCGTTTGTCTCCCAGACAAACAGACACTTTGGCAAACAGTACAATATAAACATTTAATCACTAGTAGTTAGTTACTTTGGAGACCATCAGGACTATCTACCTAGATACATGTAGAATTAAAGACAAAAGGCCCAGAGCAAAATATTGAACATGAGATAAGAAAGAGCATGGGAAAACAAACATCGCTTGGAGACCATCATAAAAAACAGAAAATGACTAGAGCCTCAAAAGTCATTCCTGAATCCATAAATCCATCAAAAGAAAAAAAAGTGTCATCAAATTACAACCCTGCAAAACGAGCCCATCCCGCTGCCCTGATCGGCGTCGTGTTCTCCATGTCGGAACCCGGTCGGGCGGGCTGCTCATCAGACGGCGACGAGAAAACCGCGCTGCGACCTTCCTCGGCGAGTTTCCCGCTGACGTCGCGACGACGGCCCACGCCCAGGCCGGCAATGTAGTTTCCGTAGGACAGGGCCGAGCCGGCGCCCAGGGTATTCCGGGCTGTGATGTCTGCGCCGGAATTGCTCACGACGCGACCCTTGCGGTCGCTCTCGTGCGTGGCGACAGTGGGTGGATCGACAGGCGGTTCCTCCTTGGGAGCAACGGCGGGGATGGGCGGTTTCCGTTTCTTCTCGCTCTTGCGCCGGATGAAGGATTTCGCTCGGCTAGGCTCCTTGGGGCGGGTGTATTCTTCGTCCTGTCCGCTGACACCACGGGGGATGGAGAGCCCCGAGTCGGACTGCAACTCGCCGTAGAACCTGCCCTTCTTCAGCGGGTTCTCGATGGGAGGGGGCACCAGCGATGCCTGGCCGTACTCGAGGTTGGGAATGTCGGTCAGCACGGGGCGGGAGGTTTTGACGTGGTCTTCGATATACTCGTCCATAAGAGGGCGCGGAGTAGGTGGGTTCATGGTCAGCGGGTTAGGGCGCAGCGACTCCATATCTTGATCATCGTTATCGCTGAGGTCGTCATTGTCGTTGTGATCAGTGAAGATTTCAATCCGGTGTGTGCCCAGGTCGTGCTCCAGCTCGTCGTAAAATCCGCCTATTTTCGGTACACTGTGCATATCTTCGTTGCCGTAGTACTCATTCATAGTGAGCGATTCATACTCCCCACGAATATCCTCCGGGAGTACATTGCCAATATCCCGTCCGAACTTCTGCGCAGACCCGACCCAGTCCTTAACACCGCTGTACGAAGATGTTGTCGTGTTCGATCGTTTGCTGTACACGGAAGAGGCTTCTCGGCGCGCGAGGTTCTCGTTTTTTGCTGCTCCATCTAGGACAGGTGACGGTGTTCGAGATGGATAAGCAATCCAATTGTCTGAAGGGTCGCTCAGGAGATGTGCTTGTCCAGGGTGTTCAGCCACCGGCTGTTCCAATTGAACATCTCCAATCCTGTCGGCTACTGTTTCTGGCTGAGCAGAGAAGCTGTCAATATTTCGGAATGCGGAGGTTTGGGTGATGAACGACTTGGGTCGGACAGGCTGGTCACTAGCAGAAAACTGTGGGCTGGACGGCTCCATATTCGAGACAAGGGGTAAATGGAACGACATTTTCGAGTTGCGTTTCTCATTGGATATCTCGGAGAAGGCATAGCTTGACCGGTCAAAGGAAGAATTCTGCCTAGTGTGCATAAAAGGCATGGTACGGGGAGGCCCGATCAACGGATCTTCGACTGAAGACAGGATAGAGTCTACCGAGTGCTGGCTTGTGTGCTTTTCGGTGATTTCCGGCTTCTTCTTCCTTTTGAGCGGACGGGCTGTTAGATTATCTTCCAGAGGATTCATATCAGGCGGCAGTCTCGTAATCTGACGGAAAATCGCGGCCAAGAAAATCGAAATACCCAACGAGATCAGGTGAAGCCCGCCATTGATCACACTTAGGAGAAAGAGTGTCTGTGCTATCAAGCTAGGCATATTTCCATCACTGTTGTCCAGCAAGGTGCCCCAATCGTATGTGTCGGTTGTATATTGTCCATATCCCATGAAAGCCGCAAAGGCAAAGAATGGGATGAGACAAGCATCGACGGTAGAGGCGAACAGCATGTAGCTTGCCTGCGACCCGGGTGGCCGAGTGACCGGAGAGCGACATAAATGATAAGCACCATACAGAGTGTGCAAGATGGCCACCGCGGGCTGTCATAGACCATCAGCTTAGTTATCTAGTCGACATGTTGAAAAAAAAAAACACTTACTCCCACCCGAATAATCCACGAGACAGTGGTTTGAACATTTGTGATCACAATCACGCAGAAGAGCGACCCCAGAGCCCCAAGCAGCTGCGCGAGTCGAAGAACCAGCTGTACCAGCCGTCCATATTTCACTCTCCCTTTTGTACTAGGGCTCATCGGCTCCCATTGCGGCTTGATATCAGGGGCACTCGACCACTGGCAATGATGTCAGTACGTCTGCCTCCCAAGAGATAAACAACAAAGTCAATATACCGAGTCTGGATGGCGATTGAGGTTCACCAGCGGCCCCTTGGGCTGGGGCTTTGGCTCTTCGCGAGTCCAGCTCGCTTCGGTCACAGCCTTAGGGTTGAATGGTCGGTCGGTCGGGCCATGGAACGTGGAGTTAGCTTGTCTGTAAAGGAACGGAGGCGACGATCTCCCCATGATAGCTTCTTCGAAAAGACAAGCTTATCGGACCACGCGCAGAGCCGTGGAATGCGGAGTGGGATACAGCCAGGAATGGTAATGGTGGTGGTGAAGGAGTGTCGAGACGGCGAACCATGGAATGCGGACGGAATGAGGGGGTGGAGGAAGCAACACTTCCCGGTGCCTCAAAGCCCCTAGAAGACTAAACATGAGCACGGCGCCAAAGAGTCTCGCTCCCCTTGTGTCAGGCTGGGCTGGTCAACAAAGTTGTTGGTGATAGTCGACGGGGCAACGCTGGCGATAAGGTCACGTGTCAACCTCACGTAATCGTTAATCGGGAATGAACGCATCGTCAGGGACGCGCTCGGGATTCTTACGAGTCGCTTTCGAGCTCACTGCCAGCATGGGATTCAAGTGGACGCCGTATGTGTGTGCCCAATGCACGGTACAGATCCGGAGCTCGGCTTTGCGACGCTTGTCGAGCAGATGGCCATCGCTACAGAGACGCCAAAACAGCCACGCCGCATCCCGCCCATTCCGAGTTGCAGTCGTCGGATCAGGGCCTGCTGGGTTCTATGCGACCTACCGATTGCTAGGGAAAGTCGAGGATGCGGTGGTGGATATGTATGAGAAGCTCCCCGTGCCGTTTGGGCTGGCAAGATATGGTGTAGCACCCGACCATCCGGAAGTGAAGGTATTCCAGAAAGAAAACAACCATAGAAGCAAAATAAGGAGATGGACAGCAAGAGCTAACTGCATGTAATGATAGAATTGCGAGGATAAATTCAACGAAGTCGCTACTTCTCCTCGGTTCAACTTCATCGGGAATGTAGAGCTTGGCCGTGAGCTCTCTCTTGAGTCACTGAAGCCACACTACGACGCCATTCTTTTCGCCTACGGGGCAGCAAAGGATAAGGAGCTTGGAATTCCAGGAGAGAAGGCATTGCGAAATGTCTATTCGGCTCGCGCCTTTGTCGGATGGTACAATGGCCTCCCTGAGCATCGTGATCTGGCTCCAGACCTGACTACGGGGGAAGAGGCGGTCATTATTGGACAAGGAAATGTGGCTCTGGACGTTGCAAGGATACTTCTCTCGGACTTGGATGAGCTTCGCAAGACGGATATTGCCGAGTATGCTGTGGAAGCGCTGGCCAAGAGCAGAGTCAAGCGCGTCCGGGTCGTTGGGCGTCGAGGACCAATGCAGGTCAGTTTTAACAGACAGACAAGGAGGCTTCTTCGAATCGATATGCTAATCAAGTCTTTGAGCAGGCCGCCTTCACAATCAAAGAATTACGCGAGCTACTACAGCTTCCGTCTGTCTCATTTGACCCCATTCCCAAGGATCTTCTACCCCCTGACGCGGTTCTTTCTTCTCTTCCTCGGGCGCAGAAGCGGCTGATGCAATTGCTAGCGAAAGGCTCCACCAACGATCCAGCTACTGCGACCAAGTCATGGTCTCTCGATTTTCTCCTATCCCCGCAATCGCTACACTGGTCTCCAATCCATCCGTACCGGTTGTCTCATGTTAAGTTCTCCAGGAACGAGCTAGACCCGTCTGATCCGTACCTTGCTTCTGCAAAAGTAACGCCCAAGGTTTTGTCCAGTGGCAAGCGGGCTGAAATGAACATTCCTGCCAACATTTTTTTCCGCAGCGTCGGGTACAAATCGTTGCCCTTGCCAGGAATGGAGGAGGATCTAGGCATCCACTTCGACCCAGACCGCGGCATTATCCCCAACGATGGCTTCGGGAGAGTCATCAACCCTTCTGGCCTCGGCGAGAGGCAAGTGCTTCCCGACGGCTCCGTCATCTCGCACATGCCTGGACTCTATTGCGCCGGATGGGTGAAGCGTGGACCAACCGGTGTTATTGCCACTACTATGACCGACGCTTTTACGACAGCCGATACCCTTGCTGCAGATATTCAAGAGCGAAAGAGCCACTCGGACGCTGAACTCTCACTTCTCAATGAGCCGGGCCATGGCACTGGGCTGGGATGGGAGGGTGTGCGTCCCGAGGCCGAACGGCGAGGCCTCCGCCCTACAACGTGGCAGGACTGGCAACGTATTGATTCTGCGGAAAAGGCTCGTGGTCAACAAAAGGGGAAGCCGAGGGACAAATTCGGTCGAGTCGAAGAAATGTTGGACGTGCTGAGCTGATACATACTGTAATGAGCTTGATCTTTACCATAGACATAGAAGTGCAAAGTAGTTATATATCCAGATATATATTGAGCTCATGGACATAGTCATGATTGAATTTATATTTAATTAATGGCATGTGTTTGTCTTTTTAAAAAAAACATGTAATACCTCAATATCAACGCCAGAAGAAAAGCCATCTAACTAGAACATATAAAACTAAGAATCTCGAGAGAACACCGTCCAACATTCAATCCACCGGCTACTTGGAAGCACAAAATTTCTCTTCAACCTCAGTATACGTCGCGGTGACACGGCCAAACTGTACTGCCTGGCCATTCGTCAATTTGTCCATCGCATGCAGCCCGATGTTGAAGGCTCCCGGTGAAGCAGAGTCAACAGCCGTCACGTAGATGGATCCCTTGAAGTCACCGTTCTCGTAGTTGAGCTCATAGCATTTGCCGCAGTTGCTGCTGTTCCAGCCTGCGACGGTGGGTGCGCCTCCGATGTTGGGGAAGCCAGGCACGGAGCCGAAGGTCTTGTATCCCTTCGTGATGAGGCCGTTGGCGCCGTCAGAGCAGGCAACGGTAGTCAGGGAGCTGTCGGCGACATCGTATTTTTGATCGTAGGCGACGGTGATGCTGGTGCCTGCGGCCTTGGAGACTGGCGTGACAAAAGATTCGGTGGGGGAGGCGAAAGAAGGGATGGCTAACGCCGCGACAGACAGGGCAGAGACGATGGCCGACTTCATTTTGATGTGGTTTGATTGACTAGTAGTTTGTATAGAAAAGAAAGAGAAAGCAGAGTCCAAGATCAATGCAGTTTGAATATCCTAGGTCTGGTTGTGTTGTGGCGTGTTTATTTGGATTCCTTCGAGTATATATATCTGTATTCATCAATCTAGAACATTCATGAATCCTATAATTAGATGCCCTCGTGTCATCTGTGTTGAATTTGCCAAGAAGGACCGATTGATACATAGCCAAGGAGTCAGGACGCCTCGTGTCATCCGCAAACAGGGAGCAAGGCTCGTGAGACAGGTACAGAGTACAGGGCAGAAGAACATGTGGTACGGGGTACTCCGTACGACTACCAACATCATTAGCGTATAGAAGGCAAAGATCGTCAAGGCCGCCGGAAGAAGAACAATCTGCTTCTTTCCGGCAGGAAGATTCGGCGAGAATTGCAGGCAAAGAGGCTCTCCCTTCCGCCAGGGTTGTCCAGGCTGCCCAGTTTGCCCAGCCGTTATTCAGTGGCGCTATCCAATGCCCCTGGAAACTTTCTCTGAATAACTCCCAAAGTAGGAGGTTGCGAGAATTGTGGGCTGATCGAAAAGACGAGCCGACTTTGTTCACGGTCAAGTCTTCTCGCCGAATCCAGCCGACTGCCTGTCGATCATTCCAGTGTCTTCTTACTTCCTTGTCTCGCCCAGCATTCTTCGGTGTACAGGGACTGAGTCACGCGTATAGACTGGTCATTTCTGGTTTGCTTCCATATTGCTTCAGTATACAGGCGTTCCATGAAGGGGGTTTTGGATGACCAACTTCTGGCTGCGCTGTTCAGCAGCAATACTGAGACACCTCAGATGCAGCCGGCCTGGCTGCGTGTAGGTTGAATATAAGCCCATAACACCATAGGACGGTTTCTGTGTTCCACAGAGGAGGAGAAATGAGAGACGTGGTAGTGGAAATAGGATAGAATGCTAAGGAAAGTGGCTGAGAGTCTGCACCGTAGTTGATTATACTACCAAGTACATAACTACACCTAACTAGGAAACGACCTCTTATCCATTGCATTATTTGCAAATTGCATAACTCCAAGGTCACATGACAGAGCCAATCTTGTCTCCTTCCCAAAGATGGAAGGACCAGACTTTCTGCTCCTCCCCGACTCTATCCACCTCCATTGCTGCTGCTTTGTTATTACCGAAGGTCAAGGCTTCAGCCTCTGGCCTGTGAGGTCCAATCGTTCTTGAAGACCATGCCTTCTGACGATTCTTTAAAGGTGTGGAGATCTGCCCTCGCTCGGACGGCAGTTCTTACGTTTCATGTGGGAAGCGAAAGATGGCTCCTAACTCGATATTGCAGTTGCAAAACCTAGCCCACTTGACATTCCAAACAATCGATTCACGATACTACCAGTAATATGAGGCTTGCGAGCCCGTATGGGGCGAAAAAGGCATTAAACCTTGGTACCGAAAGCCATGCTCGAGGAGATGTCTGTCCTTTGCTATTTAGAGACAGATGACCCTTGATCGGCAATTCGCTTAGGGTTACATGCTGTCACTTCCATCCACTGCAATTGCCCGTGTTATTCCCACGTTGAAGAACGGGTACCCGAGGAACCAGGGTTTTACATGCGCAGTGACAGGTGCTTGTCGTAAGACCCTGGATGCCAGTCAAGAAAGCTGCGGCTGTTTCGATAACTCCCGAGGAACCTTGAAAGATATCGATCTAGCCAGCCGCCTCTGAACCCCTGGTTTCGTGAAGCAAAATTACACCATCCTCATATCTCCGTGCTTAGAGCAAGCAGAGCGGGAATCCTACCCCCTCTCCACTCAAAATGACGAAGTATATCGAAGATCTCATCGGGCGTGCATTTTTTACGGAATAGATCAATGCAGCAGACCAAGAATTCAGAAGCGCAAAGGCCATTCAATTACTATTTTGTCAGCATTGAAATGCAAGCGAACCAATCTCCGAACGAAAGGAGAAACCAGAACAGAATATTTCTATGCTCAAGCCTCGAACAAAGTAGACTAACGCCCTCCAGTGGAACTATTGCCTGAGCCTCTTGGCCATCAAAATTTATCCCTGAGTGACGCACTCCTTCCTCAAATCAAACCTCGAATGGTTCAATGATGGTAGGTTCAATTTCATATAGAAGATCACGAGGATCAGTTAGATTTGTCAACCTTTTTCCCCGGGAATAATCTAAGCGTGGTCCAACTAAATTTTGCCGTACCCCTGGTTCAAATCAAGCTTAATTTTGGCTTGAACTGCCCCTGAAGGAACCCTAGTCCATACTATTCTCCATGGATGCAACACAAGAATTGTCATAACTTACATTGGGTCCTTGCGTGCCATAACAGAAGGCAGTCAAATGTCGAGTTCACAGCTCCACTGGCTGGATAGAGAAGCGGAGTCGAGTCGCTTGGTGAGCTCTCGACGGTTGAGTGTCTGACAGTCCAACAACGCATTATTAAAACCCTGGTGTCTGGTAAGTGCTTTGATCTGCAGCGAAGGATTTGGACACTAATGTTTTTTAACAAGCCTCAGGCATTTAAATACCCTTTTGGGCCATTTCTCTCATCCTGCGGGATTGCTAGCAGTTACTAGCCATGACTACAGCATCCTGTCTCCCTCCCTGGAATGATCGGTCGTTCACCTCTGGTTGATACTAACTTCAGCAAGGACTCTCATGTTCCCACGTGTCCTAGAATGGCTTCACTTTTAGTAATAACTACTAAGTACGTGGAGCAGCTTGCTTTGATAGTACTACGCTTTGACCTCATGTCCAAGCCACCTTTTGCTTGAGCCTTCAGCATCGCTATGCAGAAACCAATCATGCTGACATTCCTGTAAGCTATTATTATTGCAAATATGGGTGCGTACTGCGCAGCCAAGGCTCAGAGGGGAACGCATTGGCATTGCCATTTTGGGCTGGCTGAAGACCAAAAAGTCCTAGATTTCACTTCGATCTCCACGCTTTGACAATAATCTCATCAGAAAGGCATGGGCTGGAAAGTTACGCCAAATATGCCGATAGTGCGAGATCCGCACGACCCAGGAAGTCATAACTTGACCAGTGGTAACCGCACGAGCGATGGCGATCTGGCATCCTGGACGACTCTCTTCGGAGTCTTCACTGGAAACGGCTCGAGGGCATGGCAGTATGGGGCATGGATCTGCAATAAAGCAAGCTCTTAGCGTATCCTGACTGTCGGGACATGTTATACTTCGTCTGTGTTAACTTTGAAGATACATTGTTCGCTCTGATGAAGCTTTCCGTGGAGATTGCTGGGAGTCCAGTGCTGAGGGCCGAATCCTGATTAACGGATCTCTTGAATCGCTTCGCATCATCATCTCAAATCGCTAAACTCAGTTGTTTCAAGGGGCGGGTGAAGACGTCAGCTTTTCCCTATATCTTTGCACGATCTCCATCAACGCCACTGTGGGAAGCCAGGAAAGACGGGGCCCTTTTCGCAGAAGTGACATTCGTTTTTTTTTTCCTTCTTCTTTCTGCCTGCCATTCCCTTCTCTAATCCAGACGCTTCCTTCTCTCGTCCCAATATAGCCCAGATACGTTGAGATAATGGCACTAGTTCGCTCGATCTTACCGTTCCTCGATGATGGTGCGATCAAATCGCATGTTATGGCTCGAAGTTTCGCAGATCTGCATGTGAGTGACGCACAGAGAACACGATTCATCGTCATCGGTGTGGTTGCTCTCTGCTCGGTGATTGCGACACTGACCCTGGCTTCATTCCTTCTCTTTCGATTCATCTTTTGGAAACGGTATTACCGACGGCCTTTGGCGAAGAATCAATACGTACTACTCATCTTCAACCTCCTTCTTGCCGACTTACAGCAATCATTTGCCTTCATGATATGTCTGAAATGGGCTGCCGAGGGGAACGTCCGTTATGGAACCCTGGCTTGCAAACTGCAAGGATGGTGGATTCAGGTCGCGGACCCTGGTAGCGGCTTGTTTGTACTAGCAATTGCCCTGCACACCGGAGCCGTTGTACTTCGGGGTCGGCAGCTGCCCTTCAACGTGTTTGTCAGCTGTATCATTGCCTTGTGGGCGTTTATCTTCACGCTGGGATTTATTCCGATTGGCTTGTATGGCGCAGATGCCTTTGTTATCTCAGAAGCAGGCTGGGTGAGTCTCTTTCCCTTCCCCTCCGCTGCCTAGAAAGACGAGGAAGTGCGCTGATAGTGTGGGCAGTGTTGGCTTAGCCCGGATTATGAGAATGAGCGCCTCTGGGGCCATTACTTCTGGATATTTCTCTCAGAGTTCGGGACCATCGCCCTATACGGATTCATGTTCTTCTACCTCCGACGACGAATGAGACAGAATACCATCCTCCAGCAGAACCAGACTGAAAACCTCAAGCGCCTGAACCGAGTCGTCGTCTACATGGTTATCTACCCATTTGTCTATGTGGTCCTCTCTCTTCCGCTAGCGGCTGGTCGCATGATGGTGATGGCAGAACAGGATATTCCTAGTCACTCGTATTTTGCCGTTGCAGGAACCATGATGACCCTCTCTGGCTGCATGGATGTGCTTGTATACACGGTGACTCGCAGGCACCTGCTCCTGGAGACCGACCTCAGCACTACGGACAAGCAATACGCCAATACAAACTCCAATGTCTGCCAGACACATATTAGCACGACAGCCAATACCACCAAGAAGGGCTTCGGTATAACTTCACGCATCCGTCGAAAATTTCCCAGCATTGATCGAACCCTCATTTCCGCCCAGGATAATCGCAATGGGTCCACCGACGAAATCGTGCAGAAGGGGGATACAGAGCTCTTCAGCATGGCGCACGCTGTCTACCAAGAAACGACGATCGAGATTTCCCATGAACATGCACAGCCAGAGCCAGAGCTAGAGTCAACCCCGTCCAGGAAACGGGGACGCAATAGCCGTTGATGGTTTGATTGAATCAGTCGTTCCCTTCAACATTTCACCATTTTTTCCATTTTTCTGTTCTTTATTGTATTATGATCTTCTCGCCGTGGAGGCGCCGGTTTGCACATGTCTGACGACTATTCCTTTTACCACTGTATACCTTCACTATTGATATTCTTTTCCTGTAACTCCTTTCATCTTCATGTATTACTATTGCTACTACTTACTACAGGTCCCAGCCCAAAGCCATAAATATTACCCTAATCTATAATTGAAGCTGCAAGAGAAAACGGGTGGCTGAAAATGTATATATATTCTTCCATCTATCCATAAGCAAAGTGTATTGTAAGAAAAAAAAAACAATTCAAATAAGAACAATGTCATGCTGTCTTTCAAACTGACTAAACAAATGTCTATCTTATACATCACTCGAGTGTCTCACCTGAACATGTCTATCCATTGGTGTGGGTTTCCGTGGGATAGAGTGCTGCTGCTGCTGTGATGTCGAGTCGACCTGCCGCTGAGCACGATCTGCCTCCGCATTGATCCATTCTTCACTTTCAAGGCTCCGGCGGATCGTTTCCTCCTGGTTCTCAACGCCCGCCTCTTGTTCGTGTCGAAGCCGATCCTGTTCCTCCTGTCGGTCTTCGACAAGCAGCGCAACCTCTTCCCTCGACAGGGCCTCGCAGTCCAGGCTTTCGAGCCCGATCATGCCGAGCAGGTTCCCTATCATATGTTGGTATCTCAGGTGGCCGCTGACTGTGTCGCTGGCGTCGATGTTTTCGACTCCTGGCAGGTCTGTGACCGGTTGCAGGCCTGCCACTCCAAGCTGCAGGCTGCTCGTCCGGTACAGGAGAGCAAGGACAGAGTCGTTGCGCGAAAAGACATTGACAATTCGGCCGCTGACCACGCTTCGCATCAGGCACCAGTGCTTTACGTCCGAGGGAATGGGGGACCCGATGAAAATGGCGGATTCGATGAGGCCGTAGGCATGTCGCTGGGCTAGCGTCTGTAGACAGGAGAAAATGACCCGGGACCCAAGCGAGTACCCGATCAGCGTAACGGGGCGCTCGCCCTGCGCCTTGCTGATCAACGCGTCGGCCAGCACGGCGCCCGCTTTGTCTGCGCGGGCTTTGGCAACGCTGAACGGATTGTCGACCACGCGGGCGATCTTAAGGAGGCCCAAGGGCAACGCGACAGCGGACATGATCTGTGCAAAGACGGTCCGGGCCAGGACCTCCCGACTGGCCACACCCCATGCGGCACTGGTGACGAGCGACCGGATCGCGTTGCCGAGATTCAGCAATGTCTCTAGTTCCCAGCGGAGAGCAAATACTTCCGAATCGGCCCCGACAACCCGCCATGGGTCCACGATGTTGTCTTCTTCAGTTGCCCAGCCCGTGATGCCGATGGTGAGGCGCAAGCGGTGGTCCTGTCGGGCAGCTTCCGTCTCGTCTTCCAGTTGAATCCGAGAGCCCCGGATGGGCACGAAGGCAAAATCCTCTACTTCGCGGGCATACCGGTCCATCATTCGGCCGGTCATTCGAGCTCCGTACGCGCCGAAAAGACCACCGACCACAACGCTGCTCCCAGCAAGGGCACCAAGGTAGCCCGCCGCAGCAGTGGCTCCGAGGCCCAGGCCTCCGATGACTGTCCCAAGACCAGCAGCCACGAGAGGTGCCGCCAGACCGCCGGTGATACCGATCAGAGCGGCGCCCGCGACCGAGGCGATGCCAACCTTCCATTTCCGCGCAGAGCTAGACTTTTTCGCCACCTCTTTCGTCTCGGGGTTAGATGAAAGCTCCAGCGCTACGTCCAGCAACCCGCGAGCGATCTTGATCTCGTCCTGGTTGAGGTCTTTGAGAGACAGACCCAAGCTGGACACGAGGTGTAACAGCAAGACTCGTGAATGTGCACTGTAATGCTCGAGGCTAAGCAGAAGGAGGATCATGGAATGGAGGATGAGCAGCTTCACCTGTACGGGAAGCTGGGCAAGGGGTGTGTCGACAGCCGGGTAGACGCTGTGTAATTTGGCTACATCATCTTCTCCTTTTGGATCACGCGACAGGGATGCATCACAATACTGTTCCTGGACGGCTTTTCCCCCATTGTCAGGCTCACTCTCCTTGTTGACTACCTCGCCAATGCGGAGAAGGACGGAATCTCGCCAGTCATCGAAATACTGCAAGACATGAACGGTGAACTCTGGGTCGTAGTTGACCGGATAGGTTTCCTCTTCTGGATCTGAACGCTCCTCGGGATCTGAGTGAGGATCTGTCCTTGAAATATCTTTTTCCTGATGTACATTTGTTTGGGTGGTCATATCGCTGGGACTGCTCCGAGCTGGAGGAGCCTGTACACTGAGGTTTCGCACAATCCGATCTCGCATGAAATTTGCTATCTCAGCCACGAGAATCGTCAATTCTGCACGATTTGATCGATCCAGGATTGTGGTCAGGTCTTGGCCTCTGTCGCTTGGGGCGTGTGTTTCGGATCTGGTGGCATATTTATCCTTGAGACCTTTCAGCATGGAGATCGAGTAAGGGCTGAAAACCACCAGTAGAGATAATAAATCCTTTGTTGTACAAAAGTAGATGTATCTTAAAAACAAGAAAAATCAATTCCCCGGTCGGAATGAGTGGAAGATAGCTGCTGAATTATGGCTGGGACGTGAGACCTTAGTCAACAGAACGGCCAGATCCGCCAGAGACCGATGATATCATAATCCGGCCCAGACAGTTCCTTCGATCAGGCTCGAAAATGGTTGCTGCCTTACGAACTTCCTGGAAAATTCTAAGAGTCCATTGAAGTCATTCCCTCCCTTTTTGAATACCTTGGAGATTTCTTTCCTAGGTCTAATGGACCCTTGCTGTGGAAAGTCATTGTAAACACCACGGGCAAGGCCCAGCTGGGTCCAAGGTGTTCATGACCAAGCTAGATTTCGTCTCTATGAAGTCGTACATCATGAGATTGGTCCAATATATAGGGTATTTCCAGCAGTGCCTCATGGGAGAGATACAGATGGATGGCCGTCCTTCTTCCAATGCGGAGGGTTTTCAATTTCCGGGTTCCACAACAAAGAACTTTCCTTTCGTTCTTGAGGCATATGCGAGAGCATCTCCATTCCAAGCATCACCATCTGGCCGGTCGGTCTTTGTACGTTCGACGCGCTGGATCCTCCGCCTCCGACCAACTGTACGTTCTTTAGCCATGGCCCCTTGAAGATGGTCCCAGCCGATTGTGTTTTCCCTCGTAGCGTCTGCACTTTCATCTCGGATACTCTGCAACGGTTCCATGCCAGTTGTATCCACGCGTTGGATTTCTCTCACGAAATGGATCTGAGACTCGAGAGTCTCCAGCATGGCAGCTTCTTCGGCCTCGCTGGAGGGCTGGGGAAGGGCCGACAGACGGAGAAGATGGCGAAGCTGCCCAGAGCTAACTGTAGGAGTCTCCCGCTTCGATTCCGAGTCTGGAAGAAGCGACCTGACAGACCAAGTAGGCTTCTCCAGGATGGATTTGATGGCCGCTTCGTCGGCGCCGGGAGAGGACGAGTACAGACGGCTAGACACTGCGTGGCGTATTTGTAATTGGCGGGCACAAAGAACTCGCCCCAGTCGAGAAGATGCAGCTCGCAAGGAGGACATGACTTCGAATCCACACCGTAATTGTGTGTCCAAGAAGAGAATCCGTCGTCGTCGTGTAGAAAGAAGATCGCGCGGCGGGAAAAACAGCTTACGGAGTAGCAGCTCCTCTGCCCCCACCGCCCCGAGAGAACCAACGGACCCCCAACTGTCGCTTTGCAACCAAATACCTTTTATTACGCTTTGCCTGTCATTTCACGACTAATCCTGTGAGCTGATCGGTCTATTTTATTTTATTGAGAGATCGAGAGCATTGAAATTTGCTCGTCATGGCCGCAGACCCCCGTGTCCTTCTGCAGAAAGTACGTTCCTTTTAACTTCCCCGCCTCATGGCGTATTGGCATTCTGGCACGCGCAACGAGAGCTGATAGACCCTGAACCACACAGGCCGATAAGGCACTTTCCGGCGCATCTGGAGGCTTCAGTCTCTTTGGCGGACGGACTGAGAAATATGAGAATGCCGCCGACCTGTATACCCAGGCTGCAAACGCCTTCCGAGTCCAGAAGATGAGTGCGTCTATCTAACTGCCTACCACGAGGGTCCTGTGGACTGTTGTCCCCTTGCAACGTGTGCTAACAACTTACCCGTGGGTCGCCAGACAAGGAAGCTGGGTTAGCATTTGAGAAGGCGGCCACCATCCAGTCTAAGAACCTGAACGAGCCTGATGACGCCGCCAACACGTTAACCGAAGCGTTTAAGGTCTACCGCAAATCAGACCCAGAGGATGCCGCGCGGGTGCTGTCGAGCGCCATCCAGCACTATGTGCTGAAGGGGAACCTCCGCCGAGCGGCTACGCAGCAGCAGTATTTGGCGGAAGTGTACGAGGTGGAGCTGGGAGATATGAAGAAGGCGCTGGAGGCTTACGAGAAGGCTGCCGAGTGGTTTGAGAGCGATAACGCTGAAGCGTAAAGTCTACCAACTCTGGGGGGAGGTTTTTTTTTTTTTTTTTGGCGCTTCGTCTGACGGTCTTTTGCTACAGGCTCGCAAATAAACACTACCTCAAGGTAGCGGATCTGGCGGCGCTTGAAAATGACTACTACAAGGCCATCGGGCACTACGAGCGAGTCGGCCGGTCGTCTATGAACAACAACCTGACCAAGTGGTCGGTGAAGGACTATTTCTTGAAGGCAGGGATCTGCCACCTTGCTACCAATGTATGTCCATGTATCCTTTTCTACTGCCGCTCTATCGTCGCTGATGCCAGTTACTAGGATCTCGTGGCCACCAACCGTGCTCTCGAGAACTACCGAGATATTGACCCAACGTTTGCTTCGACCAGAGAGCATCAGCTGCTTGTCGACCTTGTCCAGACAATGGAACAGGGCGACCAGGAAGCCTTTGCCGATAAACTGTTCCAGTTTGACCAGCTCAGTAAGCTGGATAAGTGGAAGACCACCTTATTACTGCGCATCAAGAACAACATCGAGGAAGCGGAGGAGGACTTTGCGTAAACTTGCTACTCTGGACGAAAATGAGGTTATTTTTATGTCTTTTTCTTGGATGGTTCTTGATGAAATGCCAGTAGACAGAGTGGAGTGTTTGTGCTATCTATTATTACTTCCATATTATGCAGGCAGGCCTTCTGCCTATCTTTACCCCATCAATAACAGAACTATATATATTGAATCTTCCTGTGAAGAGATAAACCTGACTGGTCTACAGTTATACCAGCAGGCTGTTATCGACTTGAAAAGAGTAGAACTCGTGAACTCATTACTATCCTATATCCGATCTTCTATAAGAAAATTCCAATGCTTTTTGTAGAGTATCATCAAGAGATATCAGTATGGTGAGCGGTTTCATCCATGACCCAACAAATATATGCACTTCGTCAATTCATGCAAAATGTAAAGGGAAAAAGAAAAGAGAAGGGAAGAAAAAAAAAAAAAAGAGTATTCGTTCCCAAACCACCCCGTCTAAGTCTAGGCCACCACATCCTCCAAGGCCAAGGCTCGGCGAGGGAACACCCGCTTGTACAGACTGATGCCGATGGAATCTTGCGGGTTGAGTTTGCCGTCAAAGGTTGCCTTAAAGTAGCCGTGCGTGCCGAGGGATTCCTTGATGTACCCGCTGCGTCCGCGTCGGGTCCACAGCTGGAGTGCCTTGAACCAGTTGATGTCTTCGGAGTTGAAAAACATGTACCGGACCGTGACGACCTTCTTGTGGATCTTGAATGGATGGCCTGTGAGAATGACTCGTTTGGCCACGACGCGCGCTTGGTCGGGCGCAACGACAGTACCGGTACCGATCAGCTCGAGCTGACCGGAAGTGGCTGCGGCGGCAGCGTCGTCACTACCATCTGCAGAGTCGAGGACTTCGGGATCTTGAGGCTGAGTCTGTCTCTTGAAGATAAGGACTGGAACGGCACCCCAGGTCAGAGGGCCAATCCATGAGGCGACCGCACTGCGACCAGGGTGGAGGTAGCGGTCGTATTTGTGCACGTTGTTGGGGGTATTGTCTCCCGCGGAGAAGATGGGCTTCACGACCAAACGCCGAGGTCCACACTGGACGATGACCTCCTCCTTTGACTTTAGCGGCTCCTCGACACTGGAGTTCAAAGTCATATTGATGTTGACAACGGTGTGCTTATGCTCGTGGCGAAGGAGAGAGAAGATGGCCACGGGTTGGGGACGGCTGCGGAGTGACGAGGGAACAGCGCGCAGATGAATGTCAACACGGATACCAGGATTGACGCCCCCAACCAAGGCTTCTCTAAGCGTCCTGTTCTTGGAACCCTTATAATCAGCAAACTGGAGCAACCGGCGCCAGTCCTCTGGCTCGTGCGGACGGTCTTCGGCAGTCTCCCAGTGACTTGTTTTGAAGCTCTTCAGCCCTCGGAATCGAGCCAGACGTTCTCTGGCAAGAACATTGGGGTGGAGTTCGATCTCGTCTGGGAACTCCAGGTCTTCGTTGGCTTCTTTCCTGCGGCTAGCGCGGTATTCCTCGAGCTGCTGCGCCTCGTCTTCCGGAGAGGGGTCCAGGAACATCTCCGACTGCGGATACTCGGAAGGTCCAGCCTCCGTCATCGCATCACGGTTGTCAGGGAAGACGCCATCCTCGGGGGCACCGGTAGTATCCACGGCCATCTCCTCGTCCTCATCCTCAAGGTCGGATCCGGAATCCGAAACATTATCCAGATACCATGCGGCCTGATAGTCTGAAGTACCCTTCGGAAGCCTTTTGGGTCGGGCTGGGATATGGGATTCGTCGTCTGAGAAGTAGTGGTGATCGTCGAGAAGGACGCCCTTGCGCTCCGTATCCTCCATAGGGATCATGTCATCCTCCATTTCAATCTCTTCCGGTGCGATGGCGGCCAGATCGTCACGGTCAGCAGTCGGTGCATCCAGGACCTGGGTTGTTTCGGAATCGTCGACATTCATGGCATCATCTCGTTTGATTTTGTTGCTGGGTAGTGGCGCTGCTGTGATGTTCTCGATCTGGAAATCACCCCAACCCGGAATGTGCGCAATGCGGTCGGCCTTGAGGCCCTTGCCCCGAACGACACCGGTGAGAATCACATCATTCACCACTTCTGACGAGCTCTCGGGCCACTGAACATTTTCGATGAGCAACCAGCTTCGTTCATCGCGCCAGCGAATTCCCTTGGGGGTTGCGGTACACAGAGACCGGACGACGTTAGAGCTCTCCTGTCTCGAATCGAGCGACAGAACTTTCTCCACTGTCGGGAAGAAATGGTTGACGAAGGATTTGAGAGATGAAGCCACTTGAGGACGTTTCTTGGCAGGGTTGATCTTCTCGATGCCCTATACAGATAGCTGGTATTAGCATGCATCATAGGAAACAATAAAAGCATTTTGCAAAGAGATCCCATATACCTGAACTGCAGCAATCACATTCGAGATACCTTGGCTCTCGATTGATCGCAATAGCGTCTCGCCCTGTTCCTCAACCTCCATCGTAGGGGAAAGCACCAATATCACAAAGTCGGCCATCCGACACACATCCAAGGCGCTCATGAGGTCATATTTCGCGGGAATATAAAGGACGCTCTGACGAAATCGATCGACACGCACGCGACAGGCTCCATCGCCCACAATCTCGCCGGAAACGTCGACGCTTTCGTTCAGGGAGCTGATGACCGAAGCGACATCGATATCTGGGGTCAGGGGCACAATAGCAACGTGACGCGGGGCACCGTTCTGACCAGCAAAGATGCTCGTAGCCTGTGCCTTCTCCTGATGCTTCAACTGCTGCTTCTGCCGAGCCTGGTTCCGACGATCAAGTTTCGACTTGAGCTGCTGGTGGGGGGTCTTGCGGATACCCCGCTCGTGATTCTCGACTTTGCCTATAATCATCGTCAGAATCCAACGTTCGAGACAGTTTCAACGATGATATTGCTTCAACATACCCTTGTGAGCCTCCTTCAGCGCACCCTTCGTGGCATGCTTGCTCTTGAACGCCTTGTGCGATGTTTTGGTCGTGGACCGGTGGTGGTGCGCCGCTTGGGTCATGGGCGCCATGTTGGCAGCACCGGACCCTTTGAAACGATAGGGAAGCGAGGCCAGCGTTGCAGTCGTCTAGAGGATCTCTAAAACAGGAATACTTCCCTAATCAAGACGTTCGTAAGAGAGACGCAGTCCAGGCAGTTCAGGCGGAAAAAAAGTTCGGAGCTCTTCCCAGCCCAAACTTCGGCAGAAAAAAATAATGTGAAGCGAGGCAAGTCTTGGCATGAATTTTCCGCAGAAGCTCCGTCGACAGTCCTTTTCTTCTCGCAGCCACCGAGTCAACAGAGAACGATCTGGCTCTATTTGGGTGTCTTATTGACAGAAAGGGAATCAGAGCGAAGTGCCAGCAACGGAAAAGATAGAAGCAAGGAAACGCAACAGTCGGACAGAGCACGATGGCGACCAACGCTGTCGTACCGCAAAGCGATAAGATTGCTGCTCGCGAAGCAAAGAGGCATGTTATGGAAGCGCAGAAGGTGTACGGCCGTGGCAAGGCCGTGCATACTAAATCAATCAAGGACAAGAAGCTGCGCGGGAATCTCAAGGCTGTCGAAGCAAAGTACAAGGCCGCAGCGCTGCGGGCGAAGGATGCGGAGATTCTGCTGGAACACGACGCCGGGTATCTCGAGACGGAGGGAGAGCTCGAAAGGACATACAAGGTCCGACAGGACGAGATCCAGCAAGGAGTGGGAATCGAGACGGCCAAGAAGGGATTCGAGCTGAAGCTGACGGAGCTGGGTCCCTATCGGGCAGACTACACGAAGAACGGACGAAACCTGCTCCTTGCGGGACGAAAGGGACATGTTGCGACTATGGACTGGCGGGCAGGCAAGCTGGGGTGCGAGCTGCAGTTGAACGAGACTGTCCGTGACGCCAAGTGGCTGCACAACAATCAGTTCTTCGCTGTGGCTCAGAAGAAGAACGTTTATATCTACGACCAGAGCGGACTGGAGCTGCATTGTCTCAGCAAGCACGTCGAACCACTCTTCCTTGAATTCCTGCCATATCACTTTCTTCTAGCCAGTGCGGTAGGTTATTCTTCCAATCCTCATATCATCTAGGCCCGATTTGACTGACATCTATGCTAGCAAATGAGCGGCTTCCTCAAATATACCGATACCTCGACGGGTCAGACCGTTGCCGAGCTGCCTACCCGGCTCGGATGCCCGACGTCGCTGAGCCAAAATCCGTGGAATGCCATTCTCCATGTCGGGCACCAGAACGGAACAGTGACGCTGTGGTCGCCCAACTCGCAGACGGCGCTCGTCAAGGCGCTCGTCCACCGCGGTCCGGTCCGTTCGATGGCAATCGACAGGCAGGGTCGGTACATGGTTTCGACTGGTCAAGACATGAAGATGAACGTGTGGGATATTCGGATGTTTCGGGAGGTGCATTCGTACTCGTGCCACCAGCCCGGCTCCTCTGTTGCTATCAGTGATCGTGGCCTCACCGCAGTCGGCTGGGGCACGCAGGTCAGTGTTTGGCGGGGTCTTTTTGATGCGGCACTTGCCGACCAGGGCAAAGTCCAGAGCCCATACATGGCCTGGGGCGGGGAGGGCCAGCGCATCGAGAACTTGGGGTGGTGTCCGTTCGAGGATGTGTTGGGTGTCAGTCACGACCAGGGGTTCTCGAGCATCATCGTGCCGGGTGCGGGTGAGCCCAACTTCGACGCGCTGGAAGCCAACCCGTACGAGAACGTCAAGCAGCGCCAGGAGGCGGAGGTGCAGGGCCTGCTGAACAAGCTGCAGCCAGAGATGATCTCACTGGACCCCAACTTCGTCGGCAAGCTCGACACCATCAGCGACAAAAAGCGCCAGGAGGAGCGCGATCTCGACCGCAAGCCCGAGGACCCGATCGAAAAGCTCAAGAATCGCGGCCGCGGCCGCAACAGCGCCCTGCGCAAGTACCTCCGCAAGAAGGGCCGCGGCAATGTCATCGACGAGAAGCGCCTCAAGGCCGAGGCCTTGCACAAGGAGCGCACCGCCCGCGCAAAGGAACGGCTGCGTGCGGAGCGGTCCGAACTGGGGCCTGCTCTGGGACGGTTCGCGCGGTAGTCAGTCCGTCTGTACTCGTGTCGTCTTCGTTCGTTGTTCGTTGTCCTTCTTTGTCTTCGATTTGGGTGAAACGAGTGCTCAGATACCCTGCCTCGATTATGATTATTTAGAGATGCATTACTCGGCGTTATCATGTACATTAAAGAGAGAGAGAGAGAAAAAAAAAGTACTATATTTAAAGATGAATTACAGAATGCCAGATATCCATTTACCAAACGGCACCCAAGTTTCCTCAAATCTTTTTACTCTACACTCCCCGACCCCCTCTGGGCGCCATTCTTCCATCTCTCCAGGCTCACCTCGTAGGCCCCGCTGGCCTTCCACGCGCTGATGATCAGGTTGACGATATGAGGCATGCCCTTGCCGTTCTTGACCTCGGCGAAGACCGTGGGCCCGCCCTCGCGCATCTTGGCCGCGTCGCGCTCCATGACGCCCAAGTCAGCGCCCACCGCCTCCGCCAGATCGATCTTGTTGACGATCAGCAGGTCGGAGCCCGTGATGCCCGGCCCTCCCTTGCGAGGCACTTTATCACCCCCCGCAACGTCGATGACGTAGATAATGAAGTCGGCCAGCTCGCGCGAGTAGTTAGCTGCTAGATTGTCGCCGCCGGACTCGATAAGTAGCAGATCCGTCGAGAACTGCTTCTGCAGCGTCTGTAGAGCGAGCAGGTTGGCGCTGATGTCCTCGCGCACCGCGGCGTGCGGGCACCCGCCCGTTTCGATTGCGCGGATTCGGTTCGGGGCAAGAGCCTTGTGGCGTGTGAGGAACTCGGCGTCTTCTCTACATGTCGTTAGAACACAGACACACCCACCTCACAAAAACAAAATGCAGTGCAACTTACCTGGTGAAAATGTCGTTTGTGACGGCGGCAATGTTATACTCATCCCTCAGAGCCAAGCACAACGCAAGCATCAGCGCCGTCTTGCCCGATCCAACTGGCCTACAGCAAGTCAGATGGATATCAACATGGTTCTAGTAAACTAGCTGCTTTCTCTTGGATTATATTGTGGTGTGGCCTACCCTCCAATGCCGATCGTGAAAGCACGGTCTTTCCAATCCCTGCCTTCGATGAGGGGCATCTCACGGTTGGCATAGGAGCCCGGGCCGTCGAGGATCTCGTGTGAGTGGCCATGACCGTTGAAAGGGTCGTCATGGGAGTGCAAGTCATCGCCATGAGAGTGGGAGTGGGAGTGGGACATGATGGCGAGAGGGGCAACAAAGGGTAAGAGCTCAGCTTGGCCTGAGGGAGGATCTGTCGGAGAAGGGAGTCAGCTGGTACCCTCAAAAGGCTTGCTTGTTGTGTCCTACAGAGATAGTTACTCACCTTTATTTTCCTGATGGAATGTTGAACTGGAGTAGCAGATTGCAAAACTGAGCTGGAGCTCTGGCGGGGGTCTCCGATGGTGGACGATAAGATAAAGACTGACAACTACTGTGAAAAACGACTACATGACAGTCTACAAACAGATGAGTAGCAGGAAAAAACAAGACGATTGTATTTCCAGAGTCACTGAAACAAAGTCGGTAGTATCCTGACGCCAAAAAAGACCAGATGAGTCGCAATCGCAGGGCACGGATATCAAGGAAGTTTCCACCTAGTCTATCACACCAGAAAGAGTCGAAGGCATCGACGAGGCGAGACAAAGCCAGATAGGAATCAATAGGTCGAGAGATGGATGGTCAGAGAGAAGGGGGTGGGTGAGAGATATGTGTCGAGTCTGACACAAAATGGACAAAAGTCGAACAGTCAACCAAAAAAAAAAAAGAATTGCGAATCGGCTAGACCATGAAAAAGAATTGACAGGTGAGGTAGAGTACAAGGGTTCGCATTGATTGCACTTCAAACGCCGCGGCGCAAGCAGATTGTCCCTACTTGCACCGCAATCGAAGATAGATGGGATTTCGGCCTGACATCCAGAAGAAATCAAGTACCCGTATAGACAGATTCAAATCGTCCCTCGCGTATCCCAGGGAGAAAGAGGATATTTCAGAGAACGCGAAAGACCGCCAGAACAGAGTCATGCTTCATCGGCGCTTTGCGGTGCCTTAGACAAAAAAGGAAAAACAGATATAACGAGGACTAGCAAGGGAGAAATGAGCAAAAAAGATGATAATAAGGGGACATAGAGAAAGAGAAGAATAAGCAAGCGAAGAAGAAAAAGAAGAAATATCCTCCAATATGTCCAAAGATGACGAAGAAAGAGAAAAGAAAAAAAAAAACCCCGGACATGGCAGACAAGCCTTCAAAACAAGTATAAAAACCTATTGTACGCCGATTCCACCCCTCTTGATATCGAAACGAATATAACAACGTGTGAGAGCTCCTTCTAAATAGACGACAAAGATATTAAGCGGTGCCTTTTTGTCTCTTGCCGACCCGGGGACTGGCCTTGACCTTGGCGGTCCCAGTAGGCGCTGCCCCATTCACATCAGGACCACCTTCGTCCCCTTCGATTTTCACCGTGCTTCGCCGACGTTTGTTGCCAACACCGGGGCTGGAGTTGGCACTGGCACCTTGAGCCGCGGCCATGTTCGGTTGCATCGGCCCTTGCTGCATCACGCCGGGAGGTCCAGCCAGGTGGCTCTGAGCCGGGCTGGGGTGAGCTGAGCCACTGAGATGCGGGGAGCCTTGGACAGGCAGACCCAAGTGGGCCATGGCGGGAGAAGCAAACTGAGATGGTGGATTCATGTTATTTGGGCCTCGAGGGTTGGGAATCTGCTGCATCGCTGGATTCATTGGCGGTTGCACGAAACCAAGTCCCGGGTTTTGAGTCTGAAGACTATTCACCAGATGCCTAAGTGCTTCCGGAGGAGACAGCTGTGGGTAGTTCTGAGAAAACTGGAACAACATCTGCATATGGGAAATTGTTTCCGCCACCTAATTTCATCCAGGGATTAATTAGTCTTCATCATCATCGCCAATTAATATGGGGGAAGGGATGGTAACTTTACCTCCAAAAAGCCCATCACTGCGGTTGGAACACCATTAGCAGTTACCATGGACTCGGGAAGAGTGACAGAGGGTGGCTGCGGCTGCTTTTGCTGTGCTCGCTTGGACACGTTCTTCGCTAGTTTGGGGCTTTGTTTCTGCTCCGAGAGTTCGAGCGATTGCAGCTGGCTCCTCGGGATAAACTCGGTGTGGTTGGCGACGGTAATATCCAGCACTTCAATCTTGTTGTTCATGTCGAATTGGGCGCGTAATGTGCCATTGGTGAAAAGCTATCATAATCATGAGAAAAAAAAGGCCCCCCTCTCCCCAATGACCAGAAAAAGATAGGAAAAAGACATACCTGAGACTCATTTGAAAACCAGTAGATAAACGATGTCTTCAGACTTTCCACAATATGACCACCATTTGTAATATCTCTTTCCCGTAACCCTTCCATGATCATCTGGATCTTTGTAATCCCGCTAGTGAATTGTGTCATATAATACCGGGTAAGGGCAGGGGTGGAGATCTCAAACTGCTTGGCACCTGTTTGGTTGTGATAGACTCCCTGTCGTAAGACGCCAACGGGAGAATAGAACCTGTCGACAAAAGATTGCCAGTAGATCAAGTCTTGGGCTTCGCCTCGGCTCTGAACCAGTTAGCTTCCGATACCACCATCCATAGAAGCCGATATAGAAGAAAAAAAGAACGTACAATAAAGCCACTTAGATGCTCGGCAAATGAATTCAGGGCAAGAATGCTTGCTCCTTTCATCATCATTCTTTGTTGAGCCTGCTGTTGCTGTAACATCAGGGCCGCTGAATTCTGCTGTTGCGCCTTCAGGTGGGCCTCCTGGGCCGTCATCGGCTGCTGTTGTGGTTGCGGGTGGCCTTGCTGTTGGGGGGTCTGTTGCTGAGGTGTCTGTTGATGCTGCTGCTGCACCTGTGCCTGAGGAGTCTGCGCCGGGGTCTGTACTTGATGATGCGGTTGCGGCTGCTGCGGTTGCCCCTGCGGAAGCTGCTGCTGCTGCAAGTTCGGGGTCGAATGCGCTTGGGGGTGAGCACCAGGCTGTGGAGGTGCTTGAGTAGAGGATACCTGAGTAGGTGGGTTAGAGTGCTGCTGCGATGGAGTCACACTGCCCGGCGGCGGTGGTCCAGGCTGTGGCTGTGGTGTGACACTTTGAGCATCGTGGATCACTTGAGGCTGTGCCGCAGCACGCTGCTGCGGTGTTTGCTGGCCTGGCTGGATGGCATTGTTGGCTTGCTGGGCCTGCTGCTGGGCCTGCTGCTGAGCCTGTTGCTGGGCCTGGTGCGCTTGTTGGGCCTGTTGCATAGCAAAAAGTTGTTGCTGCTGAGCTTGCTGGATCGACTGGGCCTGGCTGTGAGGCATTTGACCAAGGTGCATTTGAAGATTGACAGGGCGCATAGCAGGATTTACCTGCATGGCAGCCAATTGAGCGGCGCTGAGGCCCTGAGTTCCGTTTGGTAGGGGAACCGGAATCCCACCATGTTGTTGCTGATGCTGTTGTTGTTGTTGTTGTTGTTGCTGCTGCTGCTGGAGGATCATCCGCTGTCTAAGAAGCTGTTGTTGCTGCTGTTGTTGCAGTAATTGGGGGTTATTTGCGACTAGACCGGACCAATTAGTTAGCGGGTGATTGAAATGGCAGCACGCGTCTATTATCCCCACTAAAAAAAAAACGAGACTTACAGTTCTGTGCAAACTGCTGCTGCTGGAACATATGTGCCTGTGCCGGGTTCAGGTGCTGAAGCGCGTGTGCGTTCGGGACAGGCCCCCCAGGGCCCGCGGATGCCGCCCCGGGCGGCATCCCGCCCATCATAGGGCCTGCCTGGCTGACTTGGGGCGCACCGGGGTTCGAGACGCCGGGATGGATCTGCTGGACCATTCCAGCGCCCGGATGGGCAGCATTGGGGTGCTGAGTGGCGGCCATGGGGTGGCCGGGAGGCAGACCTGGGTGCTGCGGGATGCCTTGATGGGCGGGAAACGGCTGCGCCATCATCATCGCTATGCTACCAAGTCACCGACGACGAAAACCCGGAGATGACAAAGACAACACAACGGGCGAAGACCGAGGGCAAGGGAAAGCGCTCTTGACAATCGGCTTTCTAGCGCCGGAGTGCAGGCCAAGACGCAGCGGACGGGCGACGGAGCCTGCGTGGATAGTCGTCCTGGTGCATGGATCCGCCGTCTACCAGCCAGGTCGCCCGCCTCCTGTAGAAACGAAGCAAAAAAGTCAGCACAGATCAGCTAGAGTCAGCCGGATTGCGGTGGTTGGAGCGGTTGGAAGTTTTGGGGGGGGTCCAGGGTACGGACGGCGCCAGTCGAGGAACGGACCTTGACGGGGGCAGGTGGAGGGGCTAGGGGCCAGCGAAGGAGAACGGCACCTGTTCGCGATCGCCAGGCAGTCGGACGAAGCAGAACCAGACAAAGCACTCGAGCTCGGCCGGCCAGAAAGCGCGGCGGGTATGCAGAGAGACGGGAGGAGGTCGAGCGGGAAACCAGAGGCACACGGGAGGAGGTTCAGGGACGGCAATCAAGCATGGCGAGACTCTTGAGGCTTTTCCCAGCGAGAGACGCTGAGAGTCGCACAGCGCGCTGCTGGCACGCTAGTCCCGGAGAGGCATGTGTCACGTGATGGAAAGTGGAAAGGCGGTCGGGAGCAGGGGAATAGTTCTTCCGGTGCTACTTTTTCTTCATGTGTTTTTTTTTTTTTTCTTACTTGATGCGCTCTTTCTCTTAACTTCTTCCTCTTATCCTATTCATTTTTCTGCATGACTGCTCCAACTATTTGGATCGGTCAGAAGATATTACTTCTCCTCGATTCTGCATCACTAGGTAAGTTGTTTACTATTACTCTCATTCTGTCACTGCACTGCACACTTGTCAAAGATGATCACAACTTCTTCTTCTTTACTTTCTGAATCGACCTTGGAGAGACAGTTCGGACCTTCCTTTCCCGGTTGGTCTGCTACTTGCCAGTATATCTTGTCTGAGACACTGCATCATTCTGTTTTATTCTTCCGTTGCCTCGTTGCCATGTGAAGAACGCAGCTAACAGCAATGCTTAGGTTCGATGCAAATACCGCCATCTACGAGGATTAGACTTAGATAATGACTGAAATGAATGATTATGGCAATTACGCTTATTATCAATATCTTATAATAGATGCATTCTCCGTATAATATATATAATCCTGTCGAAAACAGAGCATCTGTCTTGACGGCCCTCCATATGCGTCGGGTTACAGTAGAACGACACAGCTATTCGACACCAACAATCCGGGCCTGACGCCTTAACCCCCCTTTTAAACTCCATGCGGCTCTTATAAAATATGTACCATGAAGGCCATAAAAAATTTATCTACTAGTAACTATAGAAAATCCTCTGGATTAAGTGCAAAAAGCGAATATTAGTGCCCTATTGAACTGCCTCTGATCGGATAACAAGTGCCGTTTCTCCGATGCCAGTATGCTTATATAATCAAATATCACGTGATACCTGAAATGGGAAGGTCTGAGCCGGCCATATTGAATTCTCGCCGCACCAGCATCGACATTACGCCCGCTGATGCGTTCTTGTGCTCCGCGTGGCATCCGCAGCTATTGCCGACATTGATTTCGGGGGCCTCGGTTGCCCCAGATGTTGCCGTCAATGCAACCAAGGCTGCTCGCACCTCTCGCCCGACCCTGTCGTTTTGTTGCGCATCGGCGGTATCCCACCAGCGTCGTTCTAACGCGTCGTTTCCACGCTTCTCGAAAGTGGCTGTCAGCCGCGCCGCACGATCCAGCGGACACTGTTGACTCGGCAGCGGATGCTGTGGCCAAGAGCAGTGGCTTCTCCGCCGAAGACCTTCCGAAGGATGGAGCTGCCACGTCGGCTTCGAAGCCTCCCGGAAAGAAGGAAGCCGGTCGTCCCTATGGATCAGCAGTGCGTCGGGCGATGAGAAATCGAAGAACAACAAATGAATCAGCTCCCGCTGCTCCTCTGGTCCCAGACTGGTTTCGAGAACGCAATACCCTGCTCAATGACGGCGCACCGCAGATCCCGATACAACAATCGATGCATCAAGTGCGCGTGGAGAACTCGGTATCAGAGTCGGACAACGTGGCGAAGGAGGAGTCCGCAAGTGGAGGGGATGGAGCTGACAACGCCGGTGACGGAAAGCCCGTGGATTCGACGAATCGATACGTCGTGGCAGAAGCAGTCTGGGAAGAGCTGGTTGCATCGGTCAAGGCTGGGTTGGCCTTGCCTTCCCCCAAATATTCCCAAGAACCGCCTGCCCTTAAATCTCATCTTATTCTTCAGTACCCCGATAACGACGGCATTGTGTTCCTGGACGCCGTGGTCAAGCGGCTGGGCCACGAACTCGGTGCCAGTGTTGTGACCCTCGATGCGCAAGATATTGCCGAGCTGTGCTCTGAACAGGATCTAGCGGACCGGGGCACCACGTCCCCAATCAGATACCTGGGATATGAAGTTTATCGCCCTTTCTCCACAACTACCTGGAACGAGAATGACGAACTGTCTATAGAAGGAGAGGGTGACGAAGCTGATGAAGATGACGGACCCAGAATATCCAGAGACATTCGGCCAGATATTAGCCCGAAGTTTATCACCATTGAGACTTCCCGCGAAGCCGGGGATATAGCCCTCCCCGTTTTATTTGGCTTAAAGTCCCTAGCAGCGTCGTTGAATGGCACATCCGACCAGGCGGTGGCGGGTCTCTCCGCACGCAGTACAGGCAAAGCGGAAGATAGGTGGCATCGACTTGTCAATGAAATTATCCCTTCTGCAAACAAATCACCCGAACCGACTTCGGAAGAGGAATCGAATCTTGAGGCCGGTGATGGTGCTCAACGACGGAGTGTTCAACCAGGACGTGATGTGATCATTCAGATACAAGACTACGCGAGCATTCAAAATACACGTGAAGGCTCGAGGTTCCTCTCTCTCCTCCGAAAAGTCATTGAAACCCATCGGAGACAACGATCCCGGGTTCTGCTGATCGGGACTGTCGGGCAGGATATCAACGTCTCTTTATCCCAGGATGCTGCCAAACGTGTGCCACTCGGCTTTGATGACCAATTCTCAAAGACGATCGTGCTGACTCCGTCTATGGAGAATAAGCTTGTTGACAAGACGCTGTTGGAAGATCGCAGGAAACGGACCATGGCGATCAATATTCGCCATCTACAAGAGCTGCTCCGGACAACGATGACCGACCAATCTGCAACCATTGAAGACGGTCTCCTTGACAATCGCCACTGGGCCTTGGATGATGTAACAATCGAGGCATCCGGCTTGAGCGAACGATACTGGACATACAGCCAGGTCCACCGGATCGCGACGCTGGCGCTCGGATGCTGTAAACCGGGAGAGCCACTTTCCTTGGAACATATTAGCCAAGGGGTCAGGCTCATGGAGAAGACAGACAAGATCAGAAACGATTGGCTGAAGGAAAAGTGGTCCAAAGCGAGTCCTTCAGTGGACGTGGATGACCGAGAGCAGCTCCTTAAATCGCTACGCAAAACATGCAACACCCACGAGAAGAAGCTCCTCAATGGTGTTGTCGACGCAAAAAGCATCCGCACGACTTTTGCCGATGTGCATGTCCCCCCCGAAACAATCGACGCCCTGAAGACCCTGACCTCTCTGTCCCTGATCCGGCCAGAGGCATTTACCTACGGTGTCCTGGCTACAGACAAGATCCCTGGGTTGCTCCTGTACGGGCCTCCGGGAACTGGCAAGACGCTTCTGGCCAAGGCTGTGGCCCGCGAGAGCGGCGCGACGGTGCTCGAAGTGAGCGGGTCGGAGATCTACGACATGTATGTTGGCGAGGGCGAGAAGAACGTCAAGGCCATCTTCACGCTCGCCAAGAAGCTCAGTCCGTGTGTTGTCTTCATCGACGAGGCAGATGCCATCTTCTGCTCACGCACGGGGGCCAGCAACCGTACATCGCACCGAGAACTCATCAATCAGTTCCTCCGCGAGTGGGACGGGATGAGCGACCTCTCTGCGTTCATCATGGTCGCCACCAACCGGCCGTTCGATCTCGACGACGCCGTTCTGCGGCGTCTTCCGCGCCGCCTCCTAGTCGATCTGCCGACGGAGCAGGACCGGCTCGCGATTCTCCAGATCCATCTCAAGGAGGAGACCATCGACGCCTCGGTCGATCTGGCGGAGCTTTCGCGGCGTACCCCTTTGTACTCGGGCTCGGACCTCAAGAACCTATGCGTTGCGGCCGCGCTGGCCTGCGTGCGTGACGAGAACAACCTGGCCGCCCAGCACCAGGGACCGGAAGCATACACCTACCCGGAGCGACGCACCTTGTCATGGACACACTTTGAGCGCGGCATGGAAGAGATCAGCGCGTCTATCAGTGAGGATATGTCCTCGCTCGCAGCCATCCGTAAATTCGATGAGCAGTATGGCGATCGCAAGGGCCGCCGCAAAAAGGGATCGGCGTGGGGATTCACGCCCTCGAGCCTGGATGAATCGGGGCCCGACTCAGCACGCGTACGGACCTGAGATCACCTTTTTTTCTTTCAAGTAGCATTCTTGCTCATCTTTCCTCCTTTTTTTCTTCTTCTTCCTCTTCTTTTTCTGTGTCCCCTAATCTTGGTGGTGACTTTCCTGCTATTGTTATGAGACGACTTGTATAATATCACCATGATAGACCATGTGCCAATAGATCTGATATGAATAACTTTAGAATTTTCTTTTCTTTTTAATATATATAGACAGATATAATTCCTATTCACAAGAACACTGGGCAATTGTGGAGGGGCAATAAGGGACATCTGCCCATCGCATCCATAACATCATCGCCCCCCAAAGCGGCGGCAGGCTCTTTTTTTCAACTCACTTCCGTCTCCCAGTCACCTCGCAGCTCCTCGACTCTCCGACATATGGTCTGCATCGGCTCCCATCACGCTCATTAGGATTCTTTCTTTGGCTTTCTTTATTTTCTTCCTGTCTTCTCATCTATATTCCCTTTGCCAGCCTGCGATCCGTTCTATCCAGACAAGATCTGCGCGCGGGGGAGGGAGGAGAAACCCATGCGTCCTGCCGCCGACTGCACACGACCCTCACCCTTCTAGAACTAAGCTTATCGCCCCCATTTCTCCATCGTCGCCGGCACAAGAGACCTTTCTTTAAAAAGAAAAAAAAAAAAGGAAAAAAAGAAGATGCCCTCCGAGAATCAAGATGCGACCATCAAAGAGTCGAAAAGATATGTGCGCGAGATCGTACGAGACGACTGGTCCTTTGAGCCGTCCGAGTCCCGCACTGCGTCATCGCTGCTGCCCACGTCGACCGGCTCCGAGGTTGCGGAATGGCGACTTCGCGAATATGACAGCTCGGATTCGGAACTAGAGCCACGCGCCGGGTTTCAGATGGTGGACATGTCGCAGCCACCGCCTGCGGCGAGGCCCGAGGCGAAATCCAAGACACCCGCCCCAGAGATCAGTCCGGCGGAGAGACGGCGCAAACGGCGCATGCGGGTGGAGGAGGAAATCTGCTGGAACGAGGGACTGCACACATGGGTTGAGCAACGGGATGTCTGGTCGGGGGCTCGGAAACGACGAGAGGTCGGGAAAAGACTGTTACAGCACAGCGATAACAATGTAGAGGAGGGGCTTGGTTCGGACTCACCGGGGACGTCTCCCTCAAACGTGGACAACGAGGACAGGCTGGCCTGCCGGACGGAGACTGCGCTTGCGATTTCCCACCCCCCCACCACCATCACCGATCGACTTGCAGAGGAGGAATCACCGCGGTCGACGGAGCTGCTCCCCGCGATCGACAAACGCAAGGAGTCCACAGAGACCGGCATCACAGAGCCGGAGCCCGTCGTGTCCAACTACGATGGCGATAACGACCCGGACGAGCCGCTGATCCCCGTCGCATCGCCGCTGCTGCCGCTGTCACATCCGATCCGCGCTGCGATCAATCCCTCCATCTATCCATCCATCTATAGCAAGGTTGTCGTCCAGGGTCTCACCCCAACCGTGCCCATCAACCTCGCCGACATGACCAAGGCCATGGTCCAGGGTTGGAAAGCTGATGGCCAGTGGCCGCCGAAGCCCACCCCGATCGCCCCGGGTGCCGATGTTCCTGTACGCAAGCGCGGAACAGCAGCAGGTCATGGTCATGGTCATGGCCATGGATCGGCCGCCGCCGCTGCTGCTGCTACTGCTACTGCCGCGGGGGAACCCTCCAAACGGAGATCCAGCGTCGTAAATGCCGTGCGCAAGGTCCTACATTTCTCGTCTCACCCTTTTCACCGGCGGGGCTCCAGCCATGGCGGGCACGAAGACGAGAGCCATCCCCAGCGCACTTGCAACGAGGCAGCAGTG